ACCCAACCAAACAAACCCAACCAAACAAACCCAACCAAACAAACCCAACCAAACAAACCCAACCAAACAAACCCAACCAAACAAACCCAACCAAACAAACCCAACCAAACAAACCCAACCAAACAAACCCAACCAAACAAACCCAACCAAACAAACCCAACCAAACAAACCCAACCAAACAAACCCAACCAAACAAACCCAACCAAACAAACCCAACCAAACAAACCCAACCAAACAAACCCAACCAAACAAACCCAACCAAACAAACCCAACCAAACAAACCCAACCAAACAAACCCAACCAAACAAACCCAACCAAACAAACCCAACCAAACAAACCCAACCAAACAAACCCAACCAAACAAACCCAACCAAACAAACCCAACCAAACAAACCCAACCAAACAAACCCAACCAAACAAACCCAACCAAACAAACCCAACCAAACAAACCCAACCAAACAAACCCAACCAAACAAACCCAACCAAACAAACCCAACCAAACAAACCCAACCAAACAAACCCAACCAAACAAACCCAACCAAACAAACCCAACCAAACAAACCCAACCAAACAAACCCAACCAAACAAACCCAACCAAACAAACCCAACCAAACAAACCCAACCAAACAAACCCAACCAAACAAACCCAACCAAACAAACCCAACCAAACAAACCCAACCAAACAAACCCAACCAAACAAACCCAACCAAACAAACCCAACCAAACAAACCCAACCAAACAAACCCAACCAAACAAACCCAACCAAACAAACCCAACCAAACAAACCCAACCAAACAAACCCAACCAAACAAACCCAACCAAACAAACCCAACCAAACAAACCCAACCAAACAAACCCAACCAAACAAACCCAACCAAACAAACCCAACCAAACAAACCCAACCAAACAAACCCAACCAAACAAACCCAACCAAACAAACCCAACCAAACAAACCCAACCAAACAAACCCAACCAAACAAACCCAACCAAACAAACCCAACCAAACAAACCCAACCAAACAAACCCAACCAAACAAACCCAACCAAACAAACCCAACCAAACAAACCCAACCAAACAAACCCAACCAAACAAACCCAACCAAACAAACCCAACCAAACAAACCCAACCAAACAAACCCAACCAAACAAACCCAACCAAACAAACCCAACCAAACAAACCCAACCAAACAAACCCAACCAAACAAACCCAACCAAACAAACCCAACCAAACAAACCCAACCAAACAAACCCAACCAAACAAACCCAACCAAACAAACCCAACCAAACAAACCCAACCAAACAAACCCAACCAAACAAACCCAACCAAACAAACCCAACCAAACAAACCCAACCAAACAAACCCAACCAAACAAACCCAACCAAACAAACCCAACCAAACAAACCCAACCAAACAAACCCAACCAAACAAACCCAACCAAACAAACCCAACCAAACAAACCCAACCAAACAAACCCAACCAAACAAACCCAACCAAACAAACCCAACCAAACAAACCCAACCAAACAAACCCAACCAAACAAACCCAACCAAACAAACCCAACCAAACAAACCCAACCAAACAAACCCAACCAAACAAACCCAACCAAACAAACCCAACCAAACAAACCCAACCAAACAAACCCAACCAAACAAACCCAACCAAACAAACCCAACCAAACAAACCCAACCAAACAAACCCAACCAAACAAACCCAACCAAACAAACCCAACCAAACAAACCCAACCAAACAAACCCAACCAAACAAACCCAACCAAACAAACCCAACCAAACAAACCCAACCAAACAAACCCAACCAAACAAACCCAACCAAACAAACCCAACCAAACAAACCCAACCAAACAAACCCAACCAAACAAACCCAACCAAACAAACCCAACCAAACAAACCCAACCAAACAAACCCAACCAAACAAACCCAACCAAACAAACCCAACCAAACAAACCCAACCAAACAAACCCAACCAAACAAACCCAACCAAACAAACCCAACCAAACAAACCCAACCAAACAAACCCAACCAAACAAACCCAACCAAACAAACCCAACCAAACAAACCCAACCAAACAAACCCAACCAAACAAACCCAACCAAACAAACCCAACCAAACAAACCCAACCAAACAAACCCAACCAAACAAACCCAACCAAACAAACCCAACCAAACAAACCCAACCAAACANAACCAAACAAACCGAACCAAACAAACCGAACCAAACAAACCGAACCAAACAAACCGAACCAAACAAACCGAACCAAACAAACCGAACCAAACAAACCTAACCGAACAAACCTAACCGAACAAACCTAACCGAACAAACCTAACCGAACAAACCTAACCGAACAAACCAAACCCAAGAAACCGAACCCAACTAACCAAACCCAACTAACCAAACCCAACGGACCAAACCCAACCAACCAAACCCAAGTAGCCTAGCCCTGCAACCCTAACCCAACCCAACTCATCTAGCGAACCCAACTAACCTAGCCCAACTAACTAACCTAAGCCAAGTAACTAACCTAACCCAGCTAACTAACCTAACCCAACTGACTAACCTAACCCAACTAACTAACCTAGCCCAACTATTAACTAACCTAACCCAACTAACTAGCCTAGCCCAACTCACTAACCCAGCCCAACTCACTAACCCAGTCCAGCTCACTAACCTAGCCCAACTCACTAACCTCACCCAATTCACTAACCCCACCTAACTCACTAACCTCACCTAGCTCACTAACCTCACCCAGCTCACTAACCTCACCCAGCAAACTAACCTCACCCAGCTCACTAACCTCACCCAGCTCACTAACCTCACCCAGCTCACTAACCTCACTCACCTCACTAACCTCACCCAGCTCACTAACCTCACCCAACTCACTAGCCCCACCCAACTCACTAACCTCACCCAATTCACTAGCCCCACCCAACTCACTAACCCCACCCAGCTCACTAACCTCACCCAACTCACTAACCCCACCCAGCTCACTAACCTCACCCAGCTCACTAACCTCACCCAGGGGGGCGCTCTGGCTGCGCTAACCTAATTAAACAACCTCACCCAACTCACCAACCCCGCCCAAAACAGTAACCTCACCCAACTCACTAACCTCACCCAACGGGGTGAAACACAGCTGACCCAACTCAGCTGACCAGGCCCAGCCGGCCTAACTGAACTAACCTCGGCAAACTATCCCAGCAACCAAACCAACCAAACCCAACGGGCCGCGCTGAGCTAACCTAAGTCAACTGACCCCGCGAAGCTGACAGAAATAAGATAAAGCCACCGAAGCGAAAAGCGCCGAACCAATACGCCCTAGCTGTACTGACCAAAGTCAGCCCCTAACGAAACTGGCCCAACCAAACGAGCCCAGCCCGACGAGGCGGCTCTAAATGGGCCAGCCGCACGTAACTAACTTTGCCCAATCAGTCTAACAAAGCAAGCCCAGGTCAGCGAGCTCAGGCCACCTAAACTAGACTCGCCTCGCCCCGCTCCCCTAAGCTGTCGGCCGCTCGCTGGGTCGGTCCACTCACAACCGCCGCAAAGTGGGAGCGTGGTTTAGCAAATTGGCCCGCTCTTCCTGCCGGCTGGACCTGATCAACAGGCCTGAGGCATTTTCGCTCCCCCCGTGCCGGTGCGCTTGGTAATTGCTCACCTGTTTGTTGCAGTCGGAAATCGTGGCTGCGCTCTCCGTCTACCTGACTGTCGCACACGAGCGGCTCTCAATATGCTGAAAAGCTTTTTGCGGAGCAAGAAGTGTTTAGGAAAAACCGAAGGAGCGCAAAGGCGATTGCGCAGCACCATGAGTCTGGTGGACTCGACAGCCAGTTAGGACTATTAACGACTTCGACTTGAAGGAAATATTAACGGCGCGAGCGCTTACGCACTCTGCTTTGAAGACCGGGTGACGCTGTTTTCATAGAGGCAAACAAAAAGGAAGTCGCATACGCACAGCGGAAAAAAAAGTTCAGACAAGAGATGAAGGTTCATGTCACAAAAGTCTCTGACATGTTCGACTGACACTTTTTTGATTCTGAATAGGCTTCATCGAGCGTTGTCGTCGCTCTTACCTATGGCGAATTTTTAGTTCTTCATAATTTTTTTCGAATTTTCAACTTGAAAAAAAAGCTTGTGCAACTTCCTTTCGGCAGAGGCGGTGCCCTACATCCGGCATACGGAGGTCGAAAAAATTAGAAAACATGAAAACTTGTAGATGATACTATACGAAGCAAAAACCACATTTTCCACCACTTGATACGATCGCCTTTTCATAGTCGGGTGCTGAGCAGTGGCACATTGTGAACGCTTTCGCGACGTTAAACGAAACGCAGGAAACTCGTAGTGAAGACAGCAAGCACCAGTGGGGTAGCCGAGCTAGACGGAAAAGTAGAAGTTTTGTAAATGAAGACGGCAAGCAGTCAGAAGGAGTCTTCAACTTGCAAAGGTGGAAAGAGCACCTTCTTAAGCGTGTACGTTGGGACTAATCTTCGCGCGGCCGAGTAAGAGTTAGCCTATTTGCGCGGCTGACTAAGAGTTAGTCTATTTTTGAAGTACGTATGAATCTGAATATGCTGATGATGTTGAGCAAGAGCAATTCGTCCGCGTCCGTTGCTCTTGTGTTCCTTGAGAGTGTGTTGTTCGAGATAGTACGACGATCAAATTGCTACCTCTTGCATTTCTTGCTCCTCGGATACGTAATTTATTCGCGAAAGACGCTAGAACTAGAAGAGACGCTATGTTGTACGCTATGTTGTAAGATCCAAATCGTGATCCAAGAAGCGGCTGTTCTTCAGCTCTTCAAGTTGACATGCTGCAGACGGCTGTCGCAACCGAGTAAGTGGAACTGTTCGCTTCTCTGAGCAGAAGTGTTCGCATCCAGGGTAGAATGTCTACCACATGATCATCAAGAATAGAATGTCTACCACATCAAAGGAACAAGGACAAGATCACTTTGTCTACCACATCAAAGAGATAAAGATGAAGTCGATGTGATTCTGTGAAAGATCGTCACTTTTACTGTGAAGAAAGATCGTGAATTCTGTGAAGATCCTACATTATTTTCGATTGGCTTACATTTGATTTCTTGCTCGCAGTTTATTTCTTTCCTTCTATCCCTTTTATACAAGACTATTTACCGCCTCTTTCCTCCTCGCGCTCCTATAACCACCTTGAATATCCCATTTATCGTACCTGAGAAAAAATGCATTGCAACTAAAAGTTCAATTCATGGTTTAGAGAGAAAAGATTGCTTCAATGTTGACACAAAAAGATCAAATGTCTGTATGTGTTTACGAATCGGGAGAGCAATAGATCGCTCCTTGTGTTCACACGCTGTATGTTTCCTTGTTTACGAATCGGGAGAGCAATAGATCGCTCTTTGTGTTCACACCGTGGAAATAAAGTAGATATACTTGTTCACACGCTTTGAAAACGCTACCCAGTTGTACGCATCAGGTTCTTGAAGATTTCTTTTTTTTATATTTCAGTTTTCTAGTTGTACAAGTACAGCTTCCTTCCGCGCAGTTCTTAATTTGTTCCACAAATGTAAAGTTGTTCTAGTTGTACCTGCTCTTGTTTATTGACAAATTTATTTCTTTCATCATCAACAGAATGACGACGTTCTTCGATGTAAACGATTTATTTGGGAGCGAGGCGCTTGGTGCAGGAGGACTAGGCTCGGCCTCTTCTTCTTCATCCTCGTTTAATAATAATGCAGGAGCACCAAATCTGAACCGAGGTGGTGGGCCACAAATCGGAGGAGCTTCTTCCAGTAGTAGTTCTTCGATTCCGAACCTGCAGCCTCAGAAAGAAGAGTTGAGGTGTCAGAACTGCGGATCCTTAGATGTGCAACTGGACCCTTTCAGTGGGGACAACTTATGTGGGTCATGCGGTGTCATCGTGCAAGAAAACCGACTAGTCGCAGAAGTTGGATTTCAAGAGGGAGCAGGAGGAAAAAAGGCGGTGATTGGACAGAGCATCACGTGGGGACCAGGAGGAACGGCAATTAGTGCAGCGCAAAGGAACATTAAGCCTTAATCTGAAAATGAAGATAATGGAAGATAGACAATTTTTAGCTCAGTTCTTTTTCGCAATAACCCATCAGTAACGTGTGATCTTCAGAGTCTGATAGTTAGATAGCTACACCTGTAGACCATCTTGAACGTTAGCTGAAAATACAATCGTAGCGCACCAGTGAGACAAACCAACAATACTGACTACAAGTTGACCACGCGTCTTTTTTACTTCCCGCATCTAATCCTGGCAGTCGAGACATCACTCTAGCAAGAGCAAAACGAAATGTAGAAGCCTTTGCGGGGAAGCTGAGAATTCATGGCGCTCATCAGGACCAAGCCTTGCGGATTTTCAACTTGGCAGTGGACAAGCAGTTCAACAAGGGCAGGAAGAACATGTTGCTAGCCGCAGCATGTCTCTACATCGTATGTAGAAGCAACCGCAGTCCCCACTTGCTCATCGATTTCGCGGATGCTTGTGAGGTAGTCTATTATGTTGACTAGTTACGCCAGAGAAGTTTTCTTGGGCGTTTCATCATGTGTGGTACCTATCTGAGTGCCAGCATCTCAGTATCGATATTTCCCAAGAACAGCAAATAATTTTTACAATCTCTCTCTCGACCATCAGTTTTCCGTGCGCGATATTGGGCAGACCTATATCAAGCTGGTTTCGGTCCTGAGTCTCGATGACCTAGTGAACGTGCCGATGATCGATCCAAGTCTTTTTATGGAGCGCTTTGCCTTTCGCATGGACTTGGGAAATAAGACGGGCACAGTCGCCAACACTGCAGTAAGACTAGTGCAGCAAATGAAAAGAGACTGGCTGCAAGAGGGAAGGAGACCGACTGGTAATTTGTTGATTTCTTGTATTGCTGTGTAAGTTGATGTTTTCCAGTATTACTTACTTGAAGTTCCTATGAATGCTAGGGGAGATGCCCTTGCTACATCTAGCTGGGAGCTTTGACAGCAGTGGGAGAAGTTTGCTGGCCATCTATTCTATCCTCGTATGAAGTGAAGAGAAATATATTTATGGGAATCATCACAGGTCTTTGTGGTGCAGCTTTATTGGTTGCTGCTCGTTGGCACGGTTTCGAGAGAAGTCCGGAACAAGTGGCAAATATCGTGATGATGGCAGAGAGCACTTTGCGAAGACGTTTGTACGAGATGCGAACCACCACAGTTAAGGCACAGCTTTCAGTCTTTTGCTTCTTCACATAGGTAAAAATCATAGTGCAGCGTAGAAGATGCGCGAAATCTGGATTCTTAGGTCTTTGAAAAAGAAGATGCGCGAAATCTGAATTCTTAGGTCTTTGAGTTTTTTTCATTTCTCAGAAATTAGTACTGGCTAGGCCGAAATTATTGCTTTACCAATGAAGCTATTTCAATCAGGATGACTTAGCAAGAATATTGAAATGAGCCTCAGTCCTTCTCTCCTCTAATCCATTTGCTGGCATGACGAAAGGCGAGGTAATGGCAGGAGAGGAGAAAGTGAGTCTGTGCTTGCCACCATGCGCGAAGCCAGCGATATTGAAGGCCCACATGGCTGAGCAAGCAGTCGCTTTGGCTCTCGAGTATCAACAGCCACAAGAAGCGCTGACCGATGGCAATCAGGGGGAGCAAGGCCAAGGTCTTGAGCAGGCACAACCAGGTGAGCAAATCGGAGGTGCAGAGAGTTCAAAAAAGTTAAGGCAGTCTCTCTCTCTATCGTAACTGTTTAGTAGTCTTGATGTTCTAATTGCAGGTTTCTCGTTGTATTTTCTGAGCTTATGCGCCTTTTCTACGGATGGGGCACGGCGTTCCTGGCGATCTTCATCATGTTCCCCTTAGTCTGTTTGTTTGTTTGTTGTCCGAATCAAGTGAAAGATGGACGACGGGGACTTGTACTAGAGAGAAGAGGATCAAGTAGAGTATGAGTGTTTGTAATCGTCATCCAGTATTGCAAGTTTCCAACTCTAAGAACAGCGGCAGATGCGAGATTTGGTACCTCAGGAGAGAGTATTCGGCACTTAGCGGCAGACCTGGAGAACGTGGTCGGCGCAGCAGCGGCAAAAGATGCTGCTTCCTCAAAAACAAGTGGTGCCAATCCAACTCCCACCTCAGCCCTCGGCGAAGAGACCACTTATGACGTAGATCACGCGCATCTCTTCGACGTGGACATGGGAAATTTGCCAGGTGGCGACGTTATCCCGCAAAGCCATGCGGCCAGCGAATACGACGCGGAACTCAGAGCAGCACTGATTGAGAGCGGCGATGTGGGTGAGGTCGAGGAATCCTTGTCGGATGTGGAGGTGGACGAAGCATGTCTGCACACTGAAAACGAGGAGAAGTCGAAACGCGCAGTCTGGCGTGAAATTCACAAAAACCAACTGGAGGAGATTCATTATAAAACTTATGGCAGGACAAGTATACGCTTTTGTAGAGTTAAAGTGAGATAAATATAGTATCCATCTTTTTCGGCATCTCGGTACCCTTTTCCCTTGTATTATTCCTATGAAATGATACAAGGGTAGTAAAGGGGGCAAGGTGAGGGGGCCGAGATGCAATCTAGCAGACTCTAATAGAGGACTCAAAACTTCTTCTGATCAGTAGTGTTTCGTAGCCGATTCAAGACTTCTGATGTAAACGTAAACGACGTCGATTCTGTGAAATTTTTCTAGGAATCTACGACTTAGGAATCTACCCCTCTCTCTCTCCCTCTAGAACCACCAAGCCCTTTCTAATCCCCATTGAAGCGTCAGCAGGAGCGAGAGAAAAGAATAGCTTTGCAGACTGAGAATAGGAGACTAGCACTCACGGACGGTTACGGGATCAACACGGTTTCAAGTGCAGACCTGCTAGACGGCGTCCCATCCTTAAGAAAGCGGGATATGATTTGACCTTCTTGACTTGATTCATGAGAGAAAGAGGTTGCAACCAAGTTCCGTCTACCTGTTTCACTCTTATCGTGATGAGAGTGCACAGGAAATCAACAAAAGAATTGGACTCAAGGTGAGACACTGACTTCAGGTAGTCTTGGGAAAAAGACCATCTCTTTCTCTATGACTAAAGAAGCTCGCTAATGTTTTCATCAGCAGCAAACAGTACAGACGGATTAAAAGGAGCATAATTTTTTGACTAAAGTACTAGATCTCTAATTTTTTCAGCAAACAACACAGACGGATTCGGCGATGCGAACCTTGGAGGTCCAGCTCCCAAAAAGAGAAAGCAATTGGGAAAGCGTTCTGAGACGGCGAAAAATTTGAAGGAAGCTGCGAAGGAGCATTTTCACACCAGTAAGATCGCAGAAGCCAAATTCAACCTCGATGAATGGGATTCGTTATTTCAGTGAAGAAGGGGATATAGTTGATTTCACTATAAGAAGATGAGATAGCCCATTCCACTGATAGATGTCTCGTGATTTCGGTTGTTGCTATGAAGAAGAAAGGAGCTCCGCGGAAGATTTTGATAGAACAATAGTGAAGACTCTCAGTAGATGAATGGGGCTCTTATTTGAGGCAATCCGCCAAATAGAATCACATCATCAAGGCAAATTCAACTTCAATCAATGGGGTTGGTTATTTCAGTGAAGCAGGGGAGAAGATAGTTGCCTCTTTATTTCCCGTGGTACTCTGAAGAAGAAAGGATCTCCGCAGAGGATCTCTACATTGCGATAGTGAAGACAACACGTAGAAACCATGGTCTGCAGAAGTGTGCCTAGGAGTGGAGCCGAAGCTCCTCTAGGTCTCAGACACAAGCTGCAAAGTAGTTCTTAAGTGACCGACCAAATAATACATCGCTGGTCGTACCCCCTCTAGGTACTGAAATGACATAGATCTAATTATCATTTAGACGAAATTTCTCTCTAACGAACTCTCTGTAGAGTATCAACTCTCTGTAGGGCACCCTTATCACAAATCTCTCAACAAGAACAACATCAAATCTTTTCGCTCTATATCAATCTCTCATCTTATTTCCTTCCTTTTACAATTTCTTACACCTATCACGCACTCACAAGAAGCATAAGAATGAATTGACTGCTGCTTTCCTTTCAATGAAGCTCGACAACGCATAGATGATGTCAACCTGGGACCTCAACATGAACGGATGTACCTCAGCGCACATGAACTGATGTTTTAGCGTCATGTTCTCCTGGTGTTCAGGGAAATAACTACCTGCTGAGTGAATGGAATTGAAGTATGTCTGTATGTGTGTCTGCATGTGTGTCTGTATGTATGTATGTATGTATGGACCAGAACTGGGAGGGTACCGGTACTAGAAGGGGTGGGAAAATAAGGGCTTCGACAAAAAAGGTAGAATTATCGATAAAAAAGGTAGAAGTAGAGGAAACGCAAAAGGTAGAAATCGAGAAAAATAGGAGCCTTAGAGAACCAAAAAAGGTGGAAAAAAGGTAGAAAAAGACGCAAAAGGGGCTTGGCAGGAGGTCGCAGCAAAAGGACGAAGGGCAACTTCTACAGAAAGAAGGGCTTGTCCATCTTACTTGCATATGCACGCACACTGGGGGGGGGCGGGGGGATCGCAAAGGGAGGGAGCGCACCGCAAAGCTCCTGCTGCGGGGGGGGGGCGGGGGGGTCGCAAATGGCGGAAGCGCGCCGCGAAGCTCCTGCTGCCTGGCAGTTGCCCGCGCGCCTGCCTCTGGCGGGTGCGAGGTACTGCGGCAAGAGCGGGAGAACATAGAGAAACGGAAGGTGCAGCAAGATGCGCCAAGCCTGAGGGACCGGCCGCAGCTTGGTGGCAATCCTGCCAGGACACTGCGCGGCCAAGCGCGCGCGGCTCCCCACCGGGCCCGGGCGCGCATTGCACAAGCCACCGGGGCGCTGCGTTGGCAGTGAGTGGGGTGGAAGGAGCAGCCTACAAGAAGGGCCAAGGTCAGGCCCCCTATTTTCCGGGCCCCTTCTGATACCGCGGCCCCAGTTTTTCCCGGGGCCATGTTGGCCCCAGTATTTCCGGGGACCCCGCCAGAACTATAAGGAACCCCGCGGAAAAATAAGGACCCGGGATTTTTGCGGCCCCGGTCCGATTAAAGGGGGAAAAGCACAGGGGCCCTTATAATACAGGGGGCCCAGTTTTTCCGGTCCATGTATGTATGTATGTCTGTAGGTATGTATGTATGTATGTCTGTATGTCTGTATGTATGTCTGTATGTTGAGTGATCAAAAGTGCAAAAAGCAAAAAAGATGCGGTTATTGGGGTTTGTATGGACTCAGAAAAATCGCCCAAAGGGAAGCGAGGAACAGAATCAGGCAAGCTGTCAAAAGACTGAGGTAAAAATGGAGCAAATCGGACGGAATCATTGGGAAACTGTATCGGTTTGAAACGTAGGAGAAAAGTGAGATTTTTGAAACCGAAAATTGGCTCCCCGTCCACACTCTAAACCTTGTTGTAAGTACCACATTGCAAAACTTAGAACCCACGACCCCTTGTAGCAGTATTTTTTCTCCACATGAGAATTCAGTAGAGCCTGATATTCAGCCGAGTCTGTCCCAGTAAGAATCTGTAAGTGCTAAAAGTAAAAAGGATCTTTACAGTCAATCTAAGTAGTTAAGTTTATCATCATTCTCAAACAATCTCCTAATGCTGCTTCCAGAAGTATATATTTGGTTAGTCGACTGCAATATACACATTCTCCACCCATTTAGGAACTTCAATCAAAATCAACACCACAAATAAGAAAAACAAAAAATGTCCTCACGCTGCGCCCGTCTCTGTCCTGTAATAAGGAGTCTGCTCATCTCATGCAAATAAGATTCTTGACTATCTAAGGATCAAAAGCATACTTGGCTAGTCGAGCATCAGGTGATTGTGGAAAAATTTTGGTGCAACAGTTTATTTGTTGCAAAACAGATGGGTGACAGGACGGAGGACGAATATGGACGCAAGTAAAATACAACTCTCTCACTTCTACAAGTAAGTAGTACTACTTACATGACATCACAGAGGCTACTAGAGCTACCACGCGAAACGAGCCGGGGTATGTGGTAGCTCTTCGCCAAACACGGATGCAAGTTGTGTGGTAGCTCTGGCACAAACACAGATACAACGAGTTGTGTGGTAGCTCTGTAAGGAAGACACATTGTGCGCTGCCGACACGAGATATAACTCGCTTTGTGGTAGCTCTGACACGCACAACGAGTTGTGTGGTAACTGAATGCAACGCGCTTTGTGGTAGTTTTAGCATGAACAACGACTTGGGTGGTAACGACAACAGACTGCAACGCGGTGTGTGGTAGTTTTAGCATGAACAACGAGTTTGTGGTAGCCGAATACAACGATTTGCTTGGTAACGAGGTAGTACAGCGAGTTGTGCGGTAACGGTCACAGATACAGCGAGTTGTGGACACAGACACAAAGAGTTATGTGGTAACGGTCACAGAGCCAACGAGTTGTGGACGTATATACAGCGAGTTGTGTGGTAACGGTCACAGAGAGTACAGCGAATTGCGTATTGTCTCTTGGGTATTTTCCCGGTTATTCAATGGCAATTATTGGCAGCTCAATCACTTGGATCGTCGAAGCTTGATCAAGATGATTGGAGGAGTTGTTATGGCCAGCTTTTGTTCATGTTTCGAAGTGAATTTTTTAATGAATGGCATCAATTGAAGCACACTCTAATCAAGTACGAAACGCTATCCCTTCGGTTGGTTTTGCGTCCTCTGCGAAACCTTGGAGCCGCGTAGAGGCCTGGAGCAGGATGATAACTTTCCTGTCAGCATCGTTGCTGGTTGCGCTTCTCGTTTTTCCAGTACGGGAGGTAATGATAAACATGATTATATTGTTATTGCACCAGGAGGATCCCATCAGCATGAAACTTCATTCACCATGCATGGTAATGATTTTTTTGATACTTTTTTTTAGTATTCTGAAAATTGCCTTGCATGAACCAGGTATTGGGTCACAGGCAATGCATAGCCGAAGTGAATGGGAAATCGGAGGTCTTTCGGCCATCGAAACTTGGCATGCCGTGCCCTTGCAGCTATTGCGTGAACCTCAGCGTCCCCGCGGAGGAATTGCGGAGTGACGGTAGCCGTCTCGACACTCACAGTCATTGCGTCATTCCCGGCCCGGAGGATTACTGCGCATCACGGATGACAGGTTCACAGCTGAAAAGATTCGACATGCGTGGCAGAAAAGCACATGAATCCAATTTATTCGATGCGGGCGAAATTCGTAACCGATTTTGCGGCAACAAAAATATGTACGAGAACATGCATATTGACGTCTGCAACCCAGAAAAAATTTTCGCCGTGTCTACCACAGTCCGTGCGGAAGAGAATAAGTGTGGGCCGCAGCAGATCGGAGGTAACCCCAAAGTCGCTTCGTTACGGCGTTCAAGATAAGTCATCAGTAAGCAATTATCATTATGATTCGTAGAGCAAGGGCAATTGGTGTAGCTGTACTAGCACCAAGCATGTTCAAGGACTCCGCAGGAATAGACTTTAATAGTACTGTTGTACTTTTATATAGATAACTGACGTAAGCGTCAATTTTTTCGTCGTCTAAACTTCCACAAGACTACTGTCGCAAAAAACTGCCAAATCGGGATCGAAGGCTTGAATTCCGAGAAGGGCAGCTGCGTAGCGCAAACAGCAATTGCTAGCCAAGCGCCTTCTGTTGTTCCTTTCGGTTTTTTTTTGTCGACGCTTATCAACAAACCGGGTCTGTCTTACACCTTTCTGAACGTGTTCCTGGAAGCGTCGGCGGAAGCGCAACGACCGGGGGTTGACCAAGGAATTATTATGGAAGGCGTTCGTGGTGCAGGACTTATAGTCTACTTTCCTCTTTCCTATTTTGATACACCGATAAGTTTGACGATGACCAAAACGAAGTGTGTGAAGCAGGTTTCACTCTTTCTCTGAAGGATCCCTTTCAATGAATGTGTGGCCAGCTTCTCGTGGATGAAGAACTTTCAATGCGAATCGCTGTCTGTAAACTAGGGATATGAGTAGAACAACCTCAGACCTTTACTATTGATATCTATCTATCTCCCCCTCACCGAATGTGGGTTGTCGTTGGCCCGTTTTGTGATCCTCACATGTGCAAATCCACCAAGTGCTGGTCTGAATCATGGTGTGAAAGAAAAAATTGTTCCCCGCTTTTAGCGCACAGATGTGCTGCCCAAGAAGTTTCTGCCCACTCTGTCCCCTCTTCATTTTCTAGAATATCGTCATGAATGCGGACGCAAAACTTGTGCTGCTGCGAAGTCCGCAATATTGCTGTGCAGCTCAGGGACCTGGTCTACCGTGCTTTGACCCGAAGCTAATTAAGAACTGCTTCACCGAGGCATTCAAAGCGCACGTGGAATTATGATCAAGTCGTTCATAGTGGCAACGCACGTACCTCAAATGATCTGGACATCGTGCAAGGGTTAGAATCGTCCTTTTCTTTGCGTAGAGTCTCTTCAGCATGGATTCTCAGAGAAAGGTGCGCATTGTCTCATGCTGTCTTGCTTGATTCTTTGAGCTTATAATCCTCACTTTAATTTGCAACGCCCTTCGGCAATTTATCGACGCCTTCCGGTTGTCTCACTTCGTGGACTACACAACAATCAAATACTGGGTACACATGGCACGGCACGGGGTGCAGATAGAGATAACACCGAAAGCGAATCCGACAGGTAAAGGACCAGTTTTCGTCAAACTGGATCCCGAAGCTTACCAGGAAGCGCAGACGCATGGGTACGAGTGGCAATGGGGGTCCGAAGGCGCTGAAGATCTTTTTTCCGGCCCGCATACTGTAGCTCAGCAGCTGCAACAGGGGATGATGTACTATGTAGGTGGTGGAAACCTCTTCGACCTGATGGCAACGACGCGCATTCCAACCACGAATCATGGTGTCATCATCCCTGGGCGACGTGTGAGTGGCACCAGCGAAGCAAAATGCGATGAATACACCTTCGTTGCGGAGCATCCCAAATACTACAAGAATTTGTGCAACTACTGGCGTCTTCTGCGGGACGGGGCGCCGAACCCTTCCACGGAAAATAAACCATACCGCATTTTATGGACAGGTCCTTGCTACGCTATGTGAACTGTGTTATTTGAGTCTACAGTAATTAGATTTGACAGGGGACGACAGGACATCTAATTATTTCAGCAGAAGAACGAACTCACTCTAAATCTCGCTCTCCTCGCTGGGCAATCAGCGGGTTCGATGATCATGTCGGAAAACGTCAATTTTCTGCACTTCAGGCTGTCCGGTGACCCGCCTCCTCATATCATACAGAATCCTGAGGACAACCAAGGCAAACGTTACGGGTAGTTTTTCATTATGTCCTATTTGGTACGCCATTGAGAAAACCCTTCACATTCGAAAGGAGGAAGGCGACCACGGATGAACTTGGGGCATTATGATGAAAAGTTACCTCTAAACCCTCGCGCCCGCCTACTGGGAACACCAGAAGGGCGACGGAAATAATGAGAACTTTTGCCCTGGAGTGCCGCAGCTTCCTGAGAAATGTGACTATTTTCATAGCGACAATTCATATGGCGACAAGTATGTTACCATAGCTCATCTTGCGAAGATACGATAAGGACTTAATCTTCTCAGCTGACCATGAAACCCACTCTGCACTCCTAGAGGTGCAAGGGAATTCAAGCATTTCTAGTGTTGATAAGAGCCAGTTGTTGATTACGTACAAGACACGAGAAAATACTGCGGCGTTTTCCACTATAAGATACTTACGTGGAATCTGTAACTACTATCTTCGCTCTAATTTATTGCGCAATTCGTTACTGGGGCGCAAGGTTTAAGGACCTGTCGCATGCAACAGCAGGTGGCTTTAGCATCTCCCAGATGGACTCCCCGTCAGCTCTTGCAGAAAACAGGGGAACCCGAAGCTTCAGGCATCACCCCCAACCTGGCGCCGTGTGAACCAGCGTGCCTCGAAAAATGCGCATCTGCGTCGTTTTCATGTGACGACTTGACGTCTTTGCTCGTTGGTGGATCTACGAATCTGGGCTTCGGCTGCTCGCATCACGACGTCTCAGTTCTGAGTAACAATCCGCGTGAGTGGGACTTGGCCGAAGCTTACACTACTTTAGGCTGGATTGGCGGCGACCTGAGTCTGCGTCCGCACGCGTGCAGAAAAGAGATTAGCATTTCCACCGCGGTAAGTAGTATATGGAGCAAATCTTTCTGATATTGTAACGAACTTCGTGAGGGCCTAACAGATGCTGGCCTGATAAGCTAAGATACGCAAATCTTCTTGCCCTCATTCAACCAAGAAGATGATACAATTGACCCGTCATCTTGGGTTCCCTGCTAGATCATCGTTTCTACAAAGTGGAAGACTTATCATTGATTCATTACTGCATGTCGGAATCTTTCATTTCGCAAATGAAAATCAGGGCGTACATTCGAGCAAAATGGAGCTAAAAGCAACGTACAAACCTGATGAGTACCCGATGAAGGCATGGCTAGCATCTAAAATGGTGTCACCAGCAGTTCCGATGTTCGTTTACGCAGATGGCTCGGTGTTGATTGGCATTATGCTCGGGTGTTTTTCACTAAAGTTTGCTAAGTTTTGAGAATTTGAAGTATCTTTTAAACGATTGGAATTCCTCATGGTGCTCTCCCATCAAGCAAGGCGAAGCGGAGCTGGGCTTCCTTTGGGCATCCTTTTTTCCTCTTGAAGAGCATGAAAGTGAACGGGAAGTCGAGAAATAGAATATTGAAATTGACCACACTCTAATGTGAAATGGAACAACGACGGTCATCGCCAGTTGCGTTTATCGATAGGGAATGCCGATTTTGATTTGCTTACCGATGTTAAGGCGTAGTAGAGTGTATAGGGATATCGCATCAGCAGTTGCGAGTGATGGATCAACTCATAGGTTGATTGCTTGATTGACTCACCATTTCTGCCTGCCCCCTCCTGGCTGATAGATCATTCAGTAATACCTGCCAAATTCCATGGATGGTGAACATGAAGATCGCGATGGTAGGAGCAGACAACTCAGTCATTGCGTGTACAAACAGTGATTGTTTTTTTCAGCATTTTGTATGTTCAAGCTTCATGACTTGCCTGCTCTAACAAATGGGACTCAGACGAATCCGACACACCTCGTGTAGTTATGAGCACATTTATTAGGCGTTGGATGACGTGCTGTACAGAATCATCTTATTATTTTGTGTCCTAAGATCAGATGTTTAGAACTTGTCTCGTCTAGTTCGCCTAGAGACATTACTGACATCGGAACTAGTCGCTCTTTTTGCGAAAGCCAGTGAAATACTTGTGCTAAGTGACTGCGTGCTCTAATATTTCGGGAGCGCCCTTACGGCCATTTTATTACTAGACTTCAGCGCCCGATAGCTCTCCCTCCACTAGAATCCTCCACCTCCTTCGAGCATTTCCTTCGCCAAGACGCGCCTCCCCCGCTCCTCCTCCGCCAGCTCGCGACGCTTTCCTGGCGAAGTGATCCGCGCCAGAGGAGTCGGAACAGAAGCGCCGCGGAATTTAACAGAGGAGGTTTTTGAGATGTCTCAAGGTTTGTCTGCTTTTGAATTTAGTGCAGGGCTTTGGATTGGGAGCCTTGAGCGCGGAGCCCCGCGCGTAAGTCTTTGAGGTGGAGAATTAGGGCGAGAGTGATGGAAGCTTTTGGCTTGCAGCTTGAAGCCCGCGGCCGCTTTCAGTGTGAAGATTTGAGCTTCAGCAAAACTCGAGGCGTAGAGCTTCGGGCTTGGCGCTTTGATTTTGAAGCTTTGGACTTGCAGGCTGAAGCGTTGGACCCGAGCGAAGTTGTGGGCTTGAAGGGTTTGGCCTGGGGTCTTGGGTCTGAGATTTTGGGTCTGAAGTTTTGGGCTTATAAGATCTTGGATCTGGGGCTTTGGGTTGGAAATGTTGGGCTTCAGGCGCTTGGTTTGAAGTCTTGGCTTTGAAATTTTGGGCCTAAAGCCTTCCTTGGGCCCGAAGTTTTGGGCTTGAAGTTTGGGGCTTGAGGCCGTGGGCCTGAGGCTTTGGGCTGGGGGTTTTCGATCTGAGTTCTTGATCTTGAAAAATTTGAGAAGTTTGAAACTTAGTTTTGGTTGACAAAGTCAAAACTTTGCGGCTTTTGCGCTCTGGGGTTGAATTCGCTGGATTTGAATTTCTCAAGTCCCGGACTTGGAATTCTCAAATCCCGGACCAAGTCCCAAAGTTTTCGATTTTAAACATTTTGTCTGAGGGTCCGCTTCTTGGCTTCGAATTTCTCAAACTTCGAAGAATTCCGCGCTATTTTGTCGCTTTGGGACGGATTAAATTTGCTGGATTTGGGTTTCTCCATCCCAAAATTTTTCATTTTCGACGGCTTCCCTGAAATTCATTTTCTTGGCTTCGAATTTCTCAAATTTCGAAGCCTTCTGCGTTATTTTGTCGCCTTGGGATTGGGTTCGGCACTCGCTGGGCTTGGATTCCTCAAACCCCAAAACTTTCGACTTTAAGCCGCTTCGCTGAGATTCAATCTCTTGGATTTGAATTTCTCAAACTTCGAAGCTTTCCACGTTATTTTGTCGCTTTTGGATTAAATTCGCTGGATTTGAATTTCTCAAACCCCAAACTTTTTAACTTTAGAAATTTTTTCTGAAATTCAATTTCTTGGATCATGAGTTCGAGGGTTCCTGCGTTCGTGAGCTTGTGGGCCCATGAGATTACGGGCGGAAGCTCATGAGTTTACGGACATAGGTGCGCGGGTTCATGCGTTCGTGAGTTTAGGGGTTCGCGAGTTCATGGGTTCGCGAGGTTGTGGGTTCATGGGGTTATGGAGTAAGTTCTCAAGTTCGTGGGTTCCGGGGTTCGTAAGTTTGTGAGTTTGCAAGTTCGTGAGTTCTTGAGTTTATGCGTGCAGGTGTTCAGGGGTTTAGGGGATCAGGGGTTTAGAAGTTCAGGGGTTTGGGGGCTCATGCGTTCAGGGGTTCAGGAGTTCCGGGGCTCAGGGGTTCGCGGGTTCCTGGGTTCATGGGTTTGGGGTATGGAGGTTTTTGTGTCGGAGGTTCAGGGCTTCGGCGTTGGGGGGTGAGTTCATGGGTACAGGGGTTTAGGGGTTCAGGCGTTCAGAAGTTCAGGGGTTTAGGAGTTTAGGGATTTAGGGGTTTAGGAGTTCAGGGGTTCAGAGGTTTAGGGTTTCAGGGGTTCACGAGTTCACGGGTTTACGAGTTCATGGGCTCGCGGGTTCCTGGGTCCCTGGGTTGTGGTTTGTGGTTTGTATCTCGGAGGTTTGGGGCTTGGGAGTTTTTTTGTCGGAGGCGGAGGGTTTGGGTGTTGGAGGTTCGGGTGTTGGAGGTTGAGGTTTCGGATGTGAAGTGTTTGCTGAATTTTGTTGCTCTTAATATTGCAACCGACATCGTATGGACAATTGTTTTTCCTTAATTTACAGCTGGTACTAGGGATTAGGTATCTTCTAGCCTGACCCTTCACCAGGCACATCAAGCGATTAGTCAGGGTCCCGTGGGACTCTTATCTGCTCTAACGAGTCGAAGCATGGCACAACAACCCCGGTCATTCCATTTACATCTCGCCCCCCGAAAGCTATGAGCATTTTAATTAGACGTTTGATGACGGGCATAAAGACTTTTTAACTTTCTAGTCTTTCCCGTAACTTGAACGTCTTTCTAGTAATTCCGATCTCTAAAGGTCCTGCTATTTTTCTCGTAGTATCTCTCAAATCAATTCCATCGATGGGTAATAATAAGATGGAAATACTAGAAGCAAACAGCTCAGCCATTGCGTGTACAGTCAATGCTTGTAGTATTTGGGATTTTGTATCTTCAAGTTTCACGACTTGCCAGGTATGAAGCTGCTCTCTGCTCTAACAGGGTAGAAAAGATGGAGCTGCGGTCTGTTAGTAGTGAGGAAGCCGAACAAGACGTTATGGGCATATTGATTAGAAGATTGCTGACGTTTATCGGCACCTTTTTAATTTGCCTTCCAGAATTTATTAGATATTGAAAACTTATGCATTGCGCAGCGGCTTCTCTGCTACTCGAGCTAGGTTACTTACAGATTCGCTTGTGTTGTGAAAGCAGGCATGTCACTGAAACACTTGTTGCAAATTTCTATCTGCTCTAAGCATCCACCAGGGCCTCGACCAGGTTCTATGCCATTCACCCCGAAAGCGCGTGGGAAGCAGGCTTCCTTCCTAGAGGCCGTAGACGTGGATCCAATCGCGGAACCTCCTGAAGCCTCGACTTCCGTCTCAAAGCCAGAGCTGGAATCGAATTCCCAACCAAAGGCAGAGTTGGAATCCAACTCCTTTCTGGAGTTGCTGACGCCGACCGATGGTTCCCACGACAAACCGATTGAGCGTCACAGTGTTCATCTTATGACTAACGTACAATAGGGGTCGACCTCATCATGTAGTAGAAGTGACAGTAGTAGTGCTGGTAACCACTAAGGCCTAAGCCCTAATCCCTACATCACAGTTGATCTGTTGTTCTAATCATCAGATACACGCTGCTAAAAAAGGTTGTAGACAAAATGAAAATGTCCAACTACTTATTGCTACTTCTAGTGCTAACCGTATTATTAGTTTTTAAAGAACTTCTCTACAAGAAGTGTCTTCTAAGAGTCTGCATCAGGAGGACGAAAGTGCAGAAACGGACGAGGTGGATGAGTTCTACGAATAAGGATTGTGAAATGTTTGATACACTGAAAAGAATTTGATACACTGAAAAAACTAGACGACCTTCATCATCCGTGAACTGTTATAATAGTCTAATTCTCACAAACCACAAAGTTATCGGTAGCTTAGAAGTGCTACTCGGGATGCCAATCAATCAATCAATCAAACTACACAAACTTCATCATCCGTGTAGTGTTATAATACTCTACTTACCTCCTTCATCCAAATTACATACTTGGAGCGCATAAGACCGCACAATCGGCCACAAATCTACGCATATCGGAGGAGCCACACACTCGACCCCTGTAGAATAACTAACCTAATACACAATGTAGCCGCACATTCGACCCCTGTACCTAATACACAATATTGCATAACTACTACTCCTAGTACTACTACTCCTACCCCTCCTACTACTCCCCCTACTCCTGCTACTCCTACTACTCCTGCCACTCCTCCTACTACTCCTAGTACTACTCCTACTAATACGGACCCTACTGTTTAACTACTACTGCTACGAATCCTTCTACTCCTACTACTACTAATACGAACCCTACTACTCCCACTGCCCACATCCCCCTCTAACATTTGGACGCTCTCGGAATGGGAGTGTAGTTCGGGAGGAGCTTGGAATGGAGGTGGAGGAGTGGAGATAGGGGGTAGAGTTCAGGAGGAACTTGGGATGGAGATAGGGGTTGTAGTTCGGGAGGAACTTTAGATTTACATAGGGGGTAGAGTTCGGGAGGAACAAAGAAGGGGCTTGAGCTCTTTTAGAATAGGCTGATGCTTTTTTAGAAGGAGTTATTGCCTTTTTTTCTATTGAGTGATGGGGATGAGAAGGACGCACGGAGAATCTTTTCCCTTTCGATTGACGTTAATTTGAGGGGGTGTGTTGAGGAGTCTCTTCTATAGGGACGATTTAGGGATGGATAGAAGGTGCTCACATTCCTATTCTTAGTAGGTGGTTGATAGGTAAGAGGTCTTCGATAGGTCACGGGCCGATCATCTATGGGTAGCATCCTAGGTCTTGTTGTAGGAAAATATCAATATGTTTTCTGTGGTGGGACCATGTTTCCGTTTCCCTGTGGGCCATAGGATGAAAGGAAAGTAAGACCTAAGGGGGAGTATTGAAATGGAGTTGCGCCTCATGCCTAGAAGAGGGTAGTGGAATTACATAGGAGGCTGCCTGAGTTGTGGGGCTCGTTTCTTAGCAGATTGGGCCTAGCCCATTGTCCTCTAGAAGAGTGAAGAAACCTGCCGCAGTGGGGCTCGTTTCTTAGCAGATTGGGCCTAGCCAATTGTCCTCTAGAAGAGTGCCGCATAAGAACCTGAGACTAAGATGACTTGTCATCTAGAGAAGGAGCGATGCTGCTCAAGTACCATAGAAGTGATCATGCTTCCTAGGACGTACAGGTGAATGCGGTGTGATAATGTTTATCTTTCCACGGACGCTGAAATGCGCTGGACAACAACTTAAGTAAATATCTTTTTGTTTGCAAACTTTTCACAGAATACTCATTGAATCACAATTTTTGGCAGTCAAGATTGTTATTGTTTCTTCAATACCAAGATTAAATCTAGCGAACAAGATTAAAAATTTTGTCAGTCTGTTTTCAACAACCAATGTTCGAAGGTCACTTTTCCATTTCAAATTAAATTAACAAGTTACAACTTATAGCAATCATCAAGTCGCCTCTCATCGGCTAAATATCGATGAATATCCAGCAGAAAACGAAAATGCTTATTCAACACAGTTAAATGAAACGCTCTTCCGAGGATAGCACCTCGAACTAACTATTTTTGACAACGTTTACAAAGAACAACACTTACAATGACCACCTTTTTCATTATTCACACTTACAACGGTCAATCCGTCACAACATTACTTTTTTTCGCACAAACACAAGTAGTACAACGAACTTGAAGCACGACAAAATATGGGTCAAAAATATCTATCAAATGTAAAGAATCAAAGAACACCAAGCAAGTGTAAGGCAAACATCATCAAAGTAAGGCTTTTTATGCACTAAAACTGTCTTCAACATCTCAACATTTCCAGTACGCAAGCAGTTTCATTCAAGCAAACAGGATTTTTCTTGCACAGGATTTTATTGGTGTATAGATGAGAAATGACCGAATTTCACATATCCCGCATAAAAATGAGCCTCTTAATTGAGTATGCTGCACACATAAATAGAATGGATGGAGGAACAAGATTGCTGCAAGAGCCTGAAGAAGATTTTCACTGGGATGGTCTGCGTTGCCTAAAACGCGTCGGGGCAAAAAAATGGCTTCATGTTTAAAGACACAAACCTGACTTTTCACCTTGCATCATACACGGAAAGCTATATGGAAAGCCTTCATATGGACCTATAGTTTGAAATTCGAAATCTGTTGTCGAACAGTGGTAGCGCAGCTCTGGAGACAGGCAGTTTTACTAGTTCTAGAGAGAGAGAGAGAGCAAGAGAAAGAAGGCTCAACCTCAACCTCCCAGAGAGAGCAATGGAGTAACAATCACAACTACTAGGTACCACTAATGCAACTACTAGTACTAGTACTAGTACTAGTATACCTGAGTCAGGCGAAGAAGAATCCGGACAAAAGAGAAGCATCGGTTGGAGAGAGGGACGAAAGTGGTATAAAAGGTATGTTTGTGATGTCTCACTTCGGTTGAGCATATGTGGAGCTCCTGCTGGATGGTTTCTTTCATCTCGGTCTTCCGTACTTCTTGCTATGGCAACAGTAAGGTGGAAGAGAACACTGATGTTGAAGCCGTACCTGCGGAAACCTTCTACCCCTTTGAATGCCTATCAGTATTTGATGCCAATAGTTGTGATCTGAAGCCTCAATACTGCATTTATTGTGTTGTCCCCCAAATGAGGCACTGCTATAAAGACAATTGTTTTTCTGCATCATGGATTGAGATAGCGTTCTTGTATCATCATCTACTACACTTTTTCGAGATCTGCAAACGACGCGCTTCCCCTGAAGCATGAGGTAACCAATATGTTGTACATTCACGATCTTGTAGGTCTGAGGTGGCTATTTCTTCTAGAAGAATAGATGGTGTGGTCGAAAAGGCCGCGACAGAGCGGCCGGCGGACCTCTGGCGCATAATCATACGCGGCAAGTGCAACCTCAGCATCACCGCCTTTTATCAGAAAGCGAACGCTTCTGAGAGGATTCTCGCTTCGACGCGCTGAGTAGGACTAGGAGGCAGTATTATTTTAGGAGCCAGTCTTGTTGGAGCACAAGTTCCTCGTGCAGTGCAGGTAGTACTAGCAGTGTACCACGACGCCGATGAAAGCGCAGTCGTGAACAGAAGAAGAGTAAAGTAGAGCACAGTACATCAAGCAGTGTTCTACTCAAGGACAGCGTAGTAAGCAGTATACCCCACGAGCACGACAAAGCAAGTTGATGCAGAACAGAGGAGGAAGCAAGAACCACTGCAGATGACAAGAAACTAGTGCGCAGAACAGGAGACGACTGTTTCTGAACAAAGAATCGCAGATCTTAGCAGTTTGCTCTGCCAACAACTCCTATAGGAAAAACGGATCAGAGGACTCAGTCCCTTCCAAAACAGCACGTCCTGTGCATAGTTTAGTACTTGTGATTCTGGTAGAATCATCCTCTTGGGAGAAGGATGCCGAAGCCAGACAGAAACGTCATTCGAGAACCACACACTTGTGTGTTAAAGACGCTGTTCTCAACAGGGAATAGTCTCCCTAATGCGGAGAAAAGGCACTGGCAATGGGCCACGCCACAGATAGAAGGTACGTACTAACTATGTATCTTTTTGGGTATGTTTTTAGTAGCGTGTCTCTTTCTCTCTCGTCAATGCTTCTCAGTAAAGAGCTAGGAATAGGATTTCGAGGTGGTTGCTGGAGTGTAGGATGTTCTTGACAGGTTTGCAATTACAACTACTGAACACCTCACGCGACGACGTCCAGGTTCAAATCCATGTGCGAGAGGGGGGCACACAGCTACGCTGGTGCAGGCAGGAGGTGGCCCTAAGCTCGTCATATTCGCAGGCCAGTATAACGATGAGGGCGTGTTTACGTGCCTTAACGACGTCTATGTGCTAGACGTGGACCAAAACATGTGGACTCAGCCTTTGATGAAAGGTAAGAAGTACTACGCTATGGGAGTTCTTGGAACCTTTGATGAAAGGTAGTGGTTCTTGGAACCTTTGATGAAAGGTAAGAAGTAGTACTACGCTATGGCATCTTTGTGTGGTAGTTGGTTTGGTTGGAAAGTAGTAAGTGTAAGTAGTAGGTGGAAGCTACTTGTAGGTAGGTCTAAGTATTGCATGATGACATTCGGGTTGAGATTGGTATCTGTTGAGGGTTTCTGTAAGTAGCATCTGTAGAATGTTTGAGCGTAGTATCTATTGAAGATTCTACAGTAGAATCTGGTTCAAGTTTGAAGATAGTATCATAGTATGAATACTATTGCTACCTCCAATGCCACTACGTACTACTATTTTATCTAAGAAGGACTCGCTTGATGTCTTTGATACCTTGTGTAAGACTATGAGATTTTCTTTGGTATCTGAATCTAAAAACATGAAAGGGTGTGTGTTGTCCTAGAAACAGATTGAAGTTGACTTTCTATGTCAATGATAGCATAAGACATACTACTCATCTGGACTCACACATTGTGAAGTGACGGAAACTGAATCAACCTGAAAGTGGACCCTCAGGAAATGAAATTAATTTGTGGGCGATAAAAAACCACTTTTTCGAGAATTCGCAATTTAGGTCTCAAATATCGGATGACCGTAATGATTGGGTCATCATTCTGGCTCTCTGCATCCACCTTATTTCCGCGCTCCTTCCTTTCATTATTCCCCACCTCCTCGTCACCCTTATTCCCCATCGCTTCGCCATCTTTGCTCGCACCGCCCTCACCCTGCATTTTCATCAAGGTACTCCGCCAGAGCCTCGATATGGGCATTCTGCGAGTTTAGTGGGTTCACGAGTAGTATATTTTGGCGGCAGAGGCAAGGACAATACGCATTTTCGAGATTTGCATGCGCTTGATGTGAACGCAATGACATGGTACCAGAAATTCGTCTTGAAATGCCCGTTCGCAGGCACCAGTGCGCACTACTTAATAGAGGTTAATGACGTCAATCTAGAATCTATTGATGAATTGATGTTGTACAGAGCGATCTTATCTCATACTGTACGACTTTAGTCTACAACCATCTACCCACCTTTCAGGTATCAGGGTCCATCTTCAGGTGGTGCGCCAGCTGCGAGAATGGGGCATAGTTCGACGCTATACGGCACTAATCTACTCCTATATGGAGGCGTTTCCGGGCAAAAGTAAAAATTTTTCTAATTACAGTTTTACTTAGTGGTCTGGTAGACTCCATTTTGGTGATCGCCATAAATGTTGAAGTGAATGACCACTCCGTCACTTAGTCTAGTAATTCTATCTTAGCACAACTGGTTAAGAAAAGACTTCTTCAGCCTAACAACCCGCCTCGAACACCTCCGACAAATGATCAATCTTATAAAAATCCAGGTTTTTTTCGGGTCTCCACGTCCTAGATTTGACATCTATGGCATGGCGAACGCAAGAAACGACAGGGCCAGCACCGTCAGCACGCATGGGGCACGATGCCGTCCTGATGGATGCGCAACTCGTGATTCATGGCGGCTTCTTTCTTCCGCCAGCTAGCACATTAGAGAAAACGGTAGTTACAAATTGACATATTCGTCTTGTTCATACCGATTGTTGTGTAATCTACTAATCTCTGATCAAAATGCTACTAATCTCTGATCAACCTTACCCTTAACCATCAAAATCCTACTACACCCTCGTTATTTTGTGATCGACACGTTACTACTAGGAAGCGATCGGGGACGCTCTCCAGCAATGCTATTTGAACGACTTTAGAGTGCTGAACTTGAATACGTGGGAATGGTCTCGGCTAAGGACCCACAATACGCCAATATCAGCCAGATTCGGGCACTCCCTAGTTCTCAGTGTTAAGGCCATAGGTTCTGCGTTCGATCATTCAAACAACATCAGCATTTGCAGCAACCAATAGATGAAGTACTTGGTTTCTGCCGGGTATGCTAGTGGAATCTTAGAGTAGTAATTTACAGGAATAAGAGATCGATGGCGCTTCATCCAGCAATACTGTAGGTTGTTCTACGCAATCGTTCAACATGGCCTGTAGTGGCAATCCGTCTTTCTAACAACAGTACTGATCTGATAGCATTTGGGGGTTGGAACGGAGTTGACAAGAGCGATTCCTGGGCAACGAAGGGCAAAGAAAGGTACTTTTCTAATCGTTTCTAAGTACTACAGTAGGTAAGGCTTTCCACATTGCATCCTTCACTCCCATCATTCTTAGCTCCTTTTCAAGGGGAGAAGAGGCCAAGGACGTTCTGAAGAATGGAACTCGGTAACCTTGAAATGTAGAAGGACGGACACAGCTCGTGAACTGGTTGCACATGTGAACCATCTGGATTCTGGAGGCCCAACCTATGAAAACTCCTAAAATTCAAGAAGACTGGCACTTCTAGAATCTTAGAAGATTTTACACAAACACAGACCACTAGAAGCAAGTGGAAGAGAGGAGCAGAGTAGTGAGAACTGTATGATCTTGCGGACTGCAGACATGCACTGGTCACAACTAGTCTATACCGGCACCGCACCTTGCCATCGATATTTGCATTCCTGTACGACGATATTAAGGCTTGGGATAGTAGTAAGGTGTTATAGAATTATTAGACTGCGTAAACACGTTCACGTAAGGTCGTAGGGTATGCTAGGTTTTTTTTTGCGTGGTACAACTTGTAGTTGTAGATGCAGTATATTACATTTAAGGGAGTTTTTCACGTTGGCTGTAGAAGTGCCTCTAATTTTTGGGCCGCATCTGATCGTTTTCGGAGGCTATGATGGCGGAAAACCACTTGCGGACCTCGTGGTTCTGAGAGAGACGACAGGGTGAGCCCTGTTGTTCGCTAAGGGGGTCCTTTTAGGTGTTGGGAGAAACGTACTCTTGAATAAATGCACTTCAAAAGCAGTTTCCATTTCTTTGACACTCAAAAAGTACTTCTCTATGTGGACGAGGCCTCGTTGTGACCTTGTACCTTGGGGCGACGACGTCTAGCTCTCGACTTGAGTAGAGTTTAACAAGTTTTCGTTCCTAAGACAAAGCGACGTTTCTAGTGACTAGATATTCCAAGACAAAGCGACGTGCTAGTTGAATTATAGCGTACACCTTATATAGCGTGAGTGACCTCTGCTCAACAGGAGAGGAGGCTGAAGTATAGCGACAAGAAGCTATGGAAAGAATGGCAGCTGCACTGTAGAGACCCGATTACATGCGATAAGATATGATGACATTGAAGTAAATGTGCAGCATGCAGAAGAGGACACTGAAATGGTGTCATACTCTTGGAAAGACAAGGGGAAGTGTCGCTCCTCTCAAACGCAGCAATTTATCCTGCTGCTCCTCTTCTTCGTGTTGTGCTAGTTACTCATTGGGTGAAGCTGTGTCAGCATCATTGAGTCTGGTTGGACGTGTCTAGAGATGTGCCTGCTGTGACGTGAGCAGCGCGATCGTCGATGTATGGAGAACCGAGTGAACAAAAAGAAAGGAGAAAAAGCAGTATTTCTTCTGAAAATGAAGCAAAAAGCGTGTGTTTAGCGGAACTTTTGTTCACAGCTCCAGCACAACTAGTTTGAAGTTGATGTAGAATCCTAAACAGAAATGTCCACCCAACAGAGTGCTTTTATTGCTTGTGGTAAGCAGTCCCTTTCAACATTGTAGTTGTGACAGTTGTATTAGATTCTTTCCTAAAAAATGAAGCACCGTTGCAGCTGTTTGAGCAGCGTCGGGTAGAGCGTGAGACGTGGATCCTTGTTGTGTTCCACCCAGAACGCTGGAGGAGAGACCATTCACGGTCAACGTGAGACTGAAAAAACGGTAGACCAGAATCAACGCAGAGCGCTGGATCTGTGGTGACCGCTGTGGAGCAGAGAGGACAAAGGACCTGGTGTTTGTTTCTAGGCAGAAGAGATTTCCGCACGCCGTCGCGATACTACAGCAGGGAAGAAGCGCTTGGGGACTAGTTGAGGCCAGCAGAAAGTCTGTGCCGATACCCGGAGTTGCATAGAGACGTACCTGCTGCACCTGGAAGAAGGCACATCGACAGGCTACTAAAAAAAGATCATTCTGTGGCCTTGGCGAGGGTACTTTTTGAAACGTGAAGCGGCATATAGACGACGAAGGAGACGGAGAGGAGAGAGAGTGTGCGCTCTGTAGCAGGAAGTTGAAGCTCTTGGAGGGCTTGTGAATGGACAGGATCGACGACCTCACTCTGGATGTTGTCCGGGAACGTCAAGTGGTCCTTGCGTCATCAACTCCGCATCGGCGTACACGCAAACAACACCCTTCTTTGTACAACTGAAGACATCAACGATTATACGTAGTCGACGAGGCGCTCTAAAAAGCAGCAACGATAATCGATCCTCTCTCGTCCTTTGTTGCTACACAGGAGACAACAAGAACTAGTATCCTCGTTTTACCTATCACGCACTAAAACAACGAGGACTAATTTACGTCGAGTACTGTACATCGCCTACTGCACACTACTCCACTCTCCTTCATCCGCTTCAACAACTCTTCTCTACCTTACAACCGGTTCACCAACAGCACCAACAAGATGTCGTACGATTATATGTTTAAGTACATCATCATTGGTGACACAGGAGTAGGGAAAAGTTGCTTGCTTCTACAGTTCACGGACAAGAGGTTTAGAACAGACCACGACCTGACAATAGGGGTCGAGTTTGGTGCAAGGCTGATAAGCATTGACGGTTATGAGCGTGTTGAAATATGTCGATGATCAAGAAAGTTCACTTGCGACGCATTCATGATGATGATCCGTTGTAACTTTTCTTATGTCTTACTTAGCAGCTTGTAGTCTACTTTCCACTGTTATTCCCATGAGATTCGCCGAGTCTTCAGACTTCTTTCCCGAAGGTGCCTCTTTGTCTAAATGTATACAAAGATCACAATCTTAACATCAAGCCTCTAATGCGAAAAAGCAATAAAGTTGCAAATATGGGACACGGCGGGCCAAGAAAGCTTCAAAAGCATAACAAGGTATTGACTGTATGTTGTAAGATAGTGTTAGTTCGATTTGGCTTATCCGTCTGTGCGTCTGTCTGATGTCGACCACACAGTGACCCTCTGATCCACCACACAGTGACCTTCTGATCCGCATCTTCCCTCCTCTATCATGATTTGTATCGCACAAACTAGAGATTCTTCTACGTAAACACCGAAGCCCTAAGCCCTATACAACTATTCAACAAGATGATACTAACGTAGCACTTAGTACTCGACCACAGGTCATATTACCGCGGTGCAATAGGAGCATTACTCGTTTATGATGTGACGAGAAGAGAAACGTTCAATCACTTAGAGCACTGGCTGAGGGAAGCAAAGGAGCATGATAGGGACGACAGGATGGTAACCATACTTAGTACCTTTGTTGTGAACTGGAACAGGAGGACACGACTAGATTTTTCTGCCTGATGATAGATGGAATAGTAGGGTAGAAGTGTAAGTCTCGATGTCGTGCTCTTGCGATAACAGATGTACAGTGTGATTGAAGCACAGCATGGCGATTTGGGTGCGTCGTCATCATAGCAGCAGGGTGCATGTGAGGGCAGTTGGGGCAGGTTTCTGCTGCTACTTTGCGAGGAGTCAACTTTTTTTGGACTAGAGGTCAATCTTGAGTCTAAGACTTCTAATATGTGTGGCATGATACCAAGTCTATCATTCCCATAGCTATGACCATACCAGTGACAGGATAGCAGCTAGATGTCAATTTTTGATGATATGAGCTACAGGAGGATCGTTGTAGGTGTCTTTGTGTCTCATTTCCAATCAGGCGCAAAGCTGTCACCAGGAAATTAATTTGAATTAGAAGTTGATAAAAAACCATTTTTTCGAGAATTCAAGAACGAAATGAATTCGACAAGCCAAATTTGAAAAATGTCAAGGTTGTAAATCTTAGAGATATGAAAGCTTCAAATCTTAGAGATTTGAAAGTTTCACCTTTGGTAGATCTCAGAGCTATGACTTGGATGATAGTGATTTGAAACTCTAGAGGTATCCTACCTCTCTTGGGACAGAAATAGACCTCAGATGTAAGTGGTCTAAGCTGACACGTACTTGAATGCTGATGGCGTGTCTTTTCTTTTGACAGTGAACGACCTCAGATGTTGATGGCCTAAGCTTACTTGAATCCAGGTTATCATGCTGATTGGGAACAAGAGCGATCTGGCGTCACAGCGCGAGGTTAGTGAGGAAGATTATGGCTATTGCACTTGAAACAATACCCCAACATACTTACAGTACATGTATCTATCGTCTTCTACGGGCAGCAAGTCTAAGCATGCATAGAGTAGGACTGCGATGATAGCAAGCAGTATACTGTGTCTAACGAGGATTAGAAGATCTCGATTCTACGCGCATGTAACAGCAGTTTGCTATCCCCTCGATTACTACTTCGAACTACTGCTCTAGTTGCCAACAATACAACAAGCTCTAAGAGGAAGGGAGAAAATTTGCGCAAGAGAATAATCTCTATTTTATCGAGACGAGTGCGAAAACGGCCAACAACGTGGAGCAAGCTTTCATCAACACAGCTCGAGAAATCAATAACAACATCCAGAACGGAAAGTACAACCTCAGCGACGACGTACTATCTATTATAGAGTTAGTGAGTAGAAAGTGTTTGATGAAAATCAATCTTCTGATTCGCTGTTTTTGGTTATTGATGTCCAAACCCATCTGCTCAGGCAAGCCATGGCATCAAGATCGGACTGCCGCCACCCAACAACCAGCATGGCGCCGGCGCGAGTTCGTATAGGGGACAGAGCAACAGCTGTTGTTGAGTTCATATCGTGAACGAATAATAATTTCGGCTCATTTGGTAGATGAATTTTGTCGCTTTGTAAGTCGCGCTCGAGGTCGAACCTCGTTGGTGAGTCATCGATTACCATGACGAAGAAAAAACAATCTTCTATAGTTTTTTTTGACTCAATATTTTTTCTGCCAAAGTTGCTACAATTTGTCAATGTTATGATAAAAGATCATATTACTTAGGAATCGTACGGGCTACAGGATCTTCACAGGAGATGAGGTAGACCAGTACTCTTCATATTTTTACCAACAAGCTCTGACTCCGTTGTTGTTAATAGCGTTCAGAAACTCAACGTATTCGCAACACACTACATCCGTGGAAAACGAAGCTGTGACTTCTAAATTCACTGTGCCAACGTAAAGCCCTGAGAAGCGGGTCTACTTACGAAGAAATCAAGAAGAAATTGTTGACATTGAAGTCTCTATAAGAGGAGTGTCCCGCTTTTGTTACTACGTCAACGTCTTCGGAGTACTTACCATAAAAAGAAGGGCACTACTATCTTCTTGTGTTCCTCCTGAGTATGTACTTCGGAGGTTTGCTGCGAGGTACGTGAACTAAGTACACGAGGATCCCTAGACTGATCTTTGCTATTGGATCCATCATCGTTTGGACGGCAGGTCTGGGAGTTAGTTGCGCTAGAGGACGATCCACTATCAACAAACGAGCAGGATCGATTATCATCTGAAAAGATCAACGCTTTGTCTGGACATCATTGTCATTGATTGCGCATTTCTCCCTCGCTCAGTGCGTGAAAAGAAGCTCACCAGACAGCGTACTTCCTACACCATCAAATGGCACCGTCCAGCGGTGGTCCTGTCGTTAATGCGCGTTGCAGCGATGGGCTCCCTGAGGGACTCCTCAGCTGCAACTTTTGGAGTGGACAAAGACGTGGGTCTTGGAGCGCTCGTCTGAAGTGTCATGTGGTGAGGAAGGTCTTCGGTGCTGCTTTGTCCACGTGTTGGTTGCTGCTATGCACGATTCTGCTGGTACTACCGAGTCAAGTCTTCCTATTGGTGGAAGGCGTCCATTACCTGGCTGCGCAAGAGAGGTTCCTGACAGAGGCACAGTACCATGAAGCTGTTGGATTCGAGGACCAGCACAACGTGGAGCGTTTGAGCTTTCGAGACGTCTACTTTTATGTAGTCGAAAACTGAAAATAACCGAGTAGCCGACTGAAATAACAGAGAACTACGCTCCTTTTCCGTCAGTATCTCGCTTATTTTAAGTAGTTACTCGCTTAATTGAGTTTATCGAATAGTCCAAGAAGTTGTGTCACAGTTGTGGCCTTTAATAAGCTGATTACGAACTCTGGGGCGAGGATACAGAATGCAGGGTAGGGCAGTTTTGTGGTGCTTCTTGTTGCCAGAAGTGAACCCTTTCTGGACTGAAGTACAATCTTGAGTCTAGAAGTTTAAAAACGTTGGATATGAAGAGTCTATAATTCGTATATCTATGACCATATGAGTGACAGGATAGCAGCTAGGTGCTCCTTTCTTATCATGTGAGCCACAGGGGGCCCATTTTGGGCGTCTTTGTGATACCATTTCGAATAGGGTGCAAAGCTGTCATTAGAGAATGAATTTGAATTAGAAGCTCATAAAAAACCATTTTTCCGAGAATTCAAGAACAAAATGAATTCGAAAATCCAAATTTGAGAGATTTGAAAGTTTCAAATCTTAGAAATGTCAAAGTTTCAAAGCTTGGAGATATCAAAGCCTCCACTCTGGTAGATTTCAGAATTCTGACGTAGATGATACATAGTGGCATAGATATACCTCTCAGGCGCTGTTGTTCTAAGCTTACTCAGCCACTTACTTGCTCTTTTCAGCCATGCTGAAAGCTTCTAATCAGATATAGTATCAACGTGGCATAGCGAACGAGATGCTGCAAAACTGGCTAAAAATGCGTGGCTGAAGAATGTGTGGCAGGTGGCGTTTATTACCGACCAGAAGAACGACATCTATCCCGAGCACCAACAGGACGACTTCCCACCAAGTGAATTTCCAACCATTAAGGCTGGGACTATTGGTGTCCTCAGGGTATTAGGTGAACGAAGATTATTTTCATAGGATTTGATTTTCATAGGCTGTGATCCTGGTAGATATCAGGAGGGGAAGGAAGAAGTTGGACCCAGTGCTGGCAATGGGCTTTCATTCAGAAGTTGGAAAAGACGCGGAGATAGCTGTGGACTCTTTGAATTTCTAATCCACTCTACGAGGGAAAGCTCCTACTATGGATGCGCAACACCGAACTGCCTCCGGATATCAAGTGGGTCGTGTTTTTGCCTACTGTCGATGCCTTCGTGCATTTGGGCCATTTGTACTACTTTTTGCAGACACATACCCCTTTGAAGAGGGGTAGAAAAGGGGGAGCATCAGACTCAGACACAGTAGTAGCATCAGACTCAGGCGGAGGTGGAACAAGGGAGGACCCGTCAGAGAAGCCAAGCGAATCTGAGGAAAATGCTGAGAAAGTAGAAGCTCCCCAGAGTACAGAGAGTGCGGAAGGAAGCTCTCCAACCGGTGAAGACGGCAACCTGCTTGAGCGAGTTTCCCTCGTTGACGAGGACGAACGTGCTGTAATGTATGCTTCTTTTGCGCCGAACACGAAGGTCTTCGACTACGATCTTTTGCCGTGTTCTCCGGTGATTTTCAACCGTGCGGCTTGGGACAGAATGATCCCCGAGATCACCAAGCGGGAATGCCCCTTCGTGGAAAGCAATGCGCTGTCCTTGGGATTCTGCAGTACGACTCGTGGGGTCACTGCTGTTTTTACCGACGCACTCCGATGCAATCCACCGAAGAACTGGCACGACGCGGCAGATTTAGTGGGCTTCCTCTTATGGTACATTTGATTGGGCTCCTCTTTCTCCCTTTCCTCCCACAAGCAACGCAAGAACTTTCGTTGTCATAATTCTTGAGAGTTGTATCAGGTGGATACTTAGTTAAAAGACTTTATCATCTAGCACGCAATGGAGTAGCGGCTGCGTCTGCAGTAAACAACTCAATACATACTTAGTTAAAAACTCAGGTAAAAAATCTGAAATCAAGCATCAGGATATCCGTTTAGCCTAAACTCCGGGATCCGTCGGGGTTTATAGACGCATTTTAGACGCAGGCAATCAAGTGTCACGAGTTCGTCTAAAGCTAGGGCTTTCTCAGATGCAGCCACGGTGGGAGAGGAACATGGAGGCGTCGGCGCTGGGCTTTGCAGGTGCTGCTGTTCGTGATCGTAAACGTAGACTGCGGAGGAGAAAGGAGTACCAGAGGACAGCCACGATAAGAGTACAGGACGAAAGTGTTGAGAGAACGGCAGAAAACGGAGAAGGCAAGCCTGACCATCCTGAAATAGCGCCCATGGCTGTAGTAGACGAAGGCTTTCCAAGTGCCTGTGGTTCTGGGGCTCGAAACTACTATCAGCCTGGTGTGGTCCCAAATTTGAGGTCACTGATAGAGTCATTCTGTGTACAAGCGCCAAGGACGATAAGGAAAAAGGATAATACTGGAGAAGGTGGCGAAGATGGCAGTGGCCAAGAAGCAGAGGGGCCTCTGACTTTTTCCTCTGACAACCCAGAAGCACTTCGAGACTTTTTTGCCACCCGTTTTGGCGGTGTCGGTCCTAGTGATGACCTGAGCAGATTAGTGGTGCTGAGGGGGTCGCCTCAGGAAGGCGAGAATGCAGTACGAAGTGCCGAAATGCTTGCGAAGAAGCAGTGGGTTTTTTGGCTGCAAGAAGAAGAAGATGAGCAAGAAGAGGCCTCGGCAACTTCTGTGGCAGCTTCTTCCTCAACAAAGCTGACGCGAAGCTACGTCAACGAGGAAGAGATGCGATACTTCATCAGGCAGTACGAAGCAAATTACCCAGATCTTACGTTAAGGCACAGTTTGTGCGTCTTGTTTGCCCTAGGCCGTGTTTACAGAAGAGAAGTAATTCTTCGGATGTTCATGCGAGTAGAAGGCGTTGCTGAAGATGTTAAGACGAGTCTCTACTCCTAGAGCTGGTTTAATAAGCGGAGGCACCTTGTTCAGGGAAGGTCCTGGGTTAGGCTTGGGCGGAATTTGTGGAGATAATAGTCAAAGCTCTAACGGTGGAAACGCTAGCTATCTTAAGGCTACCGTTGTTGCATCAACAGGGTCGCATCCCCTTCCTCAAGAAACTAGCAGCTACTGGAAGTAACTTTCACATTGACGATGCAGAAGAAAGAGCCTAATCGAATAAAAGTTTGTCCTTCGCTAGCTTCTCCCAAGGATGCGACGGTGACAGCTCTCTTCTAAGTATAGGGTCTATCACAGAAGACAATCACATACTGGCACTGAATGGCATACTATTTTCGCCTGCAGCCTGGCGCTTGACGGTGGAGCGCGGATTTGCAGGCGCGCTTTCAGAGCTGTTTATAGTGCATTCAACGAGGTTAAGGCCATAGATAAGTCAAAGTCTGCCCTTCTTGTCTCCTCATTTCTTGTTATGTTTTTCAGGATGTAGCTACTAGAAACTTACGCTTGTTATATCCTGACATCCGTGCTATCACAATCATAGTGGCGCGACAGGAAAGGACAAGAGCACGGCGTTGCTCGATTGCCCCTCTCATTCTATTTTGTGGATTCAGCGTCGCGACTCCCAATTACCCTATTCGGAACAGTAGCTACTGGCGCGTCACTCTTTTCGGTCCGGAAGTTGAAGAGCTGGGTCCTCCATGACCTAGAAATCAAGCAAAAGGAGCAAACGGTTAAGGCTGCTGGCTCATAGGAGAATCAGCGCTTTCTTTGCCAAATGATTAGTCGCGCATCTTGGCGCGTGTCAGTCTTCCTTACTAGCAGCGCTGTTGCATGTTTTCTCATGATTTGTAGTCGTGTTTTCGTCGATACGCCTTTCAGTGTGAAGTGTGGTGCTTCGTCTCTAATTCGCCTTGGTTCAACCAGTTACTGCAAGATTGGGCTGCGACTGGCTACACTTATGACACGTGTCACGATGGTGGTTACAATCTTCCCATCAGGGTTGTTGATTTGTGTCAAAGCAAAGAATTGAATTTGAACGAAAAGTGAATGCGAATTTGAAGTGTTTCTTCTTAATCCTCGAAAAGTATGCAATGTATCACATCTTTTTCAAATTCAGTCCCTGAGGGTTCAATGTTTGTTTGTTTCTACAAATGTTGGACTTAGTCACCTTTCTTAAATCTTTGAGAATGTCTTAAATCTCTGAGAATGCCTACAGACTCAAAGCTTTAGACTCTCAAAGCTTTAGATTCTTAGGATTCTAGATTTTGAATCTTTAGGAAGCTAAAGTTTTCGAGATTCGTCCTTCCAAGATCCAAATCTGAGACATTCAAGTTTTTTAGATTGTCAAGATGTCATAGCAGCAAAGGTCTAGACCTCCAAATGTTTAAACTTTGAAGATTTTTGACTTTCGACGTTCAGGAAGCTAAACTTCTGAAGGTTCACGTCTCTGCTAAGCTATATTTTGACCAGGTTCCTTCTCCTATGCTGTTTACAGGAAACAGGTGCTATGTTTGTACCATGTACAATAGCATGCTGCTCGTGCATCACGTGGTATCATAGCGTGCATCTCTAAGTCGACGAAGAACCCCTGCGAAAGGTTCCTTCGCGAGTGAGTAACAGTACGACAGGGCTGATGTACATCCACGGACAGAATCACATCGGCATCACGAAGTCGGGACAAAGTGGCATGCGTGAGTTTCGGAAGCATCAAGCCTTATTTCGCAGCGCAAACGGCTTCCCAATCCAGCTGAGCAATATTAAGGCTACTCAAAACTTACTGAATTTTATTGTGCCTCTACGCAAGACCGTACCCTAAAAAAAGAACACATAAGAAAGACCTCACCGTAAAAAGGGAATCCTTTCTGTCATGAGCCAGTTTCGATGATGGCATGGATTCGATATTTGAGTTCTAAGAATAGCACGACGGTGATTTGTGACAAAACGACTATTCACGAAGAGCTTTCGCAGTTGGAAGTGGAGGAGGTTTAGCTTTAGAGAGGTTTCCTAAAGGTTTAGCCACTTGTTGGCCTCAAAGAAAAGTTTGAACAACTCGATCGGAGGAATGAAAATGTTAACAACGTGAAGATCATTGGTTGACTCAAATCGTCAAGAGAAACAAAGACATCAAGAGCAAGAGGTCTAGAGAAGGTATTTGCGTTTGGTATGTGACGACCAGTCTCTTCTATTCAAGAGACATCGACATTTTTTTTCAAGAGACAATCAATTGAGGACATCTACGCGAGCAAGTATCCTTTTCTCGAGTTGCTGACGAAGAAGATTGAAGATTTCAGAGATTTCCAAGAGAGATATCGTGAGATATCGTCACGAAAGGCGATAGCAGGAAACAATATATGACATCGTATCTTCTCCTCGGGTAAAAATTATACGCGCATCAACAGGATGAGCCACCACTTATAAATATGTTCATTCAAAAATAAAGGACATCAGTCTCAGAAGGGTGTCGTCCAGCGTGTTTTTGCCCTTCTCAGGTGCAGTATTCAGAAGATACTTGCAGACTCGTGTAGCTGCTGGAGTCGCTCGTTTGAGGGACACGAAGCACGGGAACTGTGTCCATCGCACTTAATAGCTGCACGTTGTGCACGAACGTTCGTCGAGGTCGAATGGTCTCTGTCTCAAAGTTGTCAGTTTGTACCGTTTCACGATGTAAATCTGCTAAGGTAGTGCTCTAAGTCTTTTTCCTTCGAATTCGTTCGTTCGATTCTGTGGGGAAAAATAACACATTTCGTGCAGTTTCTCGAGACCCTGTCGTCTTCAGGATATAAGTGTCCACGAGTGGCAAAACTTCTGTGAAACTCCAATTGAAACTCTTCTATTCTTCAGGTAAAAATCTTCAAAACGCATATCAGCATAGGAGCATAGTCGACTACATCATCGATTTGACGAGAGACATTGAATAAGACTCTTTCTCGTCCAACAGCACTGGTGCTTCTGTTTATACCATCAAGAGAATTCTGTTGAATTATTCTAGGACGGCTAGGGTCTTCATCTTCACTGTTAGGGAGTAGTTCTAGGAAGTAGTACAATGTCCTCCGACTTCGACTGGGACTTCGACTCCGATTCGGAGGACTCGCTATCTGACGAGCCGGCGACCCTAAACGACCCGAAAGAAACGGCGGTCGACCCGAAAGAAACCGTGCCGACAGTTCTGGATAGAAACAGTACTAGTACTACTGCCAGTGGTGGAGGTGCAGGTGCTGATCATGTACTACAGGCTGAAGATAAGGCTCCCATTGGTAGAGGTGCTGATCATGTACTACAGGAGGACGCTGACATCATTCATCAATTGAGTTCCGAAGAAGGCGTCAAGTTGAAATTCACGGTGGCAGTGACTACTCGCTATCAGACGGTACCAATCACAGCGAACTTTCCCATTCCCAGTGGTCGTACTGTCGTCGCTGAAGATCATACAGCTCCCATTCCCAGTGGTAGTACTGTCGTGGCTGAAGATCCCAGTAGTAGTAGTACTTCTGCGGGTGAAGATAAGGCTTCCGTCTCGTCTTTATTGCCCAATTGTACTGCGGCTGAAGATAAGGCCTCCTTCTCGTCTTTATTGGCGGCTTATGCTGAGTCTTGTCGATCGCTGCAATGTATAGAGGTTGATGTAACAACACCCAGGAGCAGAGGACGACCTAAAAAAACACCTAGTTGCGGAGTTGCTACCAGGCCGGGAGCTGCTTCTAGTGCTAGTGCTCGAAATAGTGCCGCTGGAGGAGGGGCACAAAAGGAACAATCCACATCCACCAGTGCACCACAAAAGGGAGGTGCGAAGGCTGCAGCGGCTAAGAAAAAAGGAGGAGCTAAGGGTGCAGCAGCTTCAACATCAACAAAGTGTGACAACTCTCCTTTCCAGTTTGCTCCTCTTCTGTTAAGCCGACAGTAATACCTTTTTAATATCTTACAGGTTGTTCTTCCTTCGTCGTGGTTGTTTTTTGTTATAGGGTCCACGACTCACTAGAGTTATCGTTTTAGGTTGATAGCACGTCGGGCTCGCTTCTTGGGTTAACATCGTTCTAATGAAGACGAGAATGCAGTATGAATACTGTTTACGTTGCGCCGCAGGAGGGCAGCCACTTAACCAAAGGCGATTTGAAGCGACCTCGATGTCGGACATCCTGGATAACGAGCACGTCCAAATATACCAGAAAAAAACGGCAATCAGTACATCTTTCACATTATAGGAACAACTCAAAGGCTTTTCTAAGTCCTCCTACATGTTGTTGTGTAGTACTAGTTCCTGATGCTCGAAACTGATGCTGATAGAAGATACTTATGATCCAAAACGTGGTTTTCAGGTTCCTCGGAGCTTCGAAGGAAATTAGCGGAGGGACTTGCGAACTTTCAGGGACAACAGGTGGCGTCAGTGGCCTTCACTGACTTGCATGGGTGTGTGCCGTGGCAAGGGGATAACTGGGCCTGTATCCGGACTCGCAGTATCGACATTCTTTCGGTACGTGCCGTTGACAATCAGCGCCAAAATACGATCTCGAGTTGTGTTGAGACGGCAGCTGCGAGTCGAGCTGCAGATGCTAGAAGCAGAATAGAGGAAATGGAAGAAGAAAATTAAGGGACGTTGTACTGAGTTTCATTTTGGCGTTGCAGCTGTTTTTCTGCCTCCGTTTGATCGTTTTGACATTTTCTTCCTAGTAAGATGCACAATGCACGAGGCACAAGCATAACTAACGCCCAGATAAGTCGACTTATTTCTAAGAGTAGAAGCATCTCTGTGCTGACGCTGACGAGAAGAAAGAGGGGCCACGACTTGGAGAAGACGGCGACGTAATGGGAGCGACGATGCGATGTGAGCAGAAGAATCACTTAGAGGACTGCGATCTTGGTGCAGCGGGTCGTGATAGCGATGCTGCAAGTCTTAAACCTGTAGAAGGAGTAACTGCACTTGGTACTAATGATGCACAACAAGATGAAGTAAGCCAATTGCCTGAACCTGAAGAGAAGATGGCGATCAGTGAACAAACAAAGAAAGAGGAGGCGGCGGCAAGTATCTCTTCAGTGAGAAGCTGCGGCCAGAAAGAAGAGAGTCCAGAAGAGACTGGAGGAAAGCAGACCCCTTCACGACCTTCATCGAATAGTAAGATGTTCGTCGCAACATCCTCAGATAGAAGCCGGACTCCACGTCGGAAGATGTTGATAGCAGCATCGAAGAAGGCCACGCCGAAGAAGGCAGCAACACCGAAAAAAACAAGAACTCCTGCTGATCAGAATAGTGCCTCAGCCACCGTCCATAGAAGAAAAACGGCTTCTTTACGAGAGAACGGTGGTTCTTCTGGTAAAAAGAGAAAAACAGCTTCATCACAAGATGTTGAAAAAGCTGTTGTTGATGGTGCTGCTCTTGATCAGGGTGCTGCTGTTGATCAGAGTGCTTGCAGTACCAGTAAGGACTGCAAAACACCAAATAAGAGTACAACAAGCAAACAACCTTGTCAGACGGATACGCCGGCCTCCAAAAAGCATAAAAGTCCTCCGCACGAGGAGCACAAGGGCAGTCCTCCGATTCGATTTTCTCGTCATCCAGCTTCCAACGCTGGTTCTTCTGTGGCTCCCAACGCTTCTTCTGGGCTGGGAGCAACGCGTGGCCTTAAAAACAAAGCTAGAACAAAGATCACATCTACAACTAGGAAGCCCGCATCTTCAACAACCAGAAAGGCCACTTCGATGTCGAAGGGGAAGAAAACGAAGGCAAGGACAGTTTGTCAAACTGCAGGTTTTGAGGCTTTGAGAAGTCGGATTCGAGCAAAATTATGATCTCAAACGTTTTTTAGTGTCCATTTGCATTTCTTTATACGTCTACTCAGCATGATCAATAAATCAGATATCCACCTTTATTTGCTCTTGTTTATAGTACTTACGTTCCATAGTTGGCGTCCTTGGTGTTGGAAGAGCGAAAGGGGGACCTTCTTAGTTTAGGATGACTATTTGAGACGCGTTGACGACGAAAGAGATGAAACAAAAGGTAGTACTGAATCAAATGATAAGATCGGCATTGAGAAGATGGAGTCAAAAGCACACTCTAACAAGAGAAGCAGCAGCTAGAGGAGCATGAAGTATGAGTTGGAGATTGAGCAGGCTTCCATAGAAGAGGCTTCCATTTAGAAGACTGAGGTGGGAGGCTTCCATAGAAAACTGAGGTGGTAGTCTCCACGTTTGAAAGAGCTCAGAGCCATCTTCGGACAAGTCTAAGGAGACGAAAAATTTTAGCGGCGTTTTGGAGATCGATCCATCAGCTTAGGGCTTAGGGAGATCCATTTTGAGTAGACTATACTAGACTATACCAATCGGGTTCGGGACTATGCTAGAAGACCTGGGTAGACACTCACAAACGTGTTTAAACGTAGATGTCACAGAGTACTATGTTGAAACCTAGCAGAAGTGTTGTGTTTGAGAGGCTCGTTCTTGGCGGGTTGATGCAAGCCACAAAGGGGGTGGGTGAAAGTTGGAAAGCCAGAAGGGGATGGGTGACAGTGTGTGAGGGCTAAAATGATGTGGGTTGTCACCTCAACATTTAGGGTAGAATTCGTTCAGTACTCCTATAAGTTTAGATAGAAGTGATTGTGCTGTTCTTCTATGGCTTTTAGGATGGAATCCTAGGATGTGCTATTCCAGGGTACGGTTGAAAGCTTCTTGGGGAACAAATTTAGTACAGATAGTTAGAGTTGCAGACGAATGACTTCTTTTTCATAACTTTCACAACGTAGACAGACTGACGTAGCCGATCTCTTTTCCTAGTAGTACTCGAGTCGCCCTCTGGTGACCGGAGGTCCCCGAAGATCGAGATAAGCGTTCTCATCTTCCTCGCTGATCGCCCATGACAATATTGGTTTATACAACTCTTTCAATCTTCTTCACAACCCCCGAATGTTATATTGGATGTCGTGTTGTGCGAGGTGCCCAGAGGACTCTTCCATGACGTAGAATGTTAGCCAACAGGAGATGACGTCTATCCTGCTATTCTTCTTCTAGCCTGAAGAGCGAGAGACGTCTCAATGAAACCCTTTGAGTATCGTTCTCCTTCGTCGTTATTTTTTGTCCATGATCATCATCCACCTAGAAGATAAGGTCATTACTTTCAGTAGCAAGTATGAAGATTTGTTGAAAAACTCTAACTCTTTTACTGCGCAGCATTCACCGGACGGCACAGGCTTATCCTGTCGGGAGTGAGTTCGTTCCTACGCTATCCCAACATATAACTCGCCAATCCCACGTATACCTTCAGATAGACTTTTGTAGTAAAAACACGCTCCTTCTATCCTAATCCTAATACAGACACAGTCCTATGGCCCTGATGGACGACCAGGAGAAAATCTTGAATCACAGAAAATCTTGAATCACATCATGAATGCGACCCCGTGGGATCCCTCCACGTGACGTTTTTTCTTTCTTATATCACAACCTACTCACGATCACGCAGTACATCAGCGCACTCATGATGCCCAACTTCTACAAGACAACGTTCTCGTTGTGTTGGTTGTTGCACTAGAAATTGCTTGAGGTCGAAAGGTGACGTTCGGAGTGTGGTATTACCAAAGATGATAGGTATAGCGTCCATATATTTTCTGTTGTTTTCACAGACGAGAGTGAGATACGCGAGTAGAAGGTTGAGGTACAATCATCAGGTTTGTGGAGCAATCTCTCCGACAGATTCTTACTAGGAACACTGAGTGATATCAGCGAAAGCACAAGACATGTCATGCAATAGGAATAGAGAACTGAATACAACAGCTGCACCTGCATACTGCGACAGTTATCGGTGTAATCAAAGCCGTTAGTTCTTTGTCGGTCAAAGTGCTCAAAGGTTGGTTTTAGTGCAATGTTGTTGCGAAAGGCATCCAGTGAAAACTGCCTATCCCACGACGTAGTGAAAAAGTAGCACTAGTTCTAGTTTCTGAGTAGCCTCTTAATCAAGAATAAGCCCCCAGCATACTGTTAGTAGATTTGCAGAAGACTGACAACAGATGCAACTACTGTAGCGGACTTTTTGAAGTGGTGAGAACACGCGTTGAGTGGTGTGATTGAAGTTCTAACATTGTGTCGAATGTGTGTGTGTGTGTGTGTGGACTCAGTTTGAAATTTGAAATTGAGTTTCAATTTGAATTGTTTTCTTCTTAATCCTCGAAAAAAGTTCAATTTATCCACTTAAACAAGCATCGTTTAGGACTCTCTGATTCAGATCTTGTTTGAGTTAGATGCAAAAGTTGAAACTTTAGCATGCGTTTACAGGTCTAAGATTTGAGCTTGGTCTTTTGGGCCCGATAGAGTCCTTGTTGTGATAGTATGACTTGTTCATTACTGTAAATATTAATCACATCATTGCTGTGATTTCACTGCCATCATTGGGTCATTTCTGCTTTCCAGTGATATTGATTGGTTTTCCATAGTAAAAATTGTGAAATTTCCAGTGAAATTTCCATAGTAAACTATGTCTGTCGTTGTGAGTCTCTTCGGCCTGCAACGGCGTGTTTCGTTGTGGAGCGAAGACGACGAAGAAGATGAGGAGGAGCATGTAGAGCGACATGCCAAACGGGCTCGCATTCAAGGACCTGCAGAAACGAAGCACGTGGACCAGACTAATGCTACAAAAACTGGCCACGACAAGAGCAATCGCACCCTTCAAGAAGGCGACCATAACAAGAAGGTGGGGAAAAATGCACAACCAAGCATGCTGGATTTCTCATTGTGGCTGAAGGCAACCTTCGGCGCGAATGCCACTGATGGCGGGACCTTGACCTCCAGAGTGCTTGTTGCATCATCGGGTTCATTATGCTTTTTAGGATTGTTCTGCTTGCCTCGTCTGGGTCAACATGATGCTGGTTCAGTACTACTAGTACTAAAAGACTATTTTGAAGGAGCAACAAAAAAACATGGCTCGTGCAGCACTGTCTTCACGGAGTTCTGTAAAAACTCTTCCCCGGTGTTGAATGAGTAATTTAGTAGATTTCTATCCAGATGAAGTTGCTGAAGGTAGGCGCTGGGTCGTCTGGTCGGACCGTGTCCGTCCCTGGTCGTACCGTGTCCGTCCCTGGTCGGACCGTGTCCGCCTCTAGGACATTCTCCACTATAAGCGCAATGCGACGGATTTGGTACATCATCATCACCACTTCTAAGGATAATGCGTGGGCTCCCAATCTCGAGTGGTCCTGCCCATGCGCAGATGCCTAGGCAAAGTGGGGTTGGAGGCATAGGCCGCGGGCGACGCCCAGGTGAGAGGCTACAACAGCAGACGCTTCAGCCGTATAATCAACAGCAGCATCAAAAAGGTGGAGGAAATCCAAGTAGTGCTAGTGTCGCGGCTCAACATTCCCGGTCTCTGGAGGTGGCTTCGAATAGCAATGTCATGCTGTCTGGTGGACGACAACCTGAAGGAGCATCGTCCTTCTCGCAGGCACAGGCGTCAACAGTCAACAGAGAAACTCGTACAGGAGACAACGCTGCATCCTCTGCGAATGCCGCATCTTCTGCGAATGCCGCATCTTCTGTGTCAGATCCTGTCAAGGAATTTCATCGGTGCTCGCGCCTCCACTTTCTAGGGACCTGGAGAGAGCGGTTCGAGCGATGGCGTCTGACCCTACCTCCAGAGGAGGATCATGGTGGTAGTGCCGGCTCTACCTAAGGAATAATGATGTAGTAGTTCTGGTTTTTCAAATGATGTACCACGTCTCTACGGTCACCATGAACGGTGAGAACAGGGACAATAGCATGCATTCTGGTTTTTAAATAGTCCTGCTTCCACCTAAGGACTGATATAAGAGAAGGTATCCGGAAAAGGGGATAGGTGTATGGATCTTTTCAGAGGAACATGTTGGAAGAATGTGATCGGACACGGGGTGAAAAACATGAGTAACTAGAGTGAGGTCGCGTAAGAGGTAAACACTCTTCCAAATAATACGTGGGGCCCATTACAAGGTTTGGATGTTCAGGTGGTAGTAAGTTTTTTATTCTAAGAGTGACTACGCGGAGGTCAAGACGGTTCATCAAGGGCGGCCCCGAGCAGCCTCGTGGCTTATTGTGTTAAGAATACTGTAGTCTGAATGTGAAGGATTTTTTTAGGTGCTGTCGTTAGTGTACTTTGTGTAGTGGTCGCAGAGCTTCTTGCAATAATTTGATGTGCCTTTAGATGTTGTAGGAAAGGGGCATTGAATGATGGCGCTGGCCTAGTGTAGTCTTGCGTACAACCGATTCTAGCTTCTAACCTTCTTTCACATGCTATGTATAGTATACTTTCATCCACAGATTGATCATGATAGATAAGCGCAAGCAGTTTACTCCTGCTAATCTCCACATGGATGCGTTCTTCGTGTCTGTGGCACAGCGTAAGGAGAGCGCAGAGCAGAAGCGACAGGCGGCTGCCGTGGTATCCGGTTTGCATGGTTATAGCGAGGTCTGTTCCGCGAATTATGCTGCGCGAGGGCTCGGCGTGCGAGCGTTCTACGTAAGGCAAGCGCGAGAGATTTGTCCGTCTCTGCGGTTGATTGCGGTAACGCCTGAACTCCTTGCGGACGTGGAAAACGTTTGGAAAGAAGTGTATTTGATTTAAGACTTTAGCTAAGACTTCTTAGTTCTAATCTAGAGCGAAGGTTTATCGTGTATTAAGCTAGTTCCTGACACTTGATTCTGTGCATATCAACTTCTCTGTTCACCACACTGCTCCGAGAGAATAGTATTATCATCCTTAAGGATACTCCGCCAGTCCCAAAACGTGACTCTATAATGTGTTTCACGTCGCTTCAAGTTGGAGTACTACTCTTAAAAATTCAGAACTCTAGTAATCTTTCGAAAAATTTATATTTCATACTTTCCTTCGATCGCATGCGTGTTGTCTCGACATGCGGTCTTGCGATGAGGCAGTCATGCGCGTGCCATGTGAGTGGAGGGAGCGACCCCAACAGTGGGCTGACAGTGCGCGAGCACTTATTAAGGAGAAAACCTTATGAAGATGAGTTTCTCCATGTCTAGTAGTAGTAGTACTAGTAGTAAGCCCGATCCTGGGGTACAAAAGGTATGTTGATGATGACAAGTAGAATCCTGGAGTACATCTTCTCCATCGCTAATGAAAGGTGTGACTTGTAGTTTTGGGGTTGCTTATACCCAGATCGTTGCCAGGATGTGCAGTAAAGCTGCCAAGCCCAATGGGAGTTTGTGCGAGTTGACAGGGAATGGCGTCGAATACATGAGAAATATCGCGCTGGAGAATTTACCTGGCGTTGGACGAAAAATCCTTGAAAAACTGGAGAAAGACAACTTTAAGGCTACAGGGGTGATGTAGTCCTTGTGGTAGCTTATTGGTGATGCTAGAAGTAGAACTTGTGGTAGTTTGTTGGTGACGCTGCCTAGAAGTAGTCGCACTTGTGCAGTAGTTTTGTTGATGTTGGCAAAGAGCTTAGTTTCGAACGGTCATTAGAGTTGTAGTAGTCTTGCTGATGATAGAGATTTAGGGTTCACCCTAGGTAGGTGGAAGTAGTCGTAGTAGTTTTGGTGATGTTGCTAGAGAGTTCACCGGTAACCCATAAAGACTTCAGCTTTGAAGTCAGCGAATGAACACCTTTGCTTTCATCGGATCTCTATTCACAATGAGGCTCCCCTGCACTCATCCTTGCCTCTGTATAAGACTTTGAAAATCAGGTGGTCCTACGTAGGTACCCTATTAGTTGTGGATATCTTTCCCCATGGTCAGAAGTAAGCCTCAAGGTCTCTTCGTAGGCTCTAAGAATTTGAAGAGTTGCGGAGACCTTGTACGGCGAGGGCCACGTTACGCTCGCCACGCACTCGGAGGGAAGACGGGGGAAAACATTTTCCTCTTGGCTAGTGGAAAAGACCCTATATTATGGAGGAACAGGAAGGGGTGATGATGAATATAACTTCTTTTTTCATCTTACTGAAAGACTAGGCTGATGATGCATGTTCTAGTTTTTTAGTAGGATGAGGTTGCTCTATCCATCTTTCTCTTTCTCAGCATCTTGGTGCTTACCCTTGTCTTTTTGAGCACTCCACTGGATGGCCTCATATTTAAGTAGACACAAATAGCTACAGAAGAGGCGCCATGACATGACATGGCCCTTTTCTTTCCCAGCAAACACGTTAATTCGAGCACACTCTAATGATTCTCCCGAGTAGTACAACCGACCCACAAGACGACTCATCTGAGGCGAGGAAACAACAGACAAAGAGAAAGAGCATGAGCAGTGAGATGAATTGGGGCGTGCGGCCTACGGGGAAAGAAGACGTTATGGCTATATAGCGCTGAAGCATGTTCTCAATACATGTCCTCAATCCCATGATCCTTGGTTCTTGTTTTTCTCTTTAGTTAAAAAAGAAGCCCCACCGAAACAGCCAAAGGTGGATAGATATCATGTTGACTCTCAAGGAGGTCTCAAAGAGGAAGATGTTAACGCGGTGGTCGCTCTAAAGACGCCTTCCGATTGTTGAATGCAGTATTATCGGAGCTAGATTCGCGAGTGCCCACGAGGACAAATCTAACACGAATGCTGATGCAGGATGATCCTACTAAAAGTTTATGAGTAAGGAGTCAAGAAAAAAGACATAGTGACAACATTGTCGAAATGAGTCCTAGTCGTGATATGGTTCTTGATCATATTAACTATAAGGACGCATAATAGTGATTTAGTCACAGTTCGGCCTGTACTGCTGGCGTCGTGGCTTAGTTACTGTTAAAGTGACAACTTTTTAGTATCTATGGACTCTTTGATTTTGTTTTGGTGATATGAAGAAGTAAGAGTTCGTTGGGAGTGGGTAGAAGTTTGATGCGGAATAAAGGTTTTCCTGAAGAGAGGTCATTAATTTCCAACTTCATAGCCAGGAGTGCAACAACAGCTTCCAGAATGTTACAACGTGGTGCGAATAACTGTGCGCGCGCTTGTTGCGGGTCCGGACTGGCAAGAGCCACCTAAACCCGGCGGCCACGGAAAATGTCAGGCTATCTCGCGTTCTGTTAAGGCTAACGCGAAAGCATGTCCTCAACATGCTAGTCCTTGGATCTTCTTTTTCTACTTGAAAAAGACGACAAGGATGCTCCGAAGGATGCCAATGCGGTAGCTCTAAGTCTGGGGTCGTGGCCGCCAACAGGAACTTGATCACTGCAGCTCTCTTGGCCTTTGAGTTACGATTTGAATATAGTGCTAATGTGAGGAGGGGGTTGATGGTGGAGTTGAAGCTTGAGAAGCAGCTTGAGTAGTCAAGCGAGTATAGACATTGCATAGTACTATAGTTCCTTATACGAAAATTTTCTACAACTTACAGTAATTTGCACATCATCATATTAGTCTGCTCCTCTTCTAAGGCTCGACTTACGGGTCTCGGATTACTCACGAATTCGAGGGCTTGGAGCGACTGCCAGTCTGGAGTTGGAAAAAACGAACGCAATGGAGTTATGGAAAAATCGAATCCAACGTTATCCCACGTTAGAATGGAGGTTTTTCTCACAACGCGAACACTTACTTACACAGCACTTACTTGGATTGTTTCATCTCATGTGGATTTTTTTTGACTATCTAAGGTTTACTCGCTTACTTAGGTCTACCGACACTCTTTTCACAACACTTGCTTAGTACGCCTATCCACTTCGACACTGTTATGGTACCCACTTCTCGGTTATAATGGTTGTACAACACTTATGATGTTTTCACAATACTCTCACGGTTATGAAAATTAGTGGCCACAGGGTTTCACAGCACTCACTTAGGTCTATCGAGACTTTTTCAGATACTTACTACGCGTACGAGCTTTTTTTCAGATACCTAGAATTACGAGTGCGAGAGCGTGCACCGATCTTTGATTTTGTCTATACTTGTCTTAGTGGTGATGTCGACATACATTTAGAGACGCGTACGCCTGGACTAACTATCCTTATCAAGCAGCATCTGTTTTTTCCGTTAGTTCCTCAATTAGTTTCCTTCGTACATATTTCCACTTTCATACAATCCGAGGGCTGGCAGTGGAGGAGCATCAGGCTCCAGACAGCACCTGCAGCCGAAGATTACCGACTTTTTCTGAAGTAGATTGGATTCATCTAGCGCCCCTCTGTGGCTCCGTTCCTTCACCTATCCATCTTCAGGATGATCCTAAGAGGATGGAAAGGGCGTTGTAATGATGCGCCGTCCCCTCTTGGACACTACTTATACAATTGAAGTCAAAGAAGGTGCGTGAGGAGGGAATAATGTTCATCCTAATCTTGGCTTCGGTCATGATCACTAGCAGAGCTTGTGTCTACTGGTGCTATGAAGGGCAGAAATGAAATGCTCCGGGCGTGTAGACGGTAGGACACCAAAGAAAAAACAGCATCGCCAGGTATACACGCACGACGCTCATCCTCGTATGTTTGTCGGGTCGGGCCTTTACTTCGATCCCCGCGAAGCCTGTAGTCGTGCACGTATGAAAGTATGAGAGACTCGTGACAATCTGGGAAGCATTGAGTGTGGGAGCAATTGTCAGCAAATGAGGTATATAGTTAGCGCAATTGATATTCGAGTTGCATCTGTCGCCGTTTATTTTGCCTCTCCTAAGGGGGAAAAGCATACCAAACGGGAAACAGAAACACCAAAATCCTCCGTCTAAGCTACGCCGTCTTCCCTGAAAAGCTCGCAGGCTACAGCGTCTATGTCCCTACTAGAGGAGAACTACTACTTTAGAGTTCCGAACTTCCTTGGTCGCAGTTTGATGTCGTATTAATATTACTTACAAGATCATGAAGCAGATGGGGGTAGTCTTATCAATTTTTTCAGATATAAAAACAGATGATATCGCGCGGGGGGGCCATCTGAATGATTAAATGATCTTTTCCCATTTCCACAAACACTGGTCCCGGTGATCATCGTCGACGGGAGAAAACTACATCCATGATCTTCTTCATTTTCTTTGTACTAGTGCAGATGGTACAAAATTCCTAATCCTGCATCTTCAAGGTATATCATGCATATCTTCATGATCATCAAAAAGCGCTGTCATGTTCTTTCCATGCTCCTGGCTGTCGGCGCGACCGTGTTGAGCGTCCTTGAGAAGTTCTGCGTGTTCTCTCTTTCTGCAGGACTAAAAAAAGGTGGAGGCCTTCTCATCTTTCTTGATCTTCCTGCTTTGTACTCAGTTGTAAAAAATATTGTCTTCTATCCTGCTGCTTTCTACCTCCCAAAGAAGTAGTCTGTCTTTAGCAACGAGGATGCTCCTGTCCTCCAAACCTTCGTCTGTTTTTTCGCATCTTGCGTGTGAAGTATTCATCTGTGTCGTGGTCGTTGGAGTGCAAAAAAAGAATTGGAATCTTCAACGTATGGAAGAGAAGTGCACTGAGAAATAGAACCTCATCAAGGGTCTTCTGTGAGAAGAAGAATGAACATCATGAAGAGAAGTGTAAGAAAGTAGTGAGAATCTCTTTCCATTAAGAACTTCGCCTGTAGTTGTCCTGGTCTTGGAATCTTCTATTAACTTCACTGTGCAGGAGAACAGTTTTGTGCGTCCTCATTGATCTTCACATTACTACAACAAGAACAGCAAACTCAATCTTCGCATCATCTTCGCATCATCTTCGCATCATCTTCGCATCATCTTCGCATCATCTTCGCATCACCTCCGCATTACCGAATAGGTAAACTACTACAACTACTACTACTCCTAGAAGCTTAGTCATAATATTTACTTGTAGTGGTCAGTTATCAATTCAGCTCATTACTTCATCCAGGAGTTCTCTATCATTACTTCTAGCAAATAGACCAGCTACATAATTACTTCACACTTCATCTTCAGTACCTAAGTAAAACAACCGGTTAGCTTTCCCTCATAGCCTTTCCCCACAAGCAATACATCTTACTTCTCACTTCATCAAAGAAAAATGGCGTTGTGTTTGTCTCAGTTCTATGTGTTGTCGCCACGTGGGGACACCATTCTAATGCGAGACTTTCGAGGGGACGTGGTTAAAGGCACCGCAGAGATGTTTTTTCGGAAAGTTTCCCTATTTTATGGGTGTAGGGAATTCATCATCTCCAAATGAGTCATCTGAGAGAGAGAACGAGACAAGAGGACACAGGGACCCAGATGACCACTGAGATGAATTCCAGATGCCTCTAATTATTCTCCGGGGAAGATTGTCCGCCAACATTCAACTCGCATGGAATAAATTACGCTTTCTTTTTGTTTTCACCTACTATTTGTCCGAGACTACATGAAAAAGTGAAACAGTGAAAATGCGAATGTATCCCCCTCTCCTCACTACTGTTGTTCTAGATAAGTCATCTCTCTTTTTGTCTAGAGTCTACGACCTGATTGCTAGCATCCCGCCGTTAGGCTAGTAGAAATATTGGGACACCATTATGATGATTCTAACGTCAATCTCCTTCTAATCTTGTTACCTTTTCGTGAAGAAGAATGCGTTGTACTTCGTCTGCACGACGCAGTTGAATGCGAGCGCCGTTGGCCTGCTGGAGCTTTTGAACAAGATATGCAAAGTCTTCAAAGTTAAGCTTCTGGTAGTCAAATAAAATGTTAAGGTTAAGTATGTATGTAAGTCAAGCTTTTGGCTTTGGTAGTCAACTGCCAACTACTATATTTATGTTAAGATCAATAAAAAAGTGTCGTTTTAATTTGAGCCAGGGCTGAGGCGGGAACCCCTCTAAATCTAAATCTAAATCCGAGCCACTGAAGCTCGTGCTCAATCTTCACTCTCTGGCATGATAATGATTACTTAGAACGTATCAAACGGTATTCCCATTTACAGAAGCTTTCACTCGTGCTGGTGTACTAATATCTAGACATAATTCCTATAGACAGAAACTTTCATTTGTGCTGGTGTACTAATATGTAGACAAGCACTTCTACTGTAATGAAAATTGTAGCCGCGACTGGGTACAATACTACAACTTGTATCAGCAACGGCAACCTATCCTATCCAATCCTATCTTACTGGGTACACTTCTACCTCGGTCTACAACATTCCTACCCACTGAAGCTCGTGACCGGGCTTCACTATCTGGCATGATCATGAATATACTATATGGTCTAAAAAATACTATTGCGGAACGCTGACGGAGGAAAGCATCCGGAAGAATTTTGTGCTTCTCTACGAACTCCTGGAGGAAATGTGCGATTATGGCTACCCGCAAATGACGAACACGGAACAGCTAAAATTACGGCTATTATATCACATAAGGAAAATAACCGGCTAATTTTCTCTCCGGTTAAAGTTAATTTTGTTTCCCTCTATTCTTTTTCTTAGGGTTATCGATCCCGCCATGCACTATGTGTCAACACGAACGAGCTAGATTAATAGCGGGCAGAAAAAATCGCCAGGGAAATCTTCGGCAGACTGCCGAATAGATTCACATCATCACATCACCATCCCGCGTGGACTACGCTTAGTGGGTCCCCCCTAGAAGGCAAGGGGATTCTAAGGGAATGCACTCAACCACGGATAGTGAAAAACTACCTCTAAGAAAACTCTGCGTTCATAACTGTGCTGCACCAGTTAAGATACGGTGACTATGTACATGTAGTACTCTAGAGGAACCAGGAGCGTGGCTTTGTACTAGAGCAACGGTGACATTTCGTACTCTAGAGGAACCAGGAGCGTGGCTTTGTACTAGAGCAACGGTGAGGACCTTGGTTGATGAAGAAAAAGAAGTTACAACTACATGCCAAGTCTTCTATGCAGTTCCACTCTATCTAGAAATTCAGACTTTAAAGCGTCCTAGGTATACCTCATTACTGCACCTACAAACTCATGGTGACTGAGGGCGATCAGTAGTCGTTTTCAATTACAAACTCATGGTGACCTCATGGATTTTCATACCTTTTCTTGAATCTGGCGTCTCGTCTTTGGCGAATCTTGCTGCGACTGGAGGAGCCACGGCAAAAGTTATGTCTTTTACAGTGAATCACTCGGCCTATTTGCTCTTCTTTGAAGGTACAAAAAGACTGAACTACCTCAAATCCATTAGACCATATGGATAAGGAGGGCGCATGACATGACATACAACCTGGCTAAGTAGTTTTTCCTCATATTGTCCTAGGTTACTCCCTTCAAAGAATAAATGAAAGAACAAGAGGGGAGCGTCCGTGACGGGTAGTCGTGTGGCGTATTGCTTCCACGGTGGTCAAGAAATAATGCCATATCAGTAGCACATAGATGGATAGCCAGAAGAAGTTTCAAGTAAACATGTTTTAGCTAGTAGTCCAGTGGTAGACGCAGTGTGATGATCATGTAACGACTCATTTCATGACTCCAAATACTTTGACGTACTGAGTTTTTTTTTGTGATTCGCATCAATTCTGTGACATAGAGATGAAACCGTGACTGCTAAGAGTCGCTTCAGGAGAGAATGACAAAGCTCCTAGAAGAGAACTCATAGAATAACGAGAGTAAAATCCTTCTTCTAAAAACTGAATGCTACCGAATCTTGGGAACGTGGTTCTTCCGAGCTCGGCTAAAACGGTACCCAGTAATGCCGTTCACAGACCTGTAGGGCCAACGCAGGGCGCAGGGGGGGTTGCGAAGAACGAAATCTTCGTCGACATCCTAGAACGCGTCACTGTCTTGATGAACTCACAAGGGTACTAATATACTATTTTTGCGTAACAATGATGTTGACTAGATGAAAAGTAGACATTTATAGCGAAACAAGAGGCAACATCATGACATGACAGAACGACGTGGAGGTAGGTAATTATCCTCTTGATAATAAAGTACTCACGACGATTTCTATCTACCACTCTAATATTACTGCTTATCCTGAACGATTTGACTGTCATGGATTTGACTGTCATGGTCTCCATTTTTCTCAATTTTTGTCAGGCAATTGTTGAATAGCTGCGTGGACGGAAGTATTCAAATGAAGTCCTATTTGTTATGGCTCGAGCTTCGTGGCAAGGATTATTTCTTTGAAGCCGTGAAGGAAATTTTCAACTAAATATAGGAAAATAATTTTTTAACTCTGCAATATGCACCCCGTTTTTAATTTTTCCGCTGAACACTACCTCACGCTAGGTAGATGATTGAAAGTGGAAGGTAGAACTACACAACAAAAAACTGACCTTGAGCTGATAGAACTACACAACAAGTACTAGACCTTCTTGAGTCTCCTTTGCAGAACAGGAGGCTCTTTTTCATGTACCTAGTAAGAACTATAGCGAAAGTGACTGTTACTTCCACCTCAGAGAAACAAACCACAACGAAGCCGTTTTATCTCCTCCTCCTTTTCCCTAAGTAGCCTTCTTCTTGTAGTTATAAAGTGTTTACTCCCTTACAATAATATCTGCGCTTCTCTACCCTTTACCTACATTCCTTCCTTTTTCTTTTCCTAGTTAGTTTGGCTCCACCCATATTATAAAGTGTTTACCGCCTTCGTAAAGTCTTCTTTTCCTTGCTCTCCCTGAGGTCTTCTTGCTCTCCCCATATGAGTTTCCCTCTAACATCTAGTGGAAATCCGGAATTGAAACTGGCTTTGAACGAAGATATAGCTATCGGGAAGGACCAAATCGGGCGGGCGACAGTGGTCTTAGACGACTGCAACTTCCACGAGTGCGTGGACTTGCGAGAATTCGATGATTTGAGTACTTTCTTATACGCACACAATTCATTCTGCTTGAATCAAAATGAGGTTGAGTAGAGTTCTTTTGAGATAGAAGATCTAGATTTTTTGGATTAGAGCAAGATGTTGAGCAAGATGTTGAGCTAGCCGATTTGGGCAGTATCCATCCTCCCCTCTTTCAACACTACCACAATTGGTATCCCCAATCAGCTGAATTGTCCTCCCCTTTCCCGCTAAGGCACTACCTTAGATCTCATCTTCCATTAGCATTACTATTATTACGTAATCCTATGTGCTCCATTGCTCTCCATTATTATCCGCTCTCCCTGAGCAGGAACCTTATCGTTCTTCTTCTGTCCTTGCTCCCCCTCAGGAACCTTATCGTTTTTTCCTCCCGATGGGGAGTTTGCGGTAATGAATTATAGAATAACTTCGGAATTTCGAGTCCCTTTCCGATTGCTGCCGAGAGTGGAGCAAACTTCGAAGGAGTCGGTGGAATTGTCTTTATGGTCCTTTTTTCATCATGTTCCTAAATGGCTACAACAGAATTGGATTTGAGTTATATTTGACCCTGAAGTCGTGGCCCTGTGTTTTTTCTCTAAAGTCTATAGACAAAATCACAGGTACTTAATATCTTCTATCACACATTGTTTCTACAATTTGTACTTTACGTAGAGCAGGTACAGGTTAGTTTAGTAGTGGGAGTCTACTACCTTCTTCATTCTAACACTCATAACCGCAAGAGCGGAACTTCCAGAGCAGAATTATGGGGGCAACGTGCAGATAAGCATCAATTTGCCGAGGGGTCAGGTAGCCAGCATAAACGGGACTGAGGTGTTCGGAAGCGTTGGTGGAATTATGATGAGACTACTAAGTCGTGTTGTAATCGTTAGACCCTTGAAGGAGTACGCATTGTAGCAGAGTACTACTAGTGTGATACAGTTAGTACTGTGTAATGCTAGTAGTTGAAGACAAGGACAACATCAAAATTATCAACTGTGACTGAGAGAATCATATTTACTCCGTATCTAGAAATGCTGACTTTGAAAAGCCCACCTCAGTGTATCTTTTATATTAACCGTAGCCATTTTGGCTCAAGGTTAGCAGAGGATTGAAGCTAATTTTGTCCACCTTTGAGAGGAAAGAAGTGGACCTTGTATGACTCTTCTGGTCGTGATTACTTACTCAGGAGTTGTACACTCTGTTCATCTAACTCGCGCAGTAGTAACAAGGATGCGAACGCTCCGGAGAGCAAGCAGAACAGTAGTGTGGAATTCTTGGCGAATGAAAACCGCATTGCTTGGGTCCTAAAGAAGTTCGCTGGTGGTTCCGATTATGGCTTCTTCTAATCCATCTTCGGAAGCATCTTTGAGACGTTCAGGCATCCTTTGCAAGGGGAAATAGACGTTAAGTATCCTTTGATGCAAGGGAAAGCGATCTTCTTAGAGACGCTTCCTTTGGTGCAAGGGGAAATAAACAGTCTCGTCAGGATGGAGCTCGAGATGGATTAATTAGGGTGTTGAGTTCTAATCCGAAGTAACGCTGAAAACCAGGCTTAACTTCACCACGGCTAATAGCAACTGGAAGGGACAACTCTTAAGAAATGAAACGCTAGTTCTTTTTAGTAGATGAAAATTGTAATCAAAATCAACAAAATTCTATTGAGAAGAAAACCCCATCAAAAATAGGTTCTCAATACACAGTAGTTGATATCAGGTTCCTCTTAATTATACTACTTCTTAACCTACATCTATATCCACGGCCGTCCTCTGGACACACTGTTGGAACTGTTTCATCCCGCCGGTAGGCTTGAAGGACTACTTGGGATGTGAATGAATGAATTAGGCACGCTACTAGTACCACTACCTTCTAATATCAGGCCCAATCAGTATGGGTTTCGAGATACCCATGTTTTCCGTGAGCAAAATAGGCGTCCGCTACTTGCGGATAGCGGAACAGCATAAGAGCTACAATCCGTATCGCTGGGTGCGCTACGTGACGCAAAGTTGTAGCTACGTGTGCCGGATCTGAGTGGCTGGACGTGAGGGGGTGGGCGGAAGTTCTTGTTACGGGTGCCGGATCGAATTCGGAGAGGACTGGGGAGTTACTAGTGGCGAGTCGAAAGAGACGACTTGTTTGGAGTAGAGTTTTGCGTCGTTTTCAAACGGGCACTAGCTAGTATTTTTTACCTGGTGTGACAGTGATGCGTGTCCCTAATTTGACCAACGAAGTGAAAAGGGACGACCCGCAACGAGCTGTGCTGGATCTGACTTGATCAGTAAGAGACCGTGCAGACAACGACCTGCTGAGCTGATGAAGGGTAGTTTTTTATCTCCTTTCAACTGAAGGGGTGTCCCTTTTCTCGTCCTCTGTTACTCTGTCTCTTCGGAGTTTCCCCTTTCCTTACCTACCTCGTCGGCCCTTCTTGCGGACAAGGCTTAATGAGGACTACACAGAACGGTGGAAGTACTTTTTTTGACGACTACGCTACACGCGATTAGTTTACAAGCCGCGTATGGCACTGGCTCGATGGGAGCAGTTACATGCGTGCTTAAGTAATTTGCATGCGCGCTTAAGGTATGGTGTTCAGATGTAGCTACTTGAACAAAGAGAAAGTTTTAAAGAGAGAAAAAATGAGGGACCACTAGGTATTCTGTATAAACAAAAATGGAGGCTGCACTTGTCCCAAGAAATATTACGCGTGAAGAATTTTGGCACAGTGAGAATAAACTGCATTGCGTAGCGGACAACTAAAAGTAGAGAATATAATAGTCGATAATCAGTTGCTAAGTAACTTGAAACTCACTGGATTCTTCATCTATACAGAATTTTTACAAAGAATATATTATGTTGAACTAAGTAGACATCGAGAAAAAAATGGCGACCAGAAGGGTGGAGACGTGGCGCCGACTGATGTCGCGAACTCGATTTTTGTCTCTTTTGATACAAATCTTGTATGCCGGTTCCGAGAATGTGACAGAGGTAAGAGCTTCTGTGCTCAGGGAAACAGCTCTGGGCCAGCAAAGTACTCGAAGCAGAACGAACACAAGAAGCCATGCTCAAAAATTAAGGATGGCTGAGCAATACGGATGGTCTGCGTCTAGAAAAAAACGTTTCTACATCTTTGATGAGTTTCTACATCGTCCTTGGACCTTCCAAAAATGCATTAGCTGCTCGGCTACGATTGTCCCGTACCAACATGTTGATCTTCTAAGATCATGAAAGTATCTGCGTATGTACTTCTTCTTCTAAGATACCCACCACCAGCCTTGAGTCTCATCAGATTCTCATCAAGAGTACGTCGCTCTGCCCGTCGTTCGAGGAACGAGCGACCGGGTCACGGTCGTGCCACGCAACGTAAGGGAGGTCATGGGCGTACTGTGGAGACTGGCTCAGGTGTCCTTAGTTCAGGAGTCAATCGCGTGGAGGAGAACAATGAGAAGCAGAGAAGTCGTGTAGACAAGAGTATAGATGAGAACAAAGTAGATGATGGGGAGAAGAGTCGTGTAGACCTAGATAAGGATGCTCCTGATGGCGAGAAGCGTTATGAAGACCTAGATCAGAGGAAGAGCCTTCAACTAGCGACTGGGAACCCAGTAGAAGCAGCAGTAGAAGCAGCAGATGAGCAGAACAAGACTGAAGAGCGTGAACCTCCACGTGGAGCTGTTACTACTTTGGATTAAGGCACCAAGTTGCGGTAGTATCGGTATTTCAATCAAGCGGATAGTCATAGTGTCACTCGGTGTCGGAGGGTCCTCCGCCACTGGATTCAATTGTTAATACAACGCGCCGCATTTAGAAGAACTCAAATAAAATATCTTATGGCTCCTGCTCACAACCACATAGGAAGGCTTTTATGCCAATTGTTTTTTTTGCATCTAACGATGTAGGAAACAAGAAGGGCAAGGACAAGAGCACCAGCTTCCACAGAACTTTTCAGAACAGCATCTGCTTTCCGAACAAGTCCGTTCTCCTGGTGCAAAGGGTCTTTCTGAGAACTACCAAGGTCTGTCTGAGAACTACCAAGGTCTTTCTGAGAACCAACGTGCTGAAAAGCACGCCTTGCAGGACAACTTGGAGGCTCTGACGTTGGATTTTAGAGATACAGCGGACATCATTCGAGGGAGCCTGGCGGAAATGAGATCGAGCGTAGACTATATTTTATGGCAAATGTTGTTGGAGTAGTTTGCAAGCTATTTACATCTAAGAATCTTTGTTCGCTCCTTTAAGGCAACATGAAGCTAGAGTAGATGGGTCGTTGTATGTGGATACGTTGTAGCTGGAAATCTCCCTTGAGGACTCTCACTTCGTCAAGTGGATTTAATGTAGTACCGAGAACCGAATACTAAGACAAGAGCTCCACCTTCTATACGAGTGCAACTGCAATGAGTTAGACAACATCAAAAACGAAGAAACTCTTCCGAGTCCACGTCTTACGCGCCACAATTCTCTAACTATTCGCGAACAAGTATCAGCTGGTGGGGATCCAGGAGTGGGAACGACCACTACTAGTGCTAGTGCACCTTTATCCTCTTATTGCGAGGAGGTAGCAGGCAATGTGACGAGCGTCTCGAAACAGATGGAAGAGCAGTTCTCTTCATGGGCTGACGCGGCTTCCGATTTACGGCGTCCACTGGAGAGGTTAACTCCACACTTTGACTCCTTTGTCTGAACCGGCACTGATTACCACCACGCTTTTTTGACCCTTTTGTGGCATTAGACCACCAGAATTGTTTGAGTCAGTACGCGAAATGAGTGTCGGATTAGATCATAGACGTGATCCATTTGTAAATTCATGATCGCGTAGAAATACTTCTTCAAATTATGGGCATATTAATTAGAAGTGCAATCAGCTGGTTTTTGTACTTTACTTAGTTTGTTTGATGCAGCATCTAACTAGAGCTGTATCAGAGGCGCAGAAGTTTATCAGAAGCCGAGTCCCAGATGCAGTAGCTGTTAAGGCCAAATATCCGATTACATCTCGTTCCACAACCATCCCGCACTCTCTTCCTAGTATGGAACATGTGGGGGATGTTCTGACGAAGAGTGTAATTATCTTATATGGCAATCTTTAAAGTTGTAGAGGAACTACAGGCAGGGAAAAAAGATGACGCTTCTAGTGCAACTTTGGGCCATGACTATGAAGTCAATTTACACCAAGAAAGTGGCGCCGAACGTGCTTCCAGATCGCTTCGGCGTCGCAGCAAGAAGGCAGTATTACTGTAGCATGCTTCGTAGAAGTGTGAAGGAATTGGAATTCGTCGAAAACTAACCCTTGATACAACGAACCAGGAGACTTTCGTTTTTCCGTCTGTAACAACCAAGTGCAAACATTTCAGTTTCTTTTTTCATTTCTTCACAATCACAACGACCAAAAAATTAATTTTCATTCACCAGCTTACCGCTTTGTCGCGAATCGCTTCCGCTGCCTCTGGTCTGAAAACTCTGGTTTCGCCTCTGGCTACGAAAGTTAAGGACTGAAGCACCAACTTTCCGGGACAACAAGCCTCCCAGTCGGTCAAATAAGTTGTACATAGATACTAATGGGTCTCCACCACGCCCAAGAGTTGAGAAAGTTAGAGACACTAGCCCCACCTCTAACAATAGTTTCCGTCGTGGGCTGAGTGAGGCAAGCGTTGTAGGTGCCAGCATTTCCAGCCGAACTAGTCTGTTGGCCTCGAAGTTTGACGAATTTACCAGTGGCCTCGAGAATGCTATGAGCGCGGTTCTGTCTGATTTGGCGACAGCCAAGGAAGCACTGGGCGAGGACTGACTTGGAGACAGCCAAGGAAGCACTGGGCGAGGACTGACTTGGCGACAGCCAAGGAAGCACTGGGCGAGGACTGACTTGGAGACAGCCAAGGAAGCTGCTTAAGGCTGAGGATGATGATGATGAGGAGGCGTCTTTCTTTCTATGATAGGAGATGCAGGCTGTGCTTTCCTAAGTGGAGGATAATTTTTTTTGGATTTTTGGAGAAGAAGACTAGGAATATCGGGTGCTTTTTTTCTAGACGGAGTGGACAAAAAAATCAGCGTTTCCTGTATATATTCACAGGGTGGACCAAAAAGTTTCATATATAAATGTATCGCTATGCTGGTGCTTACACAGCAAGGTGTAATATCTAATGACTGATGATATTGAAGACTACGAATTAGTTATTTAAATGCACACTTCTACTTTATTTGCATCAATTATACCTAGTAGTATTTAATATGCTTGTAATATTTCAATGTATTAAAAAACCAAAATGCGATGAAAAGTGAAAAATGATAGAACGGAGGTTTCAATTTGACGGTTGGAGCTACAACGCTTTCAATTTTTGATAGTGTTAGCGATACCTTGACCAGTGACCTTTCTACTCTTTTTATCTTCGTCTGCGTTGTTCGTCCTTTTTTCAGACCAACACTCTTCAGGAGCGCTCGTGCGTGACGAGACAGAAGTTTCCTGGTGTCATTGACCGTCCGAGACGCATTCATCTGCGCCTTTCCTATGCCCAGCAGATCTGCCTGGAGCCCTGGCCCCTGCGAGCAAGCCAGAGAACTTCCAATTCTAAAAAGTGTCTTCTATGATTGACTTGGCGAACAGATCACCTTCACTCTTGTCCAGAACATTTTCTGTGGAGACCTTCCCCAATCCTCGAAGAGCCTTCGCTTGTTGACCGGCAGCCCCATATTGGCTAACTCCACACGCCGTATTGATTAGTTCCTTGTGAAACTACGTAAGTAGTGTTGTAGCTTGCTAAATCATCTAAGCCTAAGTGTTACAATATTCGTAAGCAGAACGTGGTTGATGCGTCTTGGATGTTTAGCCGCTTGAGTAGTTAGATAGATGGAAAACCTTCTTGTTGCTTATCCTTCTTCCCCAGAAGACTGCCCGATCCTCTACCGACAAGTTGCTCTCAGCACTTGAATAGTCTATTCAGAATAGTTTCAAAATGTCCTCATCAACGTCTGCCATCAGTTCTTCTCTTGTGCTTGCCAGTCCCTACGATTCTCGCGTTGAGTTGCTTGCTAGAAGACTAGGACTCCAGGACGTTCGAGATTTGGAAGAGGTGGAGCGCTACTTACTTAGGGCTACCGCTGAAGCACATCCTTAGCACCATGAGCCTTGGTTCCGCTTTTTCAGGGGGAAAAAGTATGTGATTATGATGTGTGACCCTCAAGGAAGATGCGACGTGGAGGTAGCTCTAACTTACTGGCCAATGACTGGAATGAGGAAGCCGCTTTGGCACAGTGGCAGAGGACTGGGCATTAAGGAAAGAGCCACTATTGTAGAGTCAACAGTAAGGATAGAGGCAATCATGATACAGAAACTACGTATACAGTGTACACCTCTTCCTTTTTTTTCTCCTAGGTAGAAAGAGGTTCAAGAATCGTATTCTTATGCAGTGTCCAGTAACAAATACAAACCGTTGCACCACTTGGCTTGGCAGTGGTGTGAGAAACAAACGATGTGCGGGGCACTGCTTTCACCACTGGCACGCTCTATAAGGATCACCGTGTCCTATTGGGGCCACCACATTTCACCAGCGCCACATTCTCTAAGAACTTCTGTGCTCAAGTCAATCAGTTAGTCAATCAATTACATTCGATTTACTTACGTTTTCCTGCTTCCACCACGTTGTGCGAGTCAATCAATTACATTCGATTTACTTACGTTTTCCTGCCACCACCGCATTGTTCTGCTGATCGTCTCCTCCTACCACCACGTTGTGCTGTTCTTGCTCTGCTGATCGTCTCCTCCTACCACCACTTTGTGCTGTTCTTGCTTTGTTCTTTCCCCAAGAACACTGTTCTACTGCTCTTCACCACAACATTGTTCTTGCTTTGCTCTATCCCACATCATTCCTCCTATTACCATTATATTCCCCAAAAATATAGACCCCGCTCTCTCTAAGATCAATGGCGTCAGGAACGCCAGAGGACGTATAGTGACTTCTTGGTAGAAGACACGCCAGCTTCGCGCCTGGTCATGGCTAACGGGAGCACGCGTTTTATGGGCTTCGCCATGGATGGACTTCCAATAGTCTGGAGCGATTCTAGACTGATATGAAAGGGGGTTTTGTACAAGAATTTTTACTTTAAGCGAAATGCAAATGCTCACGTCCACGTTCTTGTACATCAATCAATACAAAATTATACTTATAGTCCTCCTAGAAGTAGAACCACACTCCACCCCTCTCTTTCTAATCCCCAGCCGACCCCCTAGAAGTACCACCCTCCACCCCTCTCTTTCTAATCCCCAGCCGCCCCCCCAGAAGTACCACCCTCCACCCCTCTCTTTCTAATCCCCAGCCGCCCTGAAATCTTAAAGGGAAACGATGAGTTGGCAATAGGGAACTGCATCTACATGATGGAAGCGTTGAAGCGTACCTGCTACGCGAGGAATCGAAAGTTTCGATTATACGTTCTGTTAGACTTCTCAGGGTGGACATTCAAGCTGGCAGGCCACTCAGCACTACAGCGGAAATTAGTCACCTTGTTGTTGAATTTATGATTGGCCACCTTGTAGTTGTTGAAGGGTATAATATGTTCGTTGGAGGTTAGCATGATGAGTCAGACTTAATATAAGGACGATGATAAGGGTGACGAATATTTACTCTCTTCTGAACTGCCATTACCCCGACCACGGATGACAGCATCTCCTTGATCGTCTACTTGCTCTAAAGAACCATTACCCTGGAACCCAGATGCGCACGATTATCGTGAATGCGAGACCGTTATTCCAAGTGGCGTGGCGTCTTTTCACGCAGCTGGCGCCAAAAACGACCTGTGAAAAAGTCAAGTTTGTAAATCTAAAGAGAGCATCAAGCACTTCTTCTGATACACCCAACCACGCCTTCAGTGGAACATCCGACGGGGATGATGATTTGAGACGAGTAATTCAGTTAAGGCAACCGCTGAAGCACCCTCAGCATCATCGATTCCTGGCTCTTATCCTTCTACTTGAAAAAGGGGCCCAAGTGACGGCAATAACACTTGTTGAGTCCCCATACTCTGGACAGCACCTCGCGAACAGGTAAATGAATGAGTGATGCACTCAGGGGCATGCTACTACTAGCATGCTACTACTACTACTACGAACAGGTAAATGAATGAGTGATGCTACTAGCTCTAATTGAGGGAGAATGCCATATACCATTGTCGGTATTGCCGTATGAGTATGGCGGAGCCCAGTTTCAAATTCCCTGCTCGATGGGTCCGGGAGAGCCTGTGTTCGAGCCTTCGCGTTACGTGGATCAGCTGACGGGAGAGGTGAAAGAAAACGAATGGGATGCTTTTTTACTTATGAACCGCGGGACAAGTGGAATCAATGCTGCTCGTTTTTAGCTATCAATGCTGGTCGTTTTTAGCTATCTTCAACTATAATCAATCTGAAAGAGCTCTAATAAAACTGACGCTCAAACAAGCACTAAATAAAACAACCGGTTAGTTTTTACCTCTCAACCTTAGGCTTATCCCATGAAACAAAATCTAATATGCATTTGAATTATGTCATGTCAATGGTGAAGCAGGAGTCATGCTAGTGCTACACTTCTATTGTCAATCAACTTACAGAAAGTGAGGTGCTTGGCATATCGTCAAAGTGAAGCTGTCGTTCTCGAATACGTCATGTACATTCTATTTTTTGTCAAAAAAGCTCACCAGACTACTCTAATATCAGTATGCCGAATGGAAAGGAAGCCAACGTCCAAGGACGAGGACAAGAACAGGCATCGTCATCTTCGTCGTCATCACGGATGCCCGTACGCCCTGAGGGAGAAGAGATGCTTCTTGGAGCAAATCGGAAAACGAGGAAAAGACTAAGGCTCAAAAATTGATATTTGAGTAGGTCTAACTATGTCCGTGATAATATTCACTATCTATGATACTTCTTGTTCGTCTTCGCGCATTATAAGTGAAGAAACCAACATCCGGCGTAGTTGAAAAAAGCTAAAACTTCTCTAGAACTAGAATATTGAAAGACCACAGTTGGAGTTGGATCCCACAGGAGTTCTATTATTGAAAGACCACTTGACGGTGATTCAGTACAATCACTTGAGACGTGATTATGATGATCTTCTAAACTGCACTACTAGCACAAGCACCAGTCCATCATCAGCCGAAGCAGCCGATGGGACACCTAGCGCAGTTATATCCGGTTTTCATCATCCAAGCGCCAAAAGACACTTGAATAGGGTATCGCCCACATCTACTAGTGGTAGTGGCACAGCAGGTTCAGGAAGTTCAGGCACCCAAATGAACTATATGAGAGGAAGAGGAGCAACAGATAATGAAGAGGAAGATGAAGGAAACCTTTCTGGTTCTGTTAAACAGAGAAAATGGAGGTTTTTGTTTGCGTTGATTGTTGCCCTAGCCTCAACAAATCTGTTTTCGCGTCTTGTATTCGGAGAATTATCCTCATTCAACGCCAACGCCTAGTAGTATCCACGACTGGTCATGAGATCGAAGTCTTTTCAAATTCTTGTTCAGAAAGGTGTTCAGTTTTGACAGTGTTCAAACTCGAAGGCGGTGAGAGCGAGAGATATTAATATTTTTTGGGTCTGCGGAAGACCAGAGGAGCAGGAGCCCGACCTTAGCACGGAGCGCGAGGACAAATCTGGAAAATCGAATAGGACTCTCCGGCGTAAGAAATATGCAACGAGCAAATCAGTTGCTGTTGTTCCCTCCCTTGTGCTCTCTTTGAATGATCTGTCTTGCCACTTCGTCAATAGTCACTTCTGTTGAGAGTTAAGTACATACTCTTCGAGCTCTGTCGTGATATATTTGTATGGACCGACGACGATTACTCAAAAGTGACCAGGGAGATCATATCTACTGCAACATCGTTTTTGGTGTAGTAGTTGTTTCATAGATTGGCCCACATTGATAACATGGCACTAATCATGTCACATGATGTGGCAAATGGTAGTAGATCATTATTTTCCACGTGCATCTAAAGATTTTCCATCTTTCTAGCTTTCTAAACTTTCCTACATTAATAGCGCAAGTAATTCATTGACAGCAGAACGTTTTTCTCGTTGTTTCTTTTGGTGGCTGTCACCTTGCGACGCCTCGAGAACTGCGAGATGGATCACAGGGACGTTGTTAATCTCAACAACTACAATAAGAATAACAAACTAGTGAATATCAAGAAGTTACCAAAAGCATTTTTTAGGTGCTGGATGGTATTGTCAGCTACTAGTACTTACGTAGTTGTCAACATACAACATCACATTTTTGACATTCATGATCTTCTAGTTAATACTAGAAAAGGGGTGTTTTTAGTACATTGCTTATTTTGCATAATATGAGTTGGAAAGAACCAAAACATGGGGATGGGGTACGTAGTAGCCGAGGTGTGAGTCAACATTTTCACATCAGCTAGAAATTGCTACAGGAGTTCTTGCACAGTGAGTTCATATTTTTACAATAAAAATCACAGTTCAGCACCCCAACGTTGATGTGGTATTGCAAGAGCAAAGAACTTCCAAAAGTCGATTAAATTAATAGCAGATCGTGGAAAGCATATAGGGTTTAGGGTTAGTTCATGTCGCAACCACGGAACTAGGTTTGGAGCCACGCACGGTCTGCAGTGGACGAGTTCGCTCTACTCGGTGGACGTTTGAAAACCACTTCTTTCAGTATAAAATGATCTGTCTGGTGAGCGTGAGATGAGTGTCGTCATGAGATGAGTATCTCTTCTTGAGAGGGTAGAAGACGTATGATATGAGTATCTCTTCTTGAGAGGGTAGAAGACGTATGATATGAGTATCTCTTCTTGAGAGGGTAGAAGACGTATAAATATCATGCTTACACCGGCCAGACGAGATTCATCGTGTCATCTGTCTGCGTGAGAGGGAGAGAGAAGCTCTGTAAATCTGCAGACAAGTAGATCTAGGTCCCAAAAAGAGAAGAATCATTTGGATTTCATCTTCTGTTGCGAGGCGAGAGTAGATACTCATCTGGTCTTGGTGATGTAAGAAGGTTGTTCTTCTGTGTTGAAATCATCTGGATAAGTGAGCCTTGGAGCATGATGAGTATGAGAGCATCTCCTTTTCTCGAGTGAGTCTAGGAGGTTGCCGTGAAGTGATGCTCTTTCTGGTCGCTTGATCAATTTCGCAGGACCCCAATGACCCACAGATGATAAGTAAGAACGTCGCTTATCTTTTCCCGCTTATCTTTTCCCCCATAATCAATCTTCAGGTCACATCTTCTGTACTTAGGAGGATCTGTACTTATGAGCTAGATTCTTGTTAGACCATATTCCCTTTGTTCACCAGTTGGGGTCTTTTCCGCTTGCAATTTTCGACGTTGTACCGTTACCTTTGCTTGGATTTTTGGGACTACTAAATAAGAATAACCACAAAATGTCTACGTCAAACATGATCAAGGCGCCCATCCGCAGTGGGCACACTGCTGTGGGGGACCGTAATCTGAGCATGATGGAGGGCTTGTATAAAAAGCTATTGCGCAATCTCTTCGGCGACTTCGTTGGGCATTCTCTTCTCAAGCGCAAGTTCCTGCAGCAAACTCTTGGTAATCCTTTGTGCATGTTACAAGGCAAAAAACGGAAGAAACGAGGCGCGGCAAAAGGCGGAGATTCGCCAAGAGGAGGGGATGGAGGGGGCGGCGAATCGGCAAGAGGAGGAGGTGATCAGGGATCTTCGGGAGGAGGTGAAAACGCGGCACTTGGTGGAGGGGATAACGAAGATGAGTCGCCTCTAGACGTCATCGCGGAAGCTGATGTAGCCTGGGCTAACGACGCTCTGGACTTGATGCGGAGTGACAGTTCTCGTAAAAACATTCTCAGTCGCAAGCTATCCTATGGAGGAGGCTGGTGGACAGCATCTGGCAAGTGGAAAGTGGTGGACAGCATACGATCACAAAGACTGCGGGAAGAGGAAAAAAGAAAACGGGAACTCGAAATGGAAAGAAAGGAGGCTGAGGAACGGTGGAGCGCAGAACAACAAAGAAAACATAAGTCCAGTCTCACGTCGGCTAAAGATGAGGACGACGGAGATGATGACGACGGAGATGGGGGAGATCATGGAGGCACTACGTCAACTGGAGTTGTTGGCAATATGATGGGAGGACCAGGTGGAGGACACTCTACATCTACAGCAGGGGGTCCGCATTCCGAAATTGCTCCCTTCGCAACTCCAGCTGAGCTGCTGGTCTTAGAGTTAGGCTCGCTCACTGGTTATGGGCTATACGGGGATGGAAAGCCACATCCTGCGTCTGCTAGTGTTCTATCACTATCCCTACTAGAAGATTTCACGCGTTTGGAGCCGTTTGACCTAAACACACCAGAATGTCTGCCGTTTCCGAACCGATATCGCGGAGTCTCCTTGGCAGCTCGCCAATTGAGGTCGATTGTTATGGCTTCGTGATTTTCTCTCTCTTCAACGAATCCATGACCAATGTAAATCTAGTTCTTGGCATACGTAAATGCTTATAAGTATCCAAATTCTGCTCTTGAAAGACCAGGAACTACCTGAACGTACAAGTAGAAGAAGAGCGAAATGAAGAAGAGACTCGGGAAGTAGATACGAAGTAGAATTATATCATAATTAATACGTAGATGAAATATTATTTAGAGAGATGAAATTCCTATGATCGTCCGCGACCTCCTCAGAAAAAACTACTGTCATTTTTTCTGTACTATTGAAGCCTCTAATCTGCAAGCCTACGAGTCTCGATGGCATAAGTTGGAGCAACTCCACACCCTCAACGACCTTAATTGGCTCTCTGATCAATTTGTATTCCTCCACCTGAGTCGCGAATACAAGGAACTAGGCCTGTGTCTCGCCATCGATCCTGCCACGGCAAGAGCCAGAGCGAATGGAGGAGCGAATTCAGGTAGCACGACACCACGAGGAGAACAGAATGCTGCGACGTCAGGCGGTAACTCTGGAGGCATCAATGGGGGAGAAAACCAAGGTGCAGCCGGGGAAAATCTTCTGCAAATTATGGCTGTCACGGACGAGGTGGGTGGAACCGCCTCAACAGGGGTGAACCCCCATGGGACCACGCCTTTGCAAGGCCTTTCTGGACTAGTGCCTAATCCCAGCAACGGGGTAGGTTATGAACAAACGGACACGCTTGTGGATGAGGTCAAAATTTAGGGAAAATTTTTAGGGGATATTATTATGGTTCCCTGTAATTTTCCCTAATTTTCCCTATGTGGGAGGTTTAAGCGTGTCCGTTTGTTTCTAAGTAGGCTCTCCACCAGCAGCAGTTATGGTGAACCCCGACGCGGACTTTGAGATGGATTCCGATGCTTTTCCTGCTGGCGAATTTGGTTGGATCAGTTTGCAGGAACTGCAAGCCATTTGTGGCGCGTTTCTGGAGTTGAGGTTTCCTACCAGAGACCTAATCGCCGAACGAAACCAATTGACGCAGGCTATGTTCTTAAAGGCTTTGGAGATCGCGTTTTCCCGGACGCCTTTGGTGCAAGTGAGAACGACGCCATTAGAAGTGAGTTTTGACACCGCGTGTGTGGTAATGGAGATAGCGAGGATTTTGTGGCTCAGGTTTCAAAAAACAGGTGGTTGGAGTGCCAGAGAAGTGACGGTTCTGGAAACGATTTTTCCGTATGATGAGGTACTCAACAGTTGGAGACAAGAACTGAAGTCTTCTTACACTAATCTTACACTAATAGTCTTCTTACACTAATCTTCTTTCTTTAGCAATTATACTGATTGTACTCTTTAGCAATTATATACTGATTATATTTGCACTTGTGGACGAGGTGTAAAAAATTCTATATGTTGGATACCTCGACAATATTAGGTTTATCCCGTGCAACAATATATAGATACATCTTCTTCTTTCCTCGTCATGAAGGTGAAGATGCAATAGCAATTCTACAAACTACTACGACATCCTGCTTGTTCTAGTACTACAAACAATAACTGAAACTCCGCGCAACGAAACTCCAGGTCGTCTCCAGCAAAGTCTTTGGGATTTTAGAGCGTGGTGGCCTTCCTATGGAAGCAGGTGAGGAACAAATTGGCTTCATCAACTTACTCCGAGAGTCCGATCTCAACTTAAGGCTCGATACTTAATTCATTTCCAAGGGTTATCTCATCCAGTGCTCAACATTTTCTTCGGCTTCATCCCTCCTCTTTTTAGGAGAGTTTTATCGAAGAAATGTCTTCAGCCTGAAGAAATGTAAAAATGAATCGTCTTGAGCTCATCTAATCAACCACGATGGCATCACAAGCTTCTCAGAGTTCTGTTTTCTGCTGAAACGCTTTGACGATACGCTGAGAATGCAAGAATCAGCTAGGTTTGCGGAAGCGGGATACCTCGACTTGCTACCTGGGACCTTTACGGATGAACTGTTTTACGTTCTGAGAAAATATTTGGGGAAGGAGAAGACAGGTGGAAGTGGTGGTGATGGATCTGGCCTTGGATCCTCGGATCAGATGGAATTGTTCACGTTCACTGACTTTCGAGACTTGTTCGGAAAAATGGGAATCGATCAGATGACGCGTGAAAGACTGCGGCAAATCGACCGTCTAGCCACTGAGCTGGAGATCGACGTGCGCGCGATGGATGAGCACACTCTGGTAGCACTGCTGGGAGCGGCGTTTCAAACGTACTTACACTGTTGATTGGCTTCATGCTAGGTAGAAGTAGTCACTGTAATTAATATCCAAGTTTTTAATAGAGATGTTCTCTACCGCCCTAAGACACATCTTTGCTGTGATCATTGTAATTCCAACCTGATGTAGTTGATCATCATGAAAATACAGGACTCTTCCAAAATTAACAGGAATTGTGGCGACATGGCAACTTTAGTTCGCCAGTGGGCGTTTGAGAAGCACCGCAAGCGTTTAGGCCGTAACGCACCACGCGCCGACACCTTAACCAAACCCAAAGCCCGTGTGTCCGGGATGGAAATTCTCGATAACGTTCTTTCCCAGGACTTCACCACTGATTGGTGGGCCACTGTTGCAGTTCGGACCCAGAAACTCTCTGTCCTCGAACATGAGATGCCGCGTTTTTTGAACAGCAAAGTTCATGGTAGTAGTACGCTCTCGTCTGGACCGAAACGTAACTCGTCCGCATCTAATACCGAAACCCTGTTAGCTCAAAGTGGTTTCGCAATGCGCATGTCGTCGGATCCGTTATGAAGGATCGTTCATAATGCGGATATGCAGTGGTTAAGCCATTCTTAGAATTATACGGGGTGTTTTTTAGCGTAGGAAGATCGATCATGATGTGAACACGGAAATATCTTCGTAGTGAAAAACATACACAGTGAGTAGTCACGCTGTAGCACTAGTTGTAAGGACATTTTTCAATCACAGCAACGAACATGATTCCTTTTAAGATTTAGATTTTCCATGAATACTAACAACTACACAACATGTAGAACTACACGAAGATGAAATCTAGAAGTAATCAAATCGGTTTTCCAATCATACTGGTGACCTAGTATAAATGAATCCTCGATTGTATCCATTTGATTGAAATGAACTCTACTATCGAATTTGCGCACTTGATGAGTCGCATGATCGTTCTTCGTACAGATTCTTACGACGAAGTCAAAGATTTGTGAGAACATGATGTACCACAACAATCACTAGTGAAATTGAGAATGCGGAAGCTTTGTCTCAAGAAAAGACATAGATACAACTGGAGTTCGTCAGCTTCGGCTTTTTGGTGTTTCGTTCGCGAAGATTTATCTTTTGTCCTCGTGCTTCATTCGGATTCGCTTGGCAACCACTTCGGATGAGCTACGTTATCGCCCTGCTTCGTCTGGATCGGAATTCGGATGGACCAACGCGAACGAAGGAATAAACTACGCACTGCGTTTCGGTCAGTAGTTGTAGAACTAATCTTTTGCAAAAAGCAATGAAAATGCAGAATCTAATCAGTGTGATGAACCACAAAAGAATCTTGTAGGAGCAAGCAGTAGAGGTAGACTGAAGACAGCACAGTGAAGAATACCATTAGATCATTATTTTTCGTAGTGCTTGTTGTTGCGCTAGAAGAAGTAAACCTACACGCGTACCAAGTACAATACGAAGTCTTCAGCCGGTACTTCTAGTTCTCCCTTCTCCGGTACTTCTCCTGTTTCTCGCTCGTTGAAGACAATGGGCTGGTCGACTTCCTTGTGGCCATGGCCTGAGGATTTCAGTGCCCCTTTCTTCACTAGTTGTAACAACTACGAAGAAACGAGCTGTGGTACTAGACCTACTCCAATGCGAACTAGTTCTAGTTCATTCTTCACTAGTTGTAACAGCGAAGACCAACGAACATCATTTTCTCCTACAACAACAAGAGCTAGTTCATCTAGTTCGTTCTTTTCTTCATCTCCTGGGAGAGGCGGAGCAGGAGGAAGTAGAGGATCTGGTCGTGCATCAGCAAGAACGCCTCCTTCTGCTAGTCTTCCTTCAACAACTACGACTTCTTCTAGGTTTTCCACTTCCTTCTTCTACCCAACTAGAGAAAAGCCAGCTCCAGCACCGCACTTCGAAAGTTTTAATACCCTAGGACCAGATCCGCTTTCGGATTTTCCACCTCCGCCTGGTGGGGAGAAGCAGAGCGAGGGTGTCTTGAAAACCATACGAGGAGAAGAACTGGTAAAAAGTCAAGATAGTGCCTTCAAACTTATGGCCAACATTATACTAGAAGTTCATAGCCTAGGTGTATCCCTACATGTTCATGCAAAACATTATTAGATAGAAGTGTCCATCTTTGTTTCTGATTCCGAGCATCATCTCCTTCTTGGTTGTACCACGACTATCCTTTTGTTGTTATCATCTCTGTGGTACTACCTACGCTTTTGTTGTTATCTCTATGGTACTACCTACGCTTTTATTGTTGTTCCCGTACTACTAGGACTAGGACTAGGACTAGGAGAACCAAACAACAAGGAGGACCATCAAGGTAGTACAGAAAAACCCAAAATGATGGGCGGGGGACCATCATGATGGGCGAGGAACCGACATGAATACAGATTAATATTGTGTTGATGTGAGTTATCATCGTGACGAAACACTGCGACGCCCTTTTGGCAGTCTGCGCTGTACTTTGTCCGAGTCAACTAATGTTGTACTGTAGTGCCTTGACTCATCTAACAATAGAGACGACTCCAAATTGGTATGGGGTTGGAGTCAAGCCCGTAATCCGAGTGACCAATACGTGACGCACAGTGACGTCTTCACTCTAGACAACACGTGCTTTAGCGGGAGTCGAAGATGCCCTGTGACAGTAAATGGAGAGATGACACCAGCCGATGGGAAGGGAGTGGCGAGCACTGTAGTTATGAAGGATCATGTCGAATTTTTTCGATTTTTACAACAAATAGATACTAAGTAACTTACCAGAAGACGATTTTTACAACAAATAGACACTAACTTACCAGAAGATGATAACAATTATACTTTCTAGGATGTGGTGGAGAAAAAAGGGCTTCACACTGCGTCTATAGTATCTATATCCAAGGGCACTTGACTGCTAATCAAAGAGGAGGCGCCACTGACGGGGCAGCATCTTCTTTCCAGCTTCGCAAACATCCGTTTTTCGACCAAGACGAGAACGAAAGGAGGCTGCATCCGGCTTTTACCTTCAAGAAAGCACTGTATGGCCCAGTCCGTGTGACAGTGAGGGAAGTCGGCTTTTTGTCCTTAGGCGGGAGCAATCCTAGCGTCGCGACGATCAGACGTAAACTGTCGAATGTTGAAGGGTGGAAACACCAATACTCGAAAACAGCGACTGCGGTTGCAAACGGGGATGATCCAAAATTAAGACTGTTGGACTTCTTCCTTTTTATGTATTTTTGTTCCATAATTAGACGTGCTCCACCGGTACTATGTATCTGTAATTCATCTGTATCTGGTACGGACCGACCATGCTCCCCCTGAATGGCTTTTATAATATTTTCTCTCACAGAATTCAATCCCAATAATAATATATTGATGTTCTCGTCCATGTTGTTCTTATGTCAGATTAAGGCATTCATTACACCTCGTTTCTTTCACTTGTCCTAATCAATAGTAATTTCTGTGGCCTATTTTCTGTGGACTTCTTCCTCTGTATGTATTTTTGTTCCATACCAGTCAAGGGGAGAGAAACTGTATAAGAGTGATAGATAAAATGCCTAGCGCTAACAAAAGCACCTGTGGTACACTGGAAACAAGTCTACATGATCGGTCGTCTCGACCTCCAATCATGGAATGAGGCTGTATACCGAAAGATTATTCTGCCCCATCGTCGAGCCCGTTTTCCGGATGATAAGTTAGCCGCACACCCACAACAAATTCTCGAGTTTTTTGACGGGAACGAAGATGACGGAGAAGCTTTCCCTGTTAAGAAGGGTCATGGATGTAGATGCAGTACACCTTTTTTTGTATTCAACATCTGCACTAGAAGAACACTTAGACTGCGCTCGGATCCTTTCTAATTCTGCGTGTCCACTCATTCTTCATCTTTTCCGGTAGAACAAATACAAAAGTAAGACGGGAAGGATGTAGCTAGTCTAGATCGGATGAATGCAAATAGCACTGTAGAGATTACATAATCTTCAAGCACAACATCAAGCTGTTCTAATCCGATGAAAGATGCGAGTTCTGGCAGTAAGATGTTTGATTTCTTTTTTGGATCATGGGGTGTTGCTCCAGCGTCAAAGAAGCCAGTTGGCTCCAGTACTAGTGGGACGTCTGGCACTCCAGCATTCGAGAGTCGACCTCCACCTCTTTCTCATCATAATCGTGCTTTTCTGAAAGGGGATGAATTTAAGGCTTCCTGTTCGAATTTCTGATCTTCTTTCAGTAGAGAGGATGTAAGAACCAACGTACTTACATCGATCTTGGACAAGCCCCTGTCCCACATTTCTGTGCTTGTTGAGAACTACTCCAAGATGTACACCGAACTATAATGTGAAGATGGGAGAAGTAGATTACTACGCTCTAAGGAATTAGCTCTAATGAATTAGCTCTACGTCGTAACTACGCTCTAATGAATTAGCTCTAATGAATTAGCTCTAATGAATTAGATGGGGTAACTACGCTCTAATGAATTAGCTCTACGTCGTAAACTCGATGTCCGAGATGTGATTGCGATGAAAGGTGCTGGTGGGATGCTTTCGGAGGATGAACAAGACACCCTAGACGCCCTAGTAGATGAATTCGCGCGAACGCATCCGAAGACAGGCCTGCAAGAAATCTTAAGTCTCAGACTGAAGAAATCTTAACTATTAGCTTATAGACCGAAGACAGCACTGCAGAAATCGTAATCCAGCTTGAGAAGCAAGCATTTTGATTCTTTGATCCCCCTTTTTTTTTGATGAAGGGAAAGAAAACGAGCCACAGATGAGACTCTCTAGATCAAGATGCTGAATATTCATTATATCGGTATTTTATTACTCCCACCCTCTGATCCTCTGACAGTAGTGTGATGGGATGCTAAGGTAATCTACCTCTAGATGTTGATTAGTTGTGCGTTTTTTTGCACTGTTCTCTTCGCTTCAAAGTTGTTGGCTTAGTGGTTTAGGCGTTGGCCTGTTCACTTATCACTTCTTACTGAGGTCGTCACCGACAGACACCCACTTTGACTAGTCTTTAGCTTCTTGTTGTTCTGTTACAAACCTCTCGAATAATTCACTGTTTATTACTAGTAGGGCCGTCTTTCTAAGAATCCTGTACAAAGTGCATACAGGCGCAACGTTGCCGGAAGGGGGTCTAAAGCTGATGCAAAAACTGTTTGGGAAGGAGATTCAAACGCGCGTCTTCGATATGGAGAAGCCACTAGACGCAGAAGAAGTAGTTATGGCTTCCCCAAATTCATCTTATTAAGAAGCATCTTTGACACGGTTTCAAGGGGAAAAGAGGTCAACGATGCGCTTCAAGATGAATAGAGGGAAGGTCTAACGTAGGTGCACTAGGAGATGAGAAGCCGGCTGGAGCAGGCAGGAAGTCGAGAAATCAGACGAAGAAAGGTGTGCGCCAGGTGACGTTATTTAAGGCTTCGTCTCTTACTACTTCGTCCATGTTTAGAATGAAGGAAGCATCCTGTTGAAGCTGTAGTTCCATTTAAAAAAAGCAAAAAAATTTTAAAAGCAAGATGCGCCGTCGCCAGATGGATATTCAGCTTGTGACAGACTGACTCCTGAGCTGCTCTTCCTCTTCTAAGGTTTATTTTCAACCGACCAAACATTTACATGCGGACTTACCTGGGCTGGACAAAATGCAGTCGGATTTTTTCTTGCCGATTTGTGGCAATGGAAATCGACCTAATCGATATAAAGTAATCGAATTGGGTTTGGATTCCTTGGACGACAGGAATACCAAAGCACCCATCCACGAAAGAGTGCTCATGGTCGTCAGAAATAACCTCAAAACGAATGACTGCTTATGAAGGGAAGCATAGATGAAGAAGCATAGATAGGTGATTTGTGTAGCTAGAGAAATTGGGGAGGAGAAAGATCCAGGAACAGAAGGAGCAGGAGTGGAGGACAAGACAATATTCTTCCATCCTCTAGAACAAGTCTCCTGCGGTTCTTCTGTTATCTCCTCCCTCCCTCCCTCCGTTAATACGGTTTTTGTTCTTTCCTATTCCTCTTCTCCCTCCCTCCTCCCTTTAATACGATTTTTGTTCTTTCCTATTCCTCTCCTCCCTTCCTTCCTTCTCCCTTCTTCATACGAATTCTGTTCCGGTATGTTTCCTGGTTGTACGGCACCTGGATATCCGCCAGAGCAGCGTCCTTTTCTCTTACCAGAAGCCCAAAAGTCCTTGAAAGAAACAACGACTGCGCGAATTCTTGGCAGCATGCCTAGGATGCGCAATTTGCCTCTAGCAGACACACAGTTCTTGGAAGTTTCTTCGTCGTTTACAGCCACACCACAGAGTACTATCCAGACGAGGAGGAGGAAGACATCTTCTTTTTCAACAGCAAGACCAACTTCTTTTTCAACAGCAAGACCAACTTCTTTTTCAACAGCAAGACCAACTTCTTTTTCAACAGCAAGACCAACTTCTTTTTCAACAACAGCAAGAAATACAACTTGTACCTCTTTTTCATCAACACCAATATTACCAGATCATACTAGCTTTGCAGCTACTAGCTCCGCAACCACGAGGACCAACTTCAATTCTCGCGTTGGAGACGAAGGGCCTCTGGACGAGATGGGCATAATCCAAGAGTCTGTACAAGTTCAAGTCGAGCCACCTGTTATCATGCCGAATCCAGTGCAGGAGAATGCTGACACTTTATGGCTCTTTATTAAAACATCTATACCCGCCGATGGGGTGCACTACTACTGATACTACTAAGTAGATAATCTGTTGTGTCTAGTATGCTGAGTTCAACACTTGTTTATGAGTAGCGCATATTCAGACGTTTTACTTTACCAACTAGTAACTCTAATTGGTTGAATGAAAACTACTTTTTACAAGAACTAGAGCCTGTAATAGAAAAGCTCGTTCTCGACTGAGAAGTCAAGACAAATTTTTTGAGAGAAAATCAAGTGATTCACTTCGAACAGCATTTTTATCGATTATCACTATTACGACGACCATCAGGTTAACAGCTATGCTCCTTGCATACTAATCACCATCACGAGCATGCTAAGCTTATAACAAGGGTTATGGGTATGCTCCTAGAAGTAAGCTATTAAAGCTATCACGATCACACCAGCACCAGCACCACCCTCGTCACCCTCTAATCCCAACTGCTGAACATGCTCGAACGAATGCAGACCGTGGTGGACCTGTGGATGCGCATGGCCAAGTCTTCACATCTAAGCTTCTTGGTGAAAAGCAAGCATGGCAGGAGAACGAAGTCGCAGAGAAGAGGAAGATATTATGGTGTAAGTACTAGGTACAACTGGTACTGGTTGGCCTCACAAGTAGACACTAATAGCTACAAAAGAGGAAGATCTTATGGTGTAAGTACTAGGTACAATTTAGTCTGCCATAGGCGTTACTCACGCCCGAAGCAGTCGGTCTTTTTTTAGCTGCCGCGTCTCTACTCGGGTCGCTACGGAACCAGGCAGCTTTGAGTGAGTTGCTACGTGGTTCGAATGAATGAGTGGTGGATCTTGTAGACTTTCACCATCCTCCTTTTCTATGATCTTTTTTGATCAAAGAAGTGGTCCTCTAGTACCTCTACTAGTACCTCTACTTCTTCTAAAGATAGCAGACTTTTCACAGCGTATGCGGTCGCTGATGCACGTGGACGGCGAGCTCAATGAAGCACAGATTCGAAAGGAACTAGAAGAAATGTTGTAAAAAAAAGTGATGTGGTTCTTATAGTCATCATGATTCTCTACATCTGCGGTGAATGAATTCTGATTAAACCTGAACAATGATCTCATTCCGTCATAACTGATTCCTCTCAGCGGAAAAGGTTACATTCCGTCATAACTGATTCCTTTATGGGTTTTTTTCTGAAAGTTAAAGCTACTTTCTTATATGATGAATCCTTTATGTTGACAATAGTAATGCTCGTCACGAACTCCAAAACTTTTTTGGACATTGTGGAAGAGACTATAATTCGGTGTTCACCCACTCCCCAGCAACTCAAGATGCATATTCGTACAACAGAAATTGCATGTAGTCGGTCTGGTCAAAGCTTTCTCGGTAAAAAAAACTTTCCACATTTCACCACTACTTTCACCACAGCACTATTGATTCTCTTGATGATGCGGAGGAGCAAGAGCCATCAGTTCCGACTTTATGACGTGTGAGGTGTACGCTTACGCAACTCGGTCCTCCTGGTTTCGTGACGAGAGACATGTAGTTAATATGTGCATAAAACGAAACAATGTGCTTTAAACGGCGTGACTTGACCTCCTGCCTATATCTCGTTTACAGAGACAGTCTTCTCGTTCTCAGTCGACACTAGGCACGCGATGTACAAGATGCATCGTGTGCGTGCTGTTGATTCGTGTTCTAATAAGATCTCATCTTCATCATGTTCGTGCCCCTTGATCTGTGAACGCTCTACCATGTTGTTGTTGTTGTTGTTGAGAGAGACTAGGTGGTAGAGAGACTGGAGAAGATCCGTGAGTATTGATTAAGACATGAGGATCGATCCCGACGTGAGTAACATCATCTGTAGAATCAGAGCAAGATATATGTTACATAAGTGAGGGAACTTATTAAAGTTCTTGTGAGTATACCTTACCTGCACCAAGAAAAACCTGAATCCTCTAGTCTTGTTATCAAAAAAACAACTTGATCTTGTTATCAAAAAAACAACTCCTTGTTGATCGTTCCCAGCCAGGTTGTAAAGTGGTGAAACATTTTCCCACTCCTGTTTCCCAAAGTAAGATACTACATAGGTGGTAGAGACTTCTCGTTCTGATGTAGGATATAGTTCTACGTCAACATATTTTTTCCTTGCCAGATTGATATCAATCTTCTTATAGATACTAGTATGCTGCAAGCATACTTCCTCACTGATGTTGTAGGAGGGCTAGTATTGCAGCAGAAGAATTCTTTCTGTTCTTTTGACTTGTGTTTGTCTCTGATAGGTTGTAGAGGGTAACAAGTACACTCTTTCTCCAACTTCTGGGATGGATAAAGGAGGTGGACGAGATTGATACTACATCATCAAGTCAAGAACTTCAACATTTATTCCATTCAATACAACAACCAAGTCCCAAGAACAACAATCATTTTATACAACAACAACGACATTCACCACCCGACAAGAACAAAACTACAACTACACTTCTCCGATTGATTTTCAGATTCTAGGAATCACTCTTAAGAAGATCAAGAACCTGTTTCCAAGAACACATCAGCAAAGATGGGGTCACATCGCAAGAGAAGAAACAACGGAGCAAGCGGCAAAGGCGGGTCGCGACGTAAGAGAGGAGACAAGGGAGCAAGCGGCACAGGCGGGTCGCGACGTAAGAGAGGAGACAAGGGCAGAACAAATACCACGACCGCAGGCGCAGGGAAGATGCGAAAAGCTGTTGCTTTTGCAGCTGGGCTTTCTCTTTTATGAAAAAACATCTTGTGAAATTTTAGAAATTCGAACTTGGAATCAGAGATAATAGTGATTCTCTCCGTGCGGTACTTACTAGAATCAGGTGTCCTCCGTACTATATGTGTGATGGATGCCAAATGCTCCACTGTTTCAATGTAGTACTACTACAACTAGTACCACGTACTCATAAGTAGCTGATTCTGGTCCCCTTGTCTCTCGGAATCTTTAGCAAAAATGAAAAATCATGACAGGGACTCACACATGACACCAGCAGTACAGTTGTAGCTCTCCTTTCGTATGAAGATCTTTACAGAGTAATCGCAACGGCAGTACTCGTCAACATACTAAACAGTACAACCATTACTCTTGGCCACAATTGGGAGAGTACGGCGGAAAAAGCTGTCCTATTCTATCCGCTCCGAGAAAGACCCGCAATGATGAGATAGGAGGATGCTCAACGACCTCTTTCTAATTCTCGGCGCGCGGGCCCGTCAACATGTCGCTTCTCGATCCTCCTTGTTGCAGACCAAGAGAGCCGAGGAGGCGGCACAAGTTTATGGCTCATTAGTTACATTGATAAATATTTGGTAGATTTTTATACAAGTACGCTCATGATTAGTACATTGACATAATTAATTGATAGATAGATACTTACAAGTTCAAGTTAGTACGCTCATTAGTACATTGATAGCGATAATGAATAATTTTTTGGTAGATACTTGGAACGAGAGTATAGTTTTCTAGTTAAGTAAAGAAGCAATAGAAGATTATTATATCCGCTATCATCTAACTCTAAGAACTCCATCATTAGTACAAGTACGCTGGTCACCTTGCTCGTCACCGTCTAGTCCATTCATCATCAATATTCTTGCTAGATACAAGCACTTATAACTTTCTTCATGGTGCTGGTTCAAGAGTTTTTTTCTGGAAATTTAGAGCAATTTGAATTAGTTTGTTTGTTACTATGGTCATCAATTATCGGGTGAGACATAGAGATGGAGGAGATCGGGTGAGGACATTCAACATTCGATTGACTTTTTTTTGTTGAGTTACAGATCAAATTGAATAATCTTCTGTCTTGTCAATGCCATCATCTTTTGATGTTTTGAGTCTCGTTTTATCTTATCGCCCTACCCTATCCTATCCCGTCTTATCCTATCCTATCCCATCCTATTCTCCTCTCCTATTTTCCAATCCTGCCTACTTATCCTCTTCTGGTCGTGTCCTGTCCATCATCGGTATCCTCTCCTATCCTCTTCTAACTCGAGGCTTGTGGAATTTCCTGCAATGAGTCTCCAGAAAAGCAGATTAAGGCCAGACAGAATTCACTATCTCACGTGGGCTTCTATCGTGCTGAGTGGATAAGAAAGGATATTTATAATTCCTCTTGATAGAAGTCATCAAGGGGAATATAGGGCTCTATTTACAGAACTCGGGGGGTCTCCTTAATAGGACTCAGGCGGATTCTAAGGGTTCCATTTCGCACGCGGGGCGGGTCCGCTTAACAGAAGTCAAGGGGGTGCTCAGGGTGACCCTTAGATGTGATTTCGAGCGGATTCTAAGGGGAGAGAAGACAAGTCACTCAGCCCACTCATTCAAGTCACTCACTGAAACCACAGATAGTGAGTCAGTATTGAGCGTTAAGATGAGCAACTCAAACTCTCCGATTCGACTGAACAAGAAAAATCCACGTCTACGTGGTGCGAAGTATTTCTCGAACGGGCCTGCGGATTCCTCGGTCGCGGATTCCTCAGATGGAGAGGCGTCCCCGATAGCCTTGGAGCCGGGGGAAAGGAAAACTGCGGCTTCGACGAGAGCGCTTTTCTCGGCTGGAGCTGGTGGACATGAACGTGAAGATGGACCACGTCGTTCGCTCGGCGGGAGCAAACAAAAGCAGCATGGTGTTGGGACCGAAGCGGGCGATCTTACTTCGCATCCTACTCAGTCACCGAGCTCAATATCTGTTGATCGAAGTGCGGAATTCGGTAGTGGGGGCGCTCGCGTTATGGAACTATTACCATGTATACTTTCAAAGAGATTCTTGATTCAGATTCTTTTCGTATGCTAGAATGAAGACGGTTTCCCTTTCATCTCTAGACAAAGGATCCCTTCGACTAGTAATGTTTAGAAGAGCATTAAAATTTTGTGTCGTGATTCACAAACAAACAGTTTATGGAGGGCGTACGTTCCTGCTGGATTTTTCACGGATGTCAACACTATTTCGAATTTTTGTTTTTCTAAAAATCGATATAATCTTCGAGGAAGTACTAGGTTCGCCGGATCCGACATCAGAGTGCCTGAGCCTGCACGAGCCAACTCGCATCTAGAAGGCCTACCTGGGAAAGCCAACTCGGAGCCGGCGTTTTTAGGGAAAGAGGAAAGGTGGAAAAGGCCCAGGAGCTTGACGTCGGAGAAGTCGGCGAAGAGGGGAGGAGCGGTAGATGCAGGGCGCGAGGCTCCTGAGGGCGAGCACACTGTGGGGGAACCAGCAGAGACACCGCAGGCCGCGGAGGAAGCGGCAGAGACGGCGCAGGAAGCGGAGGAGGAGGCGCGCCAAGCGAACAGGGCGGCGGAGGAGGCCGCGCGCAAGGTGAGGGAGGCGGCGAAGGAGGCCGAACGCAAGGCGAAGGAGGCCGAACGCAAGGCGAAGGAGGCCGAACGCAAGGCGAAGGAGGCAGAGGGAGCGGCCGCAAACCAGAGGGAGGCGGGCGCGGATGCGGTGAACGAGGCGGCGAAAGAGGCCGATCGCAAGACCGCTGAGGGAGCGGCCGCACACCGGAAAGCAGTGGGTGCGGGCATGGTACGGGAGGCCGAGCGCAAGACGGAGGGGGCAGCGGAAGCGCCCGCACGCCTGAGAGCAACGGGCGCGGAGACGGTAAAGGAGGCGGCGAAAGGGGCCGCGCGCAGGCAGAGGGAGGCGGAGGAAGCGGCCGCACGCGAGAGGGCGACGGGCGCGGAGGAGGTAGAAGAGGCCGCGCACAAGGCGAGGAGGCTGGCGGAGGAGGCCTTGCGCATGGCGAAGAATGCGGGGGAGATGGCTGCACTCCAGGGGAAGGATGCGCCACGGGGGGAGAGGGAGCCAGCGGAGGCGGTGGTGGATCCTCCAAAGCGGGGAGAAGGATGGGGAGGCGGCCGTACTAGCGGGGGTGAACTGAAGAAGGAAACGGCAGCAGCAGCGGAGGAGAGGGCGGGTGCGCCAAATGGGGAGGCGGCACTAGCGGAGAGGGAGGCGAGGGAGGGGACGGCACCCGCAGCTGTTCCGGCGGGGGTGAAGCCTGCACAGGATGATCCAGTGGACGTGGCACCAGCCGAGGAGGGGCCAGCGAAGGAGGCGGCACCAACTGACGCGGGGGAGCGGGAAGGGATAGCGCGGACCGCGGGGGGTGCGGCGGAGGCGAAACACAAGGAGAGGGGGGCGGGAGGCGGAGGTGAAACGCTAGGCGGAGCGCAGGGGAAGGGAGGGGGGGAGCGGCGTAGGCTAGCGGAAGAGGAACGCCAAAAGAAGGAGGATGACGCGGCGGAAGCGCGTAGGCTAAAGGAGGACGCGCGCCGGGTGGAGGGGGCCGAACGCCGGGAGAAGGAGGCGGCGGCAGAGGCCGAGCGCCAGAAGGAGGAGGCGGAACGCAAAGAGAGGGAGGTGAAGGAGGGGACGTCCGCAGGGGGGGGTGGGGATCCGGCGGTGAATGTGCCACCGGCGGAGGAGGAGTCTGCAGGGAAGCCGGCACCAGCGGAGGCGAGACGCCAGGGGGAGGCGAAGCGCCAGGCGGAGGCGGAGGTGAAACGCAACAAGGAGAGGGAGGCGGAAGAGGCGGAGGCGGGGCGCAAGGATGAGGAGGCGAAGCGCCAGGCTGAGGCGGAACGGCAGGTGGAGAATGCAGCACAGGAGGCGAGGGGGGCGGCAGAGGCAGCGCAGAAAGCGGAGGCTGATCGCAAGGCGATCGAACTCGAAGTGGCAGCGACGTCAGCGAAAGAGCACGGGGGGGAGAAGACGGCAGGGGAACGGAATGGAGCGCAGCATGAGACAAAACACGCCGATCAACCGGATATTCTTCTCCCGCCGGCTCCTAAGCTTGTTAAGGCGTATGACAGCTCATCTGTCAGCGAATCTCTGACAAGTATTTTTTACTGGGAAACTATCTATCGAGCATGTAGAATCCGGGGGCCCATTGACGAATATCGGACCCTTCTAATATTAGCTATCGGGACCCAGCGTTGGACAAGAGTGCAGCAGAGGGCAAAGTGCGTGTTGGGTCGCAAAACCGGCGAAGCCGCCTTATGGAAATACTAGTGAGAGGTGGCAACTTTCAAAGAAATTCTTGCGACAGATTTTTTGATACAGGTTTTTTGAATTGGTCTAGAATCGACGTTGGCGTCCGTGGACGATGCTTTCCTTCGGTTCGTTTTCTGAGTAGAGCTTCGCGGCATGATCCCCAAGACATTTTACAAGCCGCCGGCCCTGACGTTGGGACTTTGTAGCAAGCAGCGCCAGCGCGGGGACAAAAATAAAAGCGAGAGCGGGAAAGGTAGCAAGTAGCCGGCTTGGCGGGGCTCTGGCAGAAATACCGCCCTGGCGGAGCTCTTCCAGAGGGGCGCTGCTGGCTGGGCTCTTTCACAATGCCTGTCTTGGGCGGGCTGTTTCAGATTGTCTGCCCCTGTCGGGCTGTTTCAGGTTGACTGCCTTGGCGGGGCTGTTTCGGGGTGGCTTTCCTGGCGTGGGTGTTTCAGGGTGGTGGCTCTGGCGGGGCTGTTTCAGATGGGCTGGCCTGGCGAGGCTGTTTCTGGGGTCTTGCTCTGGCGGGGCTGTTTCGGCTGAGCTGTTCTGGCGAGGCTGTTGCAGAATTCTGCCTCTGGCGGGGCTGTTTCCGGATGGCTGCTCGGGCGGGGGTGTTTCAGGTGAGCTGCTCTGGCGGGGCTTTTCTTTCAGGAGCCCGCGCTTGGCGGGGCTGTTTCAGATATGCTCTTCGCTTTCTGTCGGGGCTGCTTCGGCTGAGCTCCTCCGGCGGGGAGTCCTTCTTCTGGTGGGGCTGTTTGGGGATGGCTCTTCTGGCGGGGCTGTTTCAGGTGGGCTATTTTGGCGGGGTTGTTTCAGGTGAGCCTTTCTGGCGAAGCTGTTTCAGGGGCCTCGTGCTGGCGGGGGTGTTTCAGCATGGCTGCTCATCTCTGGCGGGGCTGTTTCAGATGAGCTGTCTGGGCGGGGCTGTTTCAGATGAGCTGCCCTTGCGGCGCTGTTTCAGAGAGACAGGCGAGCGTCTTAGGCGGGGTTGTTGCAGAGGCCTTGCGCTGGCGGGCTTGTTTTAGAGTAGCTGCCCTGGGCAGGCTGTGTCAGAGACCATATTCTGGGCAGGCTGTTTCGTAGCCTTGCTCTGCCCTGGGCAGGCTGTTTCAGAGCGGCTGCTTCAGAGGTTTTGTTCTGGCGGGGTTGTTTCAGATGAGCTTCTCTGGCGGGGCTGTTTCGGATGAGCTTCCCTGGCGGGGTTGTTTCAGATGATGAGTCCCTCTGGCGGGGTCGGTTTTTTTTTGTGAGCTGTTCGGGCGGGGCTGTTGCGCCCAAGTTGCTCTGACGGGGATGGTTCGCAGACGCAGATCTTGCTCTGGAGGGCTTGTTTTAGCATAGCTGACTGTTCTGGGCAGGCTGTTTCAGAATATTTGTGCTGGGCAGGCTGTTTCAGAATAATTGCTCTGAGCAGGCTATTCCAGGGCCTTTGCTCTGGGCAGGCTGTTCCAGGGCGGGTGTCTCAGATGAGTTGCTCTGGCTGGGTGGTTTCAGATGAGTTGCTCTGGCGGGGCTGCTTCAGATGGGCTTTTCTGGCAGGGCTGTCTCAGCTGAGCTGCTGTGGCGGGGCTGTTTCAGGTGATCTACTCTGGCGCTGCTGTTTTAACTGGGCTGCTCGGGCGGGGCTGTTTCAGCTGAGTTGCCCTGGCGGTTTTTTTTTAGAGTAGCTGCCCGGGGCAGGCTGTTTCAGAATACTTGTTCTGCTTTGGCAGGCTGTTTCGCAGTCTTCTCTCGGGGCAGGCTGTTTCACAGCCTTTCTCCTGGGCAGGCTGTTTTAGGGCTGCTGCCTCGGGAGTGTTGTTCTGGCGGGCTTGTTTCAGGGCTCTTTGGATTGTTCTCGAGAGGCTGTTTCAAAGCTCTTTGTCTGGGCAGGATTCAGAGAGCGGAGGTCTCGAGCATTATTATACATAGAAGGCATGTTCGTTGTGGAAGTTACAGACTCTTCATGGGACTCAAGAAAATGGTGATTAAGTAGCATTATTTCTGATTTCGCTAACAGTCGTGACCTTCGAGGAAGTGGTGCAGCGGAATCTGACATGGCGCATGAGCTTGCGCGAGCCGACAGAGATCTGGATCTACATGTGGGGCATATGTCGGCGCCGGCAGGTTTGGATCGCGTGGCAGAGCTGACACAGGGAGGGGCGCCCAGGAGCTTCGCGGGGAAGGGGCCGACGGGTCTAGCAGCAGCCGGCATCTCTGCAGGGGCGGCTCAAGAGGCGGCGGCGGCGAAGCTGTCGGAGGAGAATGAGGAGAAAGCGCTGGCTTCCAAACTTGGGCAAAAGGTGCAAATAAAGACGGCAGGCGAGCAGCCGACGGGGCTGCAGCCTGCTGGCGATGCAAGAGGACAGCCTGGGGTCACTGAGATGGTGAAAAATGGACCGGCTGCGGCGGGGGTAGCAGAGGAGGGGCGGCCTTCTGTGGAGGAGCCACTGCGCACGGAGACGGAGAGCCCTGCGCAAGACGCGACCGAGGGCGGGAGACCCCCGGCTGCTGCGGGTAGTGCCGGAGAGGCTCTGAGCAAGGGACAAGGGGGGCCGGCGTCTGTGGCTGCAGCTGCGCCCGCAGAGGGCGGGAACGGTGCGCCAGGTGCTGCAAAGCCAGCGGCGAAGAGTGCGCAGGAGACCGAGGGGAGCGCCCGTCCGGTGGAGGACGAGCCGCCGAAGGGAGCGGCACCGGCAGGGGGGGAGGACAACAAGCCGCAGGGGGCGGACGAGGCGACATTCTGGCCGCAGGATTTTGTAGGGGAGGCGGCGCCGCGCGATGGTGAGTCTGCAGGGTTGTCGGCACCGGCGGGGGAGAGTGGTGCGAAGGGGGCGGCACTTGGTGGGGAGAAGCCGTCGGACGAGGCTGCACCGGCTGACGGGAGGGGGCCTGCAGTGGAGCTGGCACCGGTGGAGGAGAAGCCGCTGAAGGAGACGGAGGCAGAGCGCAGGGTGAAGGAGGAGAAGGCGCGCCAAGTGGAGGAGGCGCCAAGGGCAGAGCAGAAATCGGAGGAGGCAGTGCTCACGCGGGAGGAGGCGGAGCAGGTGAAACCCCTGGAGGAGACGGAGGCGGAACACCAGGGGCAGGCGGCTGAGGCGGAGACCGCGCGAAAGGAGGGGGAGGCGGCTGGGGCGGAGATCGCGCGAGAGAAGTGGGAGGCGGCTGAGGCGGAGACCGCGCGGAAGGAGAGGGAGCGAGCGGCGAGTCGCAAGGCAGAGGAGGAGCGCAAGGAGAAGGAGGCGGCGGCAAAGGCCAAGCGCCAGAAGGAGGAGGCGGAGCGCATCAGGGCTGAGGAGGCGGAGCGCAAGCGAAGGGAGGTGATGAATGAGGAGGAGGACCGCAAGGAGGCGGAGGCGAAACGCAAGGAGAGGGAGGCCGTGGAAGCGGCGAGTCGCAAGGCAGAGGAGGAGCGCAAGGAGAAGGAGGCGGCGGCAAAGGCCAAGCGCCAGAAGGAGGAGGCGGATCGCCAAGAGAAGGAGGCGGAGCGCATCAGGGCTGAGGAGGCGGAGCGCAAGCGAAGGGAGGTGATGAAGGAGGAGGAGGACCGCAAGGAGGCGGAGGCGAAACGCAAGGAGAGGGAGGCGAAACGCAGGGAGGAGGAGGTGGCGGTGAGTCAGTCGAACCAGGCGGAGGTGGCACGCCAGGAGACGACGGCGGCGGGGGCACAGGCGTTACCGTTAGAGACACCGCAGCAGAAGGAACTACCCAAACAGAATTTCCAGAAGGAGGAACTTACGAAGATGGGACTTTTCATCGCGGAGGACGAGAAAAGGATTGCGCCACCTGCATCTGACAGCGAGCGCACACAGACGACATTGCTTGCGGGCACTGACAAGCCGGCAGGAGAGCTGTGTCTTGTTGTGCCCGAGGGAAATTTCATTTCGAAGACGCGGAAAATCCACAACGCCTACTCGTGCTACATTGACCCGGATCCGAAAGCCCCGGAAGGGACAGTGAGGTGTAAAAGTACGCCGCCTACCGTCGTGAAAAATGCAATCACGCATGGCACGTCCGGGAACTGGAGATGGCTCGCAGATGGACAGGCGTGCGTCCGTTCCACACAAAATGTAAATGATAGCGGCAAGGTGGACAGCATTGTAGGCGTATGTGAACAGGAGATGATCCCCAAAACCGGAAGCGCAGAAAAAGTGAGAGTGATGGCTTGTAACCCGCCGAAGCAAACGTCGACCGGGACAGAGGGGGTAATCACATAAATATTTGCTGGATCATCTTGAAAACAGGTTCTTTCTCACATGACTACTGTTTTCCATCGTTCGCGGAACCACCATGCATGATAAAGAACGCTCTCTAAAGTACTTAGATTGATTGCGTGCGTGGTAATCCGCACGTGAAAGCAATGACATGAGCCATGATAAAGATAAGAAATGGTCAATTATACACTGCAGGCGGCAGGAGTCTCATCAAATGCTCCGCAACGACCGTTTCACGAGTCTTGAATGTGGGGGAAAAAGACTAATGCGGCCCCAGGCTAATGGAGTACCTACAAAATACAAGTTTTTCAGATCTTTATTTGATCGTAACCTGGAACAAGAAGTTTCGAACCCAATTGAATGTTACTAAGATTTTCCTAGATTTACTTGCGTTGGTGTAAGTAAGTACAACTACAACTCTGCTGTACTACTTGTTTTTGTTTATGTATTGATTTTTATTCTTTTTCATCGTTACCTTAAGAACTATTTCCACAATAAAGATATATATGAGGTGTCCCACTTCTTTATACCCTGCAGGTGGCAGGACCAGGAGGAGCCTCAGCAGCGGTGCACGCAGCGATCGCATCGACCGCATCGGCGGCAGGGAAAGGACAAAAAGAACTCCAGATTAAGGACCCGGAGGATTTTTTGTGGAGTGGAATATAGGACCAAAAACTTATTTCTTTCGGTGAAGGTGATTGGAAAAAATCTTTTAAATCTTTTTTGTGTGGTAGTGAAAGAATGCAAATTGAATGTATGTTGAGAGTTTAGGATTATATAAGTAAGTAAGTGTAAGTTGTAGGTGTTGTGATCGTCTTGGTGTATTAGTAGTTAGAATCTATCAGAAGTTCTAGCGAACTAACAACTGGTAGCAAATTATCGACGAGGATGAAAGAATAAGAATGAGGATACGATCAGACCGATTATTATTAGTGAATGAAAAAAGAACAAGAAGTCTACAACCTATTAGTAGCACGTCTACGAGAACCTATTAGTAGTACAAGCAGCACTAGCATAGAACGAACGACTGGAGTAAGGAAAGTTCTTGAAGATCTGCATTTTCAAGTAGCACAAGACAGGACTTACCAGGGGAACAAAATACAACCGATTATCGCCTAACAAAATGCGTACTACTAGTGTTTGTAGTAGTCTTTCAACATCTTTGATATAGTCTAGAGTGTATTCTTGCTAGTTGGACGCATATGCATGCCTTAATTTGAAAAAATGGCAAATGAATATCAATACGAATATAGACGATATTAACAAAATTGTACTATCACCCCTCGCGGCCTACTTGGAATAACCATAAATCTTATTAATCTTATTTGAAAAAATAATAAACTGATAGATATGAAAATAAAAGAATAAGAAATAGAACGGACAAGTCTAACATGTATAGGATGTCTAGATGAATGGAAAACTTATGTCCACCAGAAAATGATTTGGGCTTCACGTACTGTGTACATATATACATACATTGGCTCGAAGAGCATGATCTGAAGCAAATGAAATCAAAAAATTGAACGTGCGAAAATATTGACATTGCCGACTCGTCGAACATCAACAAAGATAAGAGTTGTGCAACAAGTCGCTGCAGATTTGCGCACATAAGTAAGTACCTACGCACCTAGAATGTACACCTACATAAAATTGAATATATTTGCCTACCGTCTACTCGGTCCGTCTCGGTCTGTCTTTGTCCGAGGATTGCGACCGTGTAGCACGACTACGTGTGTACTATCTGTCGTGACCACTTGTGTTCATCCAAAGATGGTGTGGCATTCCAGACTCCAAGCACGGTCTGCTAGACAGCGGATGCTGCATGCCATCTACTAACCTCTACCACCGTCTTCGGCTGCGTCAATCCGCTCGAGTATGCAGGTAAAACTGTGGGCGGCGGACTGAATCCTAATCCTAGGCAGATCTACCACGACAATTGTTTTGATGATCTCAACCCACTGATGATTATATTCAGCTTCGGGAAGAACGATGTCTTCCCTTTCTTTATGAGAATTCTGAGTGCCATTCTTCATCCTGGTGAGCAGCTTGTACTATAGGAAACTTCACAAATCTAGTTTTAAGCACATAAAACAAAGACCAATCTCAACTAATCAGTTGCGTCTTAATGTAAATACATAAAAGAGGACCAGCTGCTTTAGCTCTAATATATTGAGTACAATCTGCTAGGAAAAAAAATGACGAACAACACCAAGGAGGACACGAAGAGAATGACGAGCAACCTCAAGGAGGAGATGTGTCCGCGGCTTTTTTGCTGCCCGTTCGGATCGGGCAGCTGTAAATATGCTCATGAGCCTAAGGACCGGCAGAAAAATCCAGGCATAAAACATTGGAAGCGAAGGAGATGCTTGAAATATGACTGGATACTACAATCATAATGTCACCAGCAGTCATGAGCATGACAGATTTTTGTGTGAGATTTTTTTTGAGTTTTTATCATTGATAGTCCACCTATGCACAATACTCTGTCTCCGTTCCACTTCTTTGATGCTTATCGTTGTTATAACAAAGTAGTCCTCTACTGCATCCTTCTCCCACCTCCTCCTTGTTCACTCCCACTTTATTCATCTTTCTCGTCTTGTACAAGTATAACAAATTAGTCTTGATCCTTCTCCCACCTCCTCCTTCACTCCCACTTTCATCCTTAATATCGTCGTTTTTCAGAAACTCATCCTTTTCCCTCTCCCATTTCTACTCTCATCCTCATCGTCGTTGTACCAAGGTTGGCTGTCCAGAAGCACACTCTGAGATCGAGATCTGCGCCAACAATCTGTTGTACAAACTCGATTTGTGCCAGAAACTGCCGAATTGTTCCAATGGAGATCGATGCACTTTTGCTCATAGTTAAGAAAGTCTTCTATGAAAACTTCTAGAGAGTAGGTCGTTCAAGATCATGATCATGTAGTACCGGTATTTTCTTAAATAATAATGATCCTGTAGGACGGACGTTTGCTTACAAATCATAGGGATCGATCTGACTTTACTCGGGTCACCCAACATCCTCGGAGGTGAGCCACGTGTCACGGGGGGGCTCATTGTGCAGGGTAAATAACCTAACCTAACCTATTAACCTAACCTAACCTAACCTAACCTAACCTAACCTAACCACTGTCACGGGGGCGCAACCTGGCCTATCCTAATAGTCGAGGAAATCTTGCGTCATCTTCGTGTTAGCCTTTGAACAGCGTCATCTTCGTGTTAGGCTTTGTTGAAGAAAAACAGGCTCTAATCTCGTGAGGAAGAAGTCGGGCTCTTTGTCGAGGTGCATGAGATGATCATGGGTAAGGGCACTCCAGAACAGAAGAAACGAATCCAGCAACTCCTAGACGACAGAAACGAGGAGTTCCTCGCAAGGCATGAAAGAAATAAATTATGGCACAAGAAGCCAGACTGAGCGGGAACAAATTTTGTCAAGAAAGGTCTTTTGAGTTCTTCTCATTTCTGCTGAAAAGCGCCAAGCTGCTGAATACGAATGGAATGTTCTTATCATTCGTAGAAATTTTTTTTCATCTAAGAACATTCCATTCGTATTCAGCAGAAATGAGAAGAATTTTCCAGCAGCTTTTTCATCTGATCTCGACCTAAGAATTTTTACTTCACAGTAGTAAGGAAGATCAGATTTTCAACCTTCTGCATTTACTTGGTACTGTGTCTAAGAAAGGGCAACAAGGGCAATGGCAAAGGCGGTTCGAGAGGCGTCGAAAAAGGTACGGGAAGCGGAGAAGGTTCAAATAGGCACGTTATGGAAAGAAGTCTAGACTATGCAGAAGTGTCTTGATTGGTTTTCGGAAGGCGAGGAACAACATATGAAACGCCGGTTCATCTGTTGCAGAAGCTGCAACTAAGTTGGAATAAAAACAGGGATGGACCTATAATCTTGAACTTCCCACTGAGCAAAGAACCCTTGTCTCTAAGACTGGAGGAACAAGCACTAACAGGGACATCATTTGCAACAGTGTTCCCCCAAGAGATTGGTCAGGGCCAAAAAGCGATAATTCCAAGCGCTTTTATCCCAACAATGGTGGAACTACCACGTCAAGATGGAACGGCGCTAATGGTACTAGAGTCGTTGTATTGCTAGTTTTAGGTTGTCTAATAGAGGAGATGATCTAACTATCGTCACCTTAAGTTTAATGCAACACGTTTTTGGAAAAATATCTTCCGTAAATATAAGTCTGCTAGATACAGAAGATTGATTGGATCTCGCCATCACGTTGCATGGTGAGATCCAATCTTTTGTAGTCTATTCGTTTATACTCTATTAAACCCCATGTGCCATCGTTCATTCTCTGACAACGGTCACTCTTCTACTTCAACTGTTGCCTCTTGTTTTTCAGATCGTTCATTCTCTGACAACGGTCACTCTTCTACTTCAACTGTTGCCTCTTGTTTTTCAGATCGTTCAAGTGCAGCAGACGAGGAGGACGCGGATACGATTCAAAGAGAGCGCTGCTACAAGATAGAAGAGTACAAGAGACGCTCTAGCGGTTACAAGAACGATGGCACCAGGGAAATGATAGAACGACCAGGGAACAATGGTTCCGGTATTAACAACAAGTCCTATTACGGCACCTTCTGGTCAACGTATGAATATGTACGTATCACTATCACTTCTGACGAGATCAAGGAGATTTTTATTTTTACCTTGAGTTGAGGCGAAGGAAATTTTTATTTTTACCTTGTTCTTGCTAGAACAGGCGAACTAGAGCTGGTGCGAGCACCTACCTCCCCCAGTCTCCTTTCGCCATTCGGAGCTGGGAGGTGGGACGCCAGGGGCAGAAGCATCCTGTGTATAGCTAAATTAACAGCTAATTTACTTTCTCTTCTTTTAACCTCGCCTCTTCTTCTTCGCTGAACGAGTGTTGAGCGTGAGAGAGCACAATACAGCTGTAGCCCGCGACCTCTTGGTGCTGTACTTGCTCAAAGATCAGGGACAACGACGGACAACATCTCTCATTTATATTTTACCTTGTTCGTCTTCGTTGGTTTACTTTCTTCATCCAGAACTTGGAAAAGAAGTTCTCATCTCTAATCTTACTTACCTTCTCCGCGGGAAAGGGATGGCGGAGGTTCCCGGTGCACACCACATCATGGAACTTCAAGAACGCCGCGTCATCAGGATCAAGGTAGAGGTGTCTCTACTAAGGCCGTAGATAATTCATCTTTTTGGGTATCCTTGATGTATCTTTTTGGTTATCCTAGATAATTCATCTTTTTGGGTAAAGTACGTGCTAACAGACACTATTCTCGTGCTTTACTTCTATACTCTTCAAGGATGCAGTAGAAAGATGAATTACGGAGAGCGCTAACTCTACTAGTACGAAAGACTATCAAAGAGACTATCAGCCACCAAGAAGTTCTAATGCCAAAGATTACAACAATTCAAGAGACTACAATCAATCTACAGGGACACGTGCTGGTAACACAACTACAAGGTGGGAATGGGATGATACAACTAGTAGCGGGAATTGTACTAGTTCTAAGGGTAATATTCAGGACAAGACATCACCAAGTGCGAAGACTTCTGCTAGGGAGAACATCAATTACGACTACGCAGCTAGAGGTGATACAACGAATAGAAGTTGTAAGGACCCAATCAAGACGACAGGTGGTAGCAGGGAGACAAGGAGTGGAGGAGGTAGTGCTACAACGTCAGCAGGGACATCGTCGTCAGGTAGTGCGGACCAGGGAACTTCAACATCTCGGAACATCAATCGAAGTGACGAGCCGCCTAGAAAGTGGAACAGTCGTGTTGTCACGATACCTTTGGTAACGTCTAGCACTTCCTCGTCGACTGGTGCCACTTGTTCTAGTGCAAAAGCTGGAGGTAATTATGCGACTTCTAGTGCAAAAGTTGTGAATGAAAGGAGAATTGGCGACCAGCAAACTAGAAGTGGTCCTACTAGTACCTCTACTAGTTGTACCAATAAAGTAGTAACAAGAGAGCTGCCTGCTGGTCATCCTAAAGCAGGCAGTGGCGTCGTTGCTACGACGAGTTACAAAAGACGTTCCGTGTCGCCAGATAGTGATGATAAAAACGCAAAGAACTACAAGAACGAAGGCAAAGGTACCCTCCAGAATATTCGTTCTGGTACCCTCCAGGTAGGCGCAACATCTTCATCCATGCTAGTAGTCGAAGGGCAAGACCAAGAGTCCACACCAGTTACATCGTCGAGGCCGACAAAGATAGCGAAGCATTCGGCGACTCAGTCTAGTATTCGAAGAGTCGAACGCGCACGCGCTGTTAGTACTGAGTTTCCTTTCATATCAGAACAAGACCGAACAAAAGAGCAAAAAGACTACAGGATGAATTACCTCGACAACTCTAAAAATACAAATGTTAAGGCCTCACTTAATATCCATCTTTTAGCTTACCTGCAAACTGTTTCCAAGCAGAAAAATGGACACAGATGAGGGAAAAAATGGATTGTAGTGAGTTTTAAAAATAGTAGCACAAGAACGAAGAACGAACATGTTACCTCCAGAACGGAGGCTCTTTCAAACGTGATGAAGTCCGCCCATGCTTTGACGTCTCCCAACGTGAAAATCCTAGATAGAAATGTGCAAAACCGAACCGAGCACAGCAGATCGGCTTGTTCGGTTCTGAGCACTTCAGCGGAACCTGGGATGTTATGGAGCTTGTAACTTTTGATTTTTGGTAGTAACTCGGTAGAACTAGGTAGTTAAATATCTATATCAATCAACCATGTAACACAAATATCAAATCAATTCACATCTTCATGCTGCCGAATATTAGATTCGAATCATCAAGCATCGATCAACTATACTAGACTCTAAACAACGACCATGTGAGTGTGCGTGCTTTTGGTGGCAACAAACAGAACAACAACAATACTTCTGTAGAAGAACAAGCTGCCGCTGGAGACCACGGTGGTCAGAAGGAGCCGAAGAAAGAACTGGACGTTCTCTTCATTATTCTCATGACACGTTCGTTGATGCTACTTACTGTTGATACCGTTATTTCGATCTTCATTTTAGACTCTAGTAAGTTCTTCTAAGGAAAGTCAAACTCCTTACGGGATTACCACGCTCCTTGTGGTCTGCTGCGTTATCTTGGAAGTTCTTGTACCCGCGTGGTAAACAACGCGGTCCAGCTGCTTGATAAAGATTTTACTATCTTGATAAAGATTTTAGATTCAGCTTCATTTTTTTCCTTCTATCTATCAAAAATTTCTTAGGCCTCGGATGTCGACGAACTGCTACGAAAGAACATTATGGCCCCTGTAGAGTACGCACGTGCTGTTGGGAAGCTAAGCGACGTGGCGGTTTCGCGGATTAATGAAATTCTGCTGTCGGAATTTGCGATACCGAAGTCGTGAGGGAGATAGAAGTAATGAAAACGGTCGAGGAAGATCGGGTTTTTCCTATATCGGAAAGCTTGTGCAAGAACTACCGAAACGGCGCGTTGGGTTTTTCTTGTTAGAACACGACCGAAGCGGTCGACCTCGAGGACATTGTCATGTCTAGATTTCCATTTTTTTCTTGCCCCTACGACATGGGAGTCCTGGTCGAGGCCGAGCAGTAAGGACATGGTCGAGGCCGAGCACTTAGAACGTTTGCTCGAAGATTCCCTGTGCGTGCCAAGAGCATGACCATAACTAGTGACGCCTGTCAGAGTACAAGTACGCTTGTTATATCGCAGGTATTATACCTACAAATACAATTTGAATCTTCATATCGCAGGTGGAATACGAATAAGTAGTTCGACGTAGATGCTGTGCTCGTGCCCCGACTGTCAGCGTGTATGTGTAAAAAGGTTTCAAGAAGCGTGTTTCATGGAAGTTGAGTTTTGCGTAAGTCTATTTTTTTCTGTCGTAATTTTTCAAGGGAACAACAGGTATGCAGGTGGTGGCTGGAGGGTCCGCGAAGAGGACGCTGGGCCAGCCACAGCCTAAAGCTCTTTGATTTCGTGATTTGGGGGGTTGCCGCACCAGAGAATTATGGCGAGTCATTCACATCTTCCAACTGATTAGTGACCCAAATAATCCCAACTTTTTATCAACGCAACTCGAATAAATCGACTGTTACATGAAATATAGCGCACGACCCGAAGAATGCCACGGCCAGGAAGTTGGTAGCTTTATTGATCATGCGGAGTTTTCCAAAACACAAGCGTTCTTCTTTAGAATAGCCTACCTACGTAACGAAGGCAGAGGCAAAGTCCCACAAGTTTGATCCCTTTCTCGGTCGAGCTCGGAAAGACGGTATACAGCCGTCATCGGTCAAGAACTTGAGGTGAGTGAACTTTGCTGGCTGGTCGAGCATCATTGATCTTTTGTCATAATCTCCCACTCACATCATATGTCCCTCGAGCTTCGGTTCCCTCCCCACCACGAAGACAGAGCCCACCTGCAAAAGAATAGACTACAAGAACTTCCGACTTGAATTCTTAGATCAAGAAAATACTAAGAATACATCTCTACTCGGTAAAAAAATTTCTTCTATCTTCATCCAACAAGTCAATTTCAATAGAACAACTCCTCGAGAACTGAATGAGGAAGTACAACAGAAAAAAGAAATGAGTCTTGACGTCGCTTAGCAACGAACTACAGGGAGAAAAACCTTCTCCGTCCTTCTTCGTAGAAGAGAAGAAGAAGGAGTAATACTCTCACCTGCTTTCCGGGAGCAAGCAACGGGAGACCTCCCGGAATACCCCTCTCAAGAACAGAATTATAACCAGGGGCAGAGGCAGAAGCAGAATAACCAGGTGCAGCACTGTCTTCGTAATACCTTCATTCTTCGTAATTGTATGCGGGAAGATACTATTTCACGACACGACGACTAAGGAGCCGTGAACTACAATAACAAAATGACGGGCAACAAGATGGCGGGAGGCGGTAAAGTAAGGGTTTTGGTCCGAGTGAGACCGACCTCCAATTTCGCCTCCAACATCTACAAATTCCACGAGGATGCAGATAGCGTCGATATCCTGCATCCAAGTGACCCGAGTCAGGGAGCAGTCAACAATGCACCAGAGAATTGGCATTTTAAGGTACCACCATTTTTATCGTAATTTTTTTATGACCAGCAACCGATTCGTCTTTATCTTCCAATCATTCAGACTTTCCTATTCTAAACCTCAAATATGGCACATTCGTCAAGCAGCTCTCGCCAGGCATATTAAATAATCAATGAACCAACCTCCACCCCAACTATTCTTCCTACCCACCCCAACTATTCTTCCTAGCCACCCCAACTATTCTTCCTAGCCACTCTCGCTCCACAGGTAGACAAGCTCATCGTGAATGCAACGCAAGAGTCCGTATTTAGGAACGGGTGCGATGAGATCGTTACCAGCGTAATGGAGGGATATAACGGCACATTACTAGCCTACGGCCAGACGGGTGCGGGTAAGACCTTCACAATCAGTGGAGGACAGGGATTTGCGCAAAGGGGTCTAGTGCCACGAGCCATCTCAGGAATTTTTTCCGAAATACATAGCAGACCGGAAAATATCGTCACCGTGCGGTTATCGTACTGATTCTGATACCAGGCTGGATTATATGTTGCATGAAGATCTTTGTTGATTCGGACGACTGGTTTTTTTGGTGTTGAAGAACTGAAATGGCATTTACATCTACAGTTCTACTGCTGAACGAATGCTCAACCACGTACACTATTCTTGAAAGCTCGTTTCTGAATCACAACATTGAGATCTGCAAAACGGACAGCACCACCAATCTTCTAGGTACATCGAAATCTACAACGAACTTATGTTCGATCTGCTTTCGAGGGTAGCGGTGAAGGACCAAAAGGGAGACTTGACGGTGCAAGAGGATGCGAAAGGGGGGATCGTACAGATTCTTGTTTGAATTCACAAAGTTCTGGTCATTCAATGAAGATCTTCATGTTAGCTTGATCCTAACGCAACGTACCTAGAAGATGAGTCAGTGTCTTCAGACACAGGAATGGTTGTTTCATGTAGTGATACATAAGTACTTTCAATACTAATAAAAACCAACACCCCCCCTCCCTTCAGATCTGCAAGCAACTGTCATTGAAAGCCGCACCAAGTGAAGAGGCGGCTCTTAATATCTTTTTCGAGGGTGATGCGCAAAAAGCTTTAGCCGAACACGCTCTGAATGAGGCGTCAAGTCGAAGTCACACTGTCTTGACAGTGTATGTCGATAGCAGAAGCAGAGTGGAGTAATATTAAAAGGGGTCTTTTCTTGGGTTTTTTTTGTTATGCATTCTCAACGAAAGTAGATCAAGGTGGTCCTTTCGAAACCTTGATCTGCGGTCGACGCACCGTAGATCGTAGATGCATGTCTTTGCTAGTCGTTTTCACCTTCCTTCTATATGACTTTACCCCCCCATCCGCCGAATAGGTCTAGTGAGAAAATCACATCCTCGAAGTTGCATCTAGTGGATTTAGCGGGTTCGGAACGACTGAAGAAGACGGGAACAGAAGGCTCAACGCTGCGAGAAGCAGGGTTCATCAACAAAAGTCTCACATTCTTAGAGCAGGTACTCTTGTTCATCTCACTAGATTCTCTTGTTCATCCCACTAGATTAACACGTATAGTTTCAGTTGGATTGAATGAAAATAGTGAATGATACTCTATGTCTATTAATCCCATTTTTGAGCTTGTTGGAAATAGGATAGAGTTGCTTGTTTATTATATGAATACTAATACACTAAGGTCGTCCGCGCCTTAGCCGACAAGGGTCGGGATCATGTGCCGTATAGGCAGTCAAAGTTGACGCATTTCCTCAAGGATTCACTAGGAGGCAACTGCAAGACGACTATGATAGCCAACATTTACCCGGAAGCGAGATTTTTAGAGGAAAGCGGAAGCACTCTGCGCTTCGCCACTAGTATGATGAAAGTCATCAACAAGCCCTCAGTCAACATGCATCTGGACAACGCGCTGTTGTTGAAGAAGTACTCTGGATCCGATCATAAATGTTCTGGAGTTTTTCCGACTAGCTTTTCCTATTTTTGGTCCATCGCCTTGCTTCGTTCTTCATTTTTACACATCAAGAAGGCTCCTTTTATTTCACAACTAGACTTATAATACGGATACTACTTGCAGTTTTAATTACAAATTTACTCCATAGAAATACTGACTTTGAATAGTTCTAGGTAAGTCTCATCATACTACTTGCACTTCTAATATTCCATTTTCGCAATGAATGCTCTTCCTCTTATCACCCTCCAAACATCTATTTTCGCAATGAATGCTCTTCCTCTTATCACCCTCCAAACATCTATTTTCGCAATGAATGCTCTTCCTCTTATCACCCTCCAAACATTTTTCGCAATGAATGCTCTTCCGCTATCTTCCAGGTACGAGCGCGACATCAAAGATATGAAGCAGGAACTAGCAATCACAAAAATTCTCTTCCTCTTATCACCCTTCAGGTACGAGCGCGACATCAAAGATATGAAGCAGGAACTAGCGATGCACGATACACTAGCTGGGAGAGGAAGAATCCAGTACGCGGACTACTCACCGGATGAAGTGCGAGCACTGGAGGTGAAAGTGCACCAATACATAGAGGGAGAAACGGAGCAAATGGAAATAGTGTCATTAAAGATGGCCCACGAATCATTCGCCATTTTTCGGAAGATGATACAAAGTACTTTTGTTCCTTTTACAACTTGGAGAAGTACTTTTCCTTTTCTCCAAAGAACTGCACACTCATCTACTTTCAAACTGTGTGATTTCAGCTCACTTCATCTAGTTCTAGGAGCTCTCCTGTTAGACGAACCCAAGAAGGCTCACTTCATCCAGTTCTAAAAGCTTCATTTTCCCCAAAATCTCCTCCAGACCTCCAGAAAGAATTGCGAGAGCGGCCAACGCTGCAGCCAGGAGCGGGTTTCAGTCAAAGAGAAGCGACCTTAGAAGACGGTGGTATGGCAGGAGAGGCGCCACCACTAGAGGACCAGGTAGGAGAGGACGACGACCAACAAGCCGGCTTTGGCATTGGTGTAGCTACCACAAAGCCTGTCGTGGAGGAAGCAGAAGCACCAGCTGGGGATGGAGGTATTTTTCTTGATGTTCAACACCTAATTTAATATTTGTAGAAGCTTATATGAAGATGATGAGTTTCGCGCAAATTTTAATTTTCTTCATCACATTTGTAGTTTCTCCTCCTTGTTTTTAGACAAATCAAATGGTTGTTCGGATTCAACAAGTCAAGAACAAGGATGTACAACTAGTCCACAAATTTCCACCACCCCACTTCAGAAGAGCCCGAAGTCTTGACTCCTCGACGACCGGTGAAAGCTACTAGGAAAATGGAAGCTGGCGGTGCAGACAAGGCCAGCTTGTTCTTGACGTGGAAGAAGAGGGAAGGTGGACGATACGAGAGGGAATTCCAAATGCTCAAGAACGCAGTCCTGGAGAAGAAGCAAGAGTGCAAACTGCTCATCCAGAGTCTCAATCAAAAAAAAGGAACGGTGGACGCCTTGGATGCAAGGATAACGCAAAGTACTATTCTTGATTTTGCAGATTTACTACTTGTTAAAAAGTATTTTAGTTGGTGCACTGAATCAGTGCCTTGAAGAGTCCGTACAAGTCGTGCTCACAAATCCTAAAGACAAACAGAACTTTCATCCTTTCTTGTTCTCTTTCGTTCAATGCGACAACCCCAGAGCAGTCGTATCCAAAAATGTTTCATCCCACCTTCTCTACAGAAGGAGCCGCCTCGCAGCAGGGGTCATCAGGAGACCTAATAGACGAAGAAGAATTTGCTCTCCTAGCCACCAAACAAAAGGAGCGAACAGAATACAAGAAGATGCTGGAAGAAAAGAGAATGGTGGATCAAGACATCCTCTCAGGCGAGCAACAAATGCAAGCGTGCAAACGGGGATTGGTGCAAGCGTTCTTATGGTTTCTTAGTGGAAGATGGAAGAACGACTTTGAAGATGTAACATCACAAGAATTGTTCAGAAGATCTTTCTATCTCTACTCCAGAGCAGTCAAAATTTTTAGACCACTCACTAAACGACGCCTTCTAGTAAGTACCTTCTAACACCTGAATCCTGGTACGCGCAGAAGTATATGGGTGGCAATACTTTTGGTGCCAGTACTTTTGGTGCGACAGGCAAGGTGGAGCTAGACAGCAAAGAGCAGTATGACGGGCTCGAGGCAGCTCGCTTTCAAGGGGATAGCGAAGCCTATACCTACTATAAGGCACGCAAGAATGCTGCTGCAGCGAAAACGAGGCGATGAAGTTGATCTGCTGATTATCATCGTTTTTTTGTGTCGTTTTTCGCCAGAAGAAGTGGTTTTGGATTTCTGTAGAGCATACAACTCTAGTTTTCAAAACAAAAAGCAAAGGATAACTCCGATTCGATTCGCTATAAGATTTCAACAAGAAAGGATTTCAGTTTCAGAATTTATCAGAATTTATCGCAAATAGAGACGTCGTTTGAGACGGTTGTCGGCTGCGTGGCAGAAATGCCCGACACCGATCTTGAATAAAACCGATTAGTATTTACACGATTCGCGCAAGAAAAGCCTAAAAAGTGTGTGTGTTTTAGTACCGATTTATCCAGTATGAATAGTAGCACCGATGTACTAAATCTAAAGACCTTCAGGTAGCCAAGTTGTTATAATAGAGTGTACGCGCAACCTCAACTTGTTGATGTACCATACAACTAGGTAGAAATAGGAAAGAGAATGATCGTCCTTCTGCAGAACAAAACTGATGAAAGAAATCGCGTTTGACTCAATAAACTACCTGCATAGAAGCCAACATTAGCATTTTTCCGCATGTTTCCTGCATTGATTAACGGTTATGGCGCGCATGAGACTGTTGTGCAGCGAGCGCACGTTGATATATCTGATGAACCAACACTGACATAAAAATGCACGTCGGACTTCGTGGTCTATTGTCGTTTGTATTTTGAATCTTGGATAACGCTGGAACGAAAGAAGGACAACATGTTTAATAAAGATAAAGTAAAGAACAAGGATCATACGACTGATGTCATCCTTCGCGATCAATAGAGTCGCATAGAAGTAGGTTTCTTGTTCGTGTATCCTTAGTTTTGCTTTGCGGCGAACGCGAATCGGGTTGGCTTGAGTTGACAAGATTCTCGCGAGTGAAGAAAAGCGGATGTGATCGCATGCGTTTGCGCGAGCATAATCAGGACATCTTTTCGCATCGAATGAGACTGGTAGTACGTAATTTAATGTAGGAGCAACTCGCGTGTAAGTACAAAATAGCAGAAAGAAATAGAAGTAGATTTACACCGGGTTATAAAATGTAGGTGGCACAGCGATTCTGGCAGTTTAGCATCATTTTTTTGAACACAGGCGTAAGCGTTGTAACAGCGGCTGTTATATTTCTTCAAGACGTTTTCTTGTCCTCAAAACTACCATATAGCAAGATGTCTTTCGCCAATCGTGGCCGCATGCTGGCGCCCGGGCCCGGGAGTGAGTTCGATTCCAGCAGTATGTCTCCGCAGCGCTCTCCTTCCGTGGCGTCTTCTGCGCAGAACAGTGAACGCTCACGCGCTTCTTCGACACAGCCTTATGGGGGGTCTGGGGCCAGTAGTATCACGACGGGAACCGTTGGCGAGCCTCAGTCACCGAATAGGAGTGTTCCATCAAGACTGACGTCGTTTTTGAAACAGATAGCGAAGGGGAATAGCAAAATCGAACGGTTAGCGAAAAAATTGAAAGAACCAAATGGAGATGCGCCGTTTGGAGGAGGGATGGATTTATGGTTCTTTCAGTTCTTGATATGAGCATTCGTTTTCGTCTGTTTCTAAGGAGAGGAAGAAAGCTGAGACTAATAAAGTCGGGAATGGCATAGTTCTGGGTAACAAAGGTAAAGAATACAATCCCAATCGACGAATTGCTAGCATCATCATAGAGCAGCTCCACCTTCCGCTCTAATACGACCCGCAAACTCCCGAGATGAAGACTACTTAGCTTCAGAAAATGAGGAGACGGAGAAAGAACTTTTAGGCGAAATCGAAGCGACCAAGGTGCTTGTCGCAGAAGCAGCGGCTTTACTGGCATCTTTTCGTGCACCGCCAGATGCAAGCGTTGGAGAGAGGGAACTTTTCAAGGTACTTCCTAGCTTGAGCTGTGCTAGATTCGAATTATTGAATGTACTTTTTTTTATAAGAAAATATAGCAGTCGTGTCAGCACTTAGCACCTGTCTAGTAAAGTACTATCAATGTGATGCAAAAACCGTACTTTCAATTGCAAATACACCACACCAAACAGGGCCAACATCGCAAGTTGTCAAATTCCTTAGCAGATCAGAGTGTGGAACACGAAAAAATCGCAAAAGTTACACTAGAAAAAATCGCGCGTCTCAGCAGTGCACGCACCGCAGCTTCTAGGAGAGCACGGGAGGCAAGAGAGCAAGCAACACCACTGTATCCCGATTTAGGTGGAAGTGCTGTTTCTAAACCAGGACAAGGGACTTCTCCAAGCGGAGGTAACAAGAGTTCGAGTCCTGCGCTTAACCAGAGTTCCAGTTCTTCCTCCACTGCAAAAGGAGCGGCCGTCGTGGCCAACAATCAAAACAGTGGGTCCTCTTCTTCCTTGCTGCAAGAACTGGAACAGGCTAGTAGTGAAGCGCAGTCCCAGATTCGGAAGCAGGAAAGGGAGTTGCAGGACGTCACGCAAGATGACGTCGGAGAAGACGAAGTCTTTCGGAACGAGTTAGTAGCAGAACGAAACCAAGAAATCAGTGGAATTCATCGGGACATGGCTACGATTCAGAGCTTGTACAAGGAGCTGGCAGGGCATGTGGAAGAACAAGGTAGAATTAGTAAGGCATATCATGTGCGATTTCGAAATGGAACGAAATCGAAGTCCTCTATTTTCTTGGTTGTTAATCTGTGATGTTGATGATCCTGATTGGAGGTTTATTTCATTTTCATTTTGTTGGGGGTGGCCGTAGCGCTTCAACCCTTGAGAAGCCGGGAGTCATAGGCCGCAGGGGGTGCTTATGGCCTATGACACTGACCCTCTCTTCTGCGCTGTGCAGTATGCTCATCGGTTTGTTCGGTCTAATCAAATCATCACTCATTTCATAACCTCCGATCAGCTCTATCCTCTCTCCGGCTCTAGCGTCCCGCATCCACCTCCTGAAAATAAATGCTAAATATAATACTAAGTTAAGTTGTTATTTAGCCCCTACGACATAATTAATGGACGAAAGACGGGAAAACTAACGTTTTTTTTGGAAAGTGCATACTGTAAAGCTACTCGGTCTAGTACTTTCTCAGGATCATGATTTGCCTTTCATTTTGTTTTTGGTCCAAGAGCAGGTAAACCTGTAGTACTTCTCTCATACAGTAACAGTCTCAAAAATGTTACATCCTCAGGTTCCACCATTGTTCAGATGGAGCAATCTTTGGAGAGTGGGGTTAACCACACCGAGTTAGCGCAAAGAGAAATCGAAGAAACGCAGAGGCATATGAGGAGACAGACGAAACTATATTCGTGTTTAGGGACTTTGACCTTTATTTGTCTCTGCTTCATCCTCTACTTCTTCTACGACTTGTTGCATGCGAGATCGCGCAGTGGAAGTAGCGGAAAAGCTCTCGTTGATGGAAATGGAGACAACCAGTTGTATAGAGCGCAGAAGAGTTTGAAAACGACATTGTTACAATTCTTTGAGCGAGGTGGAGGTGCTGCTCTGCGAGAAGATGAAGAAAAGTTGTCTGCTGCAGAGGAGAGGAACGAGAACGATGATTTCGGATCAAATGCAGAGTCCCATGCGCCTTCCTCTATTGCGCAGTGGATGCTGACTGAAACGGCGCATGTCGCAGAAAGAACCTGGCAAATCTGTCCAAGTGCCTCAGAAGTTTCGTCACTCTTAGCCTCAAGTATGTCGTGTATTATGGGACCATTGTTTTCTTTCTTTACGTTCACACACCATGACCAACGTGAAGCAAGTAGAGAGACGACGAGTAGTACGGCGAACTACAATCGTCCACATGATCATGGTGCACATCGTTCACGAGCACAGAGAAGCACACCTCCACCAAGCAAACCTGACGTGATTGTTGAGAACATAGCTGGTGATAGCAGTAACTCACATTCATCACGACATATTAGTGCTGGTGATGCGAATTTGTCAATTTTGTGGGAGTAGTTTTATCTTATCCACCACCAAGCCACAAACTAGATCGCCATAGCCGTCATGTATGTCATGGTACTGCGAGTCTCACATTCTGCAGGGAATCGTCATAAATGTTCATCTACCTTCATCCTGGCTTGATCCCCTTCTACACTATAAGTATCCCCATCGAGGAGAGAGAGAGAAACTCAACCTTATAACTGTGATCGGTTTAGCATTTTTGAATAATGTTAATGTCTGGCTCTGACTGCGTCTGAGAGCAGGATGAATCCGAGATTCTTTCCGCAAAAATTACGATTTGCGTGTTTACGTATTGCATGTTTAGTGAATAACCACCACTCAGACTCATACTAGTACTTACAAGAAAATTGCAACCATGCAATCCGAGAATCTTGCTGATGTTGTGCACGCTCCTTCGAGCAGTACTTCTTTCGCTTATTTTCGCGGTGAAAATAGTCGGACGATCAAAAACGGCTTTTTACATGGCGTGCTCTACGCAACGCGCATACGTGTGGTGGATGGCATCGTGAAGACGCTGCTGTACTCTGAGAGAAGTGTCTCTTTCGAGGAGATCGTGAATTCAGTGGTTAACGCAGCTTTCGTCCACGGGTCGTCGTTGGGGGCTAGTGTTGTGGTGACGAAATTCGTGCTGTTGCTGTGCGCCAAGCTACAAAAAAATGGCATCTTTGATACACTGTTGAGGCCGCTGGTGGGGATCAAAGACCCTAAACCCTAAACCCAAGGGATCCAGATCCACTAGTCAATGATCAGTACGATGATGAAAAAGCTCCTTCCGGCTCTAATATTCCTGCGATTGGTTGGCCAACAGCCTGCGCCTGGCTCTGCCAGAAGATGGACGACCGCGACGCCAACAACCTCTGTTACATTTTTAGCTGCAGCAAAAGACGGGCTTTTCCCGGGGCAACCTCAAGACGCCATTGTCAAGCCTAGGAGCTTCTCAGGCTACAGCGAGCGCGCAGGATCCTCCAGTGAGCGCGGTTGGCATTGGGCAGTGAGTGGCTTTTGTAGCGGTTTTCTAGTCTGGGGCTCAGACAGCAGGTTCCACGACCTAATGAACATGTACATCGTATCCAGGGTCATCGTGGCTGCAGCGAAATGGTTTGCTGACAGAAAACTGAGATGGAGGGAAAATGTATGACGACATCAGGAGATGATGGCTGTCTGCTTAGTTACTAGAAGTAGTTGTGATGGAAAAAAATTTACTAATACGAATCTAGTAGAAGGCTTGCTATGTATTACATCAACTTGCGCACTTCATCTAGTTCCACCAATCAAGATTTTTAGCAGTACTCTGCTTGATCCTCCTGCTAAAAAACAAAAATCGAGTCTGCCCGCTCTAGCTCGTCTCTTACTCTCAGCTCTCACTCGTCTCCCTACACCTGCTAAGTTGTGTGCCCCTTCCTCTAGACTACAACAGCTAGTAGTCCGCTAAGAGGGAGCAATGTCCGAGCTCTAGTGCGACGTTTATTCTCTGCCAGTAGTTGGGCGGCCGTGATGTACATGTATCGGATGCGATTTCCGCTGACCGCCAGTCTGAGGGAAAGCATGGCCTATCTGTACAAGGATAGCCGTGTGCGCATCCGAAGTGATACGTGGTTATGGACTTGTAGACCTGAGATATCCATGATTTGACACATCTTTAGTTTTATATTATCATCTTTATAGTATTTACTTTCTAGTATAAGTAGAGAGTTGTGCCGTTTGTGTGGTGGAGTTTGTGTGTTGATCATGTCGCTCAGGACAGCGTCAAAAGATACCTCCAGAACAGGTAAATGAATGAATGAATGAATGTAGAAGAGGTTTGAAGAAGATCTGGATCGTCAAGAGGATCGCGCAGGCCTAGTGAGCCTCAAGTGAAGATGATGGGCCGCAAGTGTCGAAACCTTCCTCAACAGGTTGCTTGTTCTTCAAATCTCCCTTCTCGGAATCCGAGTTGTCGCCAACATCCCTTTGTCCCTCTTCTAATTCCTCGCGAAAATTTGGGCACTGGAGCAGACTTCGTTCCTTACGTGGCTGTCGCTGTTTGGCTCTTGAAACTGTTTCCGTTGAGTCCAACTGGGCTGTTCAGTAGAGTTAAGGCTTCCCGTGAACCCGATCCGTCTTCAGAAGCATCTTGGAGACGTTTCTTTGCAAGGTGGAAAAGAAGCATCTTTGGACGGTCTGCAAGACGGTTTGCGAGCTCGTCTAATAGAGATGAAGCCTCTAAGATGAGAGAAGATCCAGGTGGCACGAGTGGAGTGCCTCCTACGTCGCAACAACCTGGAAGAATGGATTCTGCATCTTTCAATTTCATGCCGACAACTACGAGGAAAGAAGCGAGTAGAGTTAAGAATAGGTCCTTGATGAAGATGAATGGGCGGTTTTTTAAAGATAGGAAGTGGAGGAACTACTTCGAGGGTCCTCGAGGATGAAACCTCACGACCTGGCCTATTTACTCCTTTCTCTACGAAGGAACTAAATAAAACCCCTAGGACAAAGACATTCCCCTTGCCCTCACTACTTGCTGAACTTACCCGCCCTCGAATGAGTAAACTTCTTCCGCAAATGAGGAAGCAGTAACCTAAGCGCTAGAGACACTGAGCTGCGCCGTAAATAAGTAAGTTGTGTTCCTCTGGAAAAAAGAAGATAAAAGGAGAGCTTAAACAAAAAATAAGCATCAAAAGCTTGATCCGATCACAAACTACTACCACGACTACTACTACTACTACTAACCACGTCCTTTCACCTTCTAATCCTCCTCGCGCGGAAGGCGAAGCGTTATTGTCGGACAGGTTGGAGGATGACCTTCACATGGAGTCGATGTCATCCTCGTCCTCGACACAGATTAAGGGTTTCCGAATTACATCCCTCACTACCATCCTTGGCTCCTTTTCAATGGGGAAATAGGTCAAGCATGTTCTGAAGAATGCAATTCGGCAACCTCTAAACAGAGCCTCCGCCAACTCGAAAGCGCTTCTGGGCGATCCTACTTGGACGATGGGTTCCATCATCAATTGCCATTAAGATCAGGAATTGCCATTTTTAACATTGTAATATGTTCATGATGTTGTTAGAGTGGTCGTTGTGAAGAAAATTTGAAGTAGAAATTGAACAACTTCTAGAAGTAGCGCAATCTCAAATAAATTACATTCACGTGGTGTTGTTCATGGGCTGGATGATGAATTGCCATAAAGAGGTTGTTAGAGTGGTTGTGAAAATGAAAATGGAATGTTAGAACTACTGCGATTTCAAAATTATATTCACGTGTTGATCGTGCTCGTACTGTTTTTTCCTAGTCGACGTGCACCTGTACCAAGAATACCACGTCCCTCCTACTAGCAACCTCTTCTAGTCACGCCTTGCAGCCAGCACTCTCTAACCCCTGGTCCTCGCGACGACTCCCTATGCGAAAAGTCGTCCTCCGCTTATTTAGATTCAACGTTCTCGAGTCATTCCAATGGCGACAACGATCTTGTGCCCACGGATTCCAACATGAGCATGGCGGGGTCTATGGACAGCGACAGACTAGCTCAGCGGATCGAACAAATGGAGCGAGGACAGTTAAGAGCTGGGTTGTTCTTGTATACAGAAGGGTGAGGGGGCATTCAGGGAAATCTGAGGCATTTTTTGCTGAGTAGATTTACATCAACGTCAGAACAAGGGCATTGAGTGACTTCGATATCAACAAGCAGCACATGGTTCAGATTGCATCTTAGGGGAGCTGTACTGTTGGTAATTGTGCTTGTGATTCTACATTGCTTTTAGGAGAAGGATACATCGGTTTTTTTCATGCTAGTAAGAGGAAAAAATACTGACCAGAAATAGATTATCAATGTATGTTGACAGGTATGGCTCTAAAAATTCAGGCTAGCAGACGCGGAAACAGAGGCTCATCGACGTCGCCGTATGATCAGTTGGGTAGTAGCACAAGACGAAGAAGTAGGGAATTACATGCAGTGTCCAGCTTCATGATGGAGAATATGTGAGTTAAATCGAACTCATGTGACACATAATTCAGCTCAAGGAACGGCGACTGGCATTCTAGCTTGTTGTAGTAGTAGTTTTAGACAACGACAGAGCATGATTTTATCAATGATGGTTCTAAAGGCATCGTCTTATTACCATTACCTGGTGTAAATCATTATATTATAGGAGGTCTAAAAGATTCGAAGAAAATTCACAGCTTTGGTTCCTACTTCTTTCTAGTATGTTCCATATGGAGACTTGCAGATGGACGCCCTTTAAAAAGAGAAGTCCTCGATGTTTTTAGCACATCTTGAGGATTTTTACATTGTTTTTTTGTTTTGTTTTTGGGTAATCATTTTCATTGCGACGTAGATGGATCTCCTCTGGCAGGTGCTGTTTCGGTGTGCTTTCATCTTAAGTACTCAGTAAGGAGCAGCGCGATTGTCTTTTCTTGGAAACAGAGAAACGAAGAAATGAGCTGTTGTCCTGAATGAGCTGGAGCTACATCTGTCTCTGCAGCTAGAAACATATCTTCACTGTATGAAGAGAGGAGAGAAGATAGGAGGGACTTTTTTTTGCTGGCACAGCAAAGAAGACACGAACAACAAAAGTAACTGGCATAGACGAGAAGAGTAATGTTGTTTTGACGAGTTTCATCACATCGGTATTTTTTTGTGCGTTAGAGAATAGAGAGAGAGTGCATTTTTCCATGTCACGAAGGTTTAGGTTTTTGGACTGTTTCCACACTTCTACTTCAACCGACTAAAAAGAGGAAATTGTAGCCTCAATTCTTATCATTGTTGAAGGTATAATCCTACTCTCATTCACATCGACTGGCCCCCTCAAAACCATCCGTCATCACAAACACAAAGAAACTATAGGGAGGTTGTCGGTTCTTGGCGGTACTGTGTGTCTTGCTCTCTGAGAGCAGACACATGGGTACTGTACAGGCAAGGAAGTCGTGAACCAGTTTGAATAATGATCATTCCAAGGCAGTAAGTAGGGTGACCCTTTCCAAAGGATATGCATTTACTTCTATCGACCATTTAAAAGGATTTAAACGAGTAGGTGTGATCCTTTACAAAGGATTCACCTATCGATCACTCCTTGAGGATTGAGCAGGTTAAATTTTCCACTTTTTACTACCTCGTCGAGATAAATATTTTCAGAAGAGTCTCCTGTCAACTAAACAAACTCAAATTTTTTTGTGTAATAAAGAATAACCTGAACAATAAATCGCCCTCCACGAGTAGTACCTCTACAAAATGCAGCGTTCTTACAACTCAGTACAACGTGGTGTCCGCCACCAATTGCGGCCCTCGCAGGTTCAGCAACAGCGGAACATTAATGTTGGTGTACTGAAGGAGCGGGCCAATGAACGGCGTGTCACCATGGTTCCTGCCATTGCACAGAAATTCATTAAAGTTAAGGCTTTTTGTCTGTGAGATTGATATGCATGGTCGACGAACAACTCGCTTATCACGAATGCAGTTGCAATAGCACAGCCCTGATCTCTTTCTCCCAAATGATGGCACCATCTCCTGAATGGATCCAGTGCTTCATAATGACCTGAAGCCAATATCTGATAACCATGTAATCCCATATCATCATCTCTTCTAACCCCTACGGCTACACGATGAAGGTCGAGAGTGGCGCAGGTCTGAAATCTGGATACAGTGACGCTGCCTACAAGGAAGCGGGATGTGAGGTGATGCCTCGAGACAAGGTGATTAAGGCTCAGTGTATTTCATTCCCAAGTGTCTCTTTTCTCTGTTTTCTTCTTGGAATACTGAGAAAATGAACCTAAGAAGTGACTTGCTTGGAGCTCTAAGGCGGTTGCGAGTTCAGAACTTTTGTTCGGTTTGCACCCAGTAGAGGATAAGGAGTTCCCAAAATTCAAGGACAAGATGCTTGTCTCCTGGGTTGGGCGTATGCTGCCAGCTGGAAAAGATAATTATGTTTGATGGAATGTAGACTAGAGCAGCTAAGTGAAGACAGTAGACTAGAGCAGCTAAGTGAAGAGAAAAATTATCATCCTTCGTCCGCGAATACGTGTCTTGCAAGAAAAATAGCCCCAGCATAGACTATGGTACAACGAATAGTTCTTCTTCTACTTCCTCCTTACAAGAGCTTCATCGGACGAGCCAAAAGAGACCTAGCTGCACTGTCGCAGGGGACTCCGAGAGTGTGGTAGGGTTCTTAGAGACTTGTTGAGACTCAGCGAGTCTCTCTAAAAATCTCAGCAAGTAGTCTCGGATCCTATTCCCTCTCTAAGCTCAAGTCGCCGCCGCCGCCAAAGCAGGCTGCGCATTGGTTGACACTACTGCGGCTCCGCGTATCACCATTGCTCAGAAACTCGACGTCTTATCGTCACAGGCAAAGGTGGCGGGTCACCGTGCGGTGATCGAGGCAGCTTACGCCTATGAAAGATTCCACTCGCCTGAAGTCACGGCGGCGGGAAAGTACTTATATTTAATCAACAATACATGTACATCTAGTAGATAATCATGTAGTGATGTTGGCATATTAACTTTAACTTCTAAAATAAATAATTTTTAACTTTAACTTCGAAATGATGAATCAAGAAGAATGCAAGCTGCATGAAGGTGGAGCATAGCTCACTGATCATTAGCCTCCACCTCTCTTGTTCTTTGAACTTGTTTCCTTCCTGCTCCTTCTGTAGGTACCCGCCATCCAACACGTTTTCTCCTACTGTAGGTACCCACCATCCAACACGTTTTCTCCTACTGTAGGTACCCGCCATCCAACACATTTGTTCTCGGTGTTGGCGTTGCAGGACTTGCCGCGATGGGTACCTCGAAAGCCTTGGGGTCCCAAGTTCGTGCTTGGTTAAGGCTTCCCCTAATCCATCTCCAGAAGCAGGATCTTATTGATCGATGTTGTCTCAAGTATTAATAATTACTTAATTGAATTACTTGATTCTTTTGTTTCCTAGTTAGGTGTGCTCCACCGATAATATAGGGACGCATCTCGAGGCTGTGCCTTAAGGGGAAAGTCATTCCCAAGAAGACGCGTTTCAAGTAGGGGAAAAGTCGCCTAGGATGGGCTGTGCTTACTCACTCTGCTGATCTTCATTTACTTTCTTCTCGACAAGAGAAAGTAGTCGAGAAAATAAGATAGATGCGAGATCATGTCCATCTCAAGATGGATCTGAAGAAATTGATCGAAGGTGAGATAGATGATAGAAGAATCAGGTCAGTGAATATACAAGAACCGGTTAGTAAGTTTTTACTCTAACTTGGGATGTCCGTGACGTGAGTGATCAAGTGCAATCTATGGGCGCCAAGTGGGTTACCGTGGACTTCAAAGAAGATGGTGCTGGTGCAGGTGGATACGCCAAAGATTAAGGGTTGGAAGCTGACATCTCCATGAGCATCCCTATGGTTTCTTCAGGTAGGAAAGCCATAGATATGCTCCATCTTTTTCTTTTAGCTCATCTCTATCTCTAAGCTGTCTCCAAGTAACAAAATGGACAGAGTAGATGGGGCAAAAGATGGATGATTGTGGTCGTGAGTTCTAAATAGAGTCCAGTGCAGAGTTTTTAAAAGCTCAGAAAGAGACGTTCGCCAAGCACTGCAAGGAGTGTGATATCGTCATCACGACAGCAGCGATTCCGGGAAGACCGTCGCCGAAATTGATCGAAGGTGAGATAGATGGTCACGCTTATTTCTAGCTCACTTTGGTTGAACGATTTCCGTCGTCTGTTTCTGGTTGTAGTAAAATAAATGCAACATATAAGTCAATGGGACTACGATGGGACTACATTTCTCTCTACAACGTACTTGCGATTTCAGATAACATGGTCGCGCAGATGAAACCTGGAAGCGTGATCGTGGACCTTGCTGCGGCTGGTGGTGGTAATTGCACGCTGACCCAACCTGGGAAGACCATCACAACCGACAACGGTGTAACCATCATCGGGTATGACGATTTGCCTGCCCGTATGGGCAACATCGCCTCTTCCATGTACGCAAACAACATGTACAACTTCATCTCGCATGTGCATGGAAAGGTTAAGGCTCCAGCTGCAACTAGTCGCTGCTCCATTTTGATGAGAGGCATCGACGTATTTGATTTTGATGCCGTCCCATAATGACAATTATTTTAGGCCTAGACTTACCCGATTATTCGAGGAGGGAGAAGGAGAAGCATCAAAATGACGATGAGTCTCAAGATGGATTTCAGGGGGGTTGGTCTAAAAAGAAGAAGGCGAAGGGTTTTTTGCCAGCCGTGGATGCAGCCCTGAAGGCAGGAGACGATGGCGATATCATCGTGCGAAGCATGGTTACTTGCAAAGATGGTACTTCTGATGATTATAAGTACCATCTCTTCTACCTCGGCTGTGGTTTCGGCTTGCGGTTTTGAGTACGGTAGTAGCTGATCGGTTCTTTTCATAAGGATAACAGAATGACCCTGATAAGTATATTTTCACACGACCACCTTCTCCTCCTCCTATACACTAGCACCTCCTGCCCAAATACAGGTAAAGTCCTCCTCCTATACACTAGCACCTCCCGCCCAAATTCAGGTAAAGAGCTCGTGATGCCGCCACCTCCGCAGCCGACTCCCGTCTCAAAGCCAAAGAAAGTTGAGGAGAAAGCTGTCGCAGTCGCAGATCCTAGGAAGGAGATGATGCAAACTGCCACAGGAATTGCCGGTGGCGGTGCTGTTATCATGGGTACTGTTTTCTTCTTAGAATCTAGGAAATGCAGGTGATGGTGCTGTAGTTATCATGGGTACTGTTTTCTTCTTAGAAGAATCTAGGAATTGTAGGTGATGGTGCTGTAGTTATCATGTGTTGTACTACTACTAGAAGTTTGTTGTATTTCTATTTCTTGTAGGTGTTAGAATGTGTCTCCTTCAGCATGATGTGGAAGATAATTAGTAAAGGGGTCATACCCACACGTCACACCACCTAACATTCTCCTCGTCCACCAATGACCCGCAGTTGTACTCCTAGTCCTACAAGCCTTCAGTGATTCGTCTTCTAAACTTCCTCCTCTCATCAATAAAGTCGAAAAAACGTCTTCCTTGCTTTCATCAATACAATCAGCTATGGGTGCTGGTGTGCCGCCTTCTCTTTTGAACTCGTTTACCTTGGCCGGTGCAGCAGGCTATCAAGTGGTGATGTTAAGGGTTACAGCTTGAGCTATCTATTTAATCAGAGAGCATAAATCTATGACCTCCACACTGCCTAAAGGGATAGTGATGATAAGGGGGGCAAGAGGGTAGTTGTAACGAGGAGGAAAGGGTGGATATTAGAGATCAATGTGCGAGATTATAGAAAAATGGAGTCCGCTAATGATCGGTGTCGCCCATGCATTGCATACTCCTTTGATGTCGGTGACGAATGCTATTTCTGGGGCCACTGCCTTAGGTGGTCTGATGATGCTCGGAAAAGGTGGCATTGGCGTGGACCTCCTAGCTGCAACAGCAACGTCGATTTCGGCGGTATAAGTGAATCTTGTTCAACATCTTGATATATTTAAGTTTAACCCGTATGTAGTAGACCACACGCAACTGCACACCGATAATTATTTTGTTGACAACAGCAAGCAAAATGATGATTTCACTAAACCATCCGAGTACCAGGTCAATATCGTGTTTAGTGGTCTGGTATGGCACCATGTCTAACATAATCCAATGTCTAACGTAATCCACCAAACCAGGTGAACATCGTTGGTGGATTTATGGTTACCAAGAAGATGTTGGACCTCTTTAAGCGACCTGGTGATGTCGACCACTCAAACCTTTTGGCCATCCCTGGTGCCATGGTTGTTGCAGGGCCTCTAGTAGGTGGCCAAGCAATGGTAGAGCCAGTTAATACGGTTTCTTTAAGGCAGCTGGGACAACTGAGTTGATCAACATTTCTACTGTTTGTTGGAGGATTTCTTGTTGGATGACCATAAGGAAAGATATACTGGTGCTGGTGTCGTGTCAAATTGATAGGTGGTGGCTTAAGCAGGAGGGTTTTTGCCCGTACTATGAATCGCAAACGAAGGCGTCAAAAAAGTGGCCAGTACCAAGAAAAGCATCCTTAGAGGACGAGTTGCTGATGTTGAATATGTTTTAGTACTTTCCCCGTTTCCGGTTCTCTGATTTTTGTATCAAGTTTATGCATCTTTTGTAAATACAACCTACTTGTTCCCTACTACTTCCCTTCGACACTTTCATTTCCCGGTTTGATGTGCATTGGTGCAATCGGAGGCCTGAGCAACATGAAAACTGCTGATCTCGGTTGCAAATTGGGAATGTGCGGTATCGCAGGAGCCACCACCAGTACTCTCGTTTCGGTCGAACCGGGCTACACGTAAGGCAAAAAATTTCAATTATTAGTTTTTACCTCTATCTAATATAGGCTTAGCCCTTCCAACAATTATAAGGTACGAGCTTGTACTTGGACTTATACACCTTCAATTTATCCATCTTCATCGTTCTGATGATTAGTGAGGAGAGTAGAATATTAAAGACTAGTGAGTACTATTGAAATGAATAATAATGTACTTGACAGACTTGTACACCTTCAATCTATTGTTCATCTTTATCAATCTCTTACTTTCTCTACTTTCCATGGTTTTACACTTAGACATCAGTGAGCAGTTGATTATTATATCTTGCTGTTCCTGAGTCACGACTGGAATCCCGTGAATGACTTCCAACTAGTAGACAAGAAGGGGATCGTCACCACTCAACAAGGAGAAACTCTGCTGCGGATACTCATACATAATGACTCTAAAACACGGTTCCCGCTGTCGCTCTTCTAGGTGCTGGTGCAGCCGGTGGTTACCACGTCGCAAACCAAGTGTCACCGATTCAATTGCCCCAAACAGTCGCCGCTTTCCACTCTCTTGTCGGTGCGGCAGCGATGTTGGCATCTATTTTATGAAGCTGCCACTAACCACGTGGGTTTACAACTTTTATAAAATAATATCAGTATTTCTACCTAATACATCATTATTTCTACAACCTACTTACGTCAAGTCACGTATACTTCTCCGAACCATAAAAAAGACCTTTATCTTCTCCACTCAAGGCATTTTGTTCCGCGTTGGTGAGGGAGTCTTCAACGAGTAGTTTTACTAGTCCTCTAACCACCGGTTCCTACGCAGCACACCCTGAGGTCGGAATGACCATGCACAACTCAGCCGCAATTTTGGGTGACTTCATCGGTGGCGTCACTCTCACTGGTTCTATCGTGGCCTTCATGAAGCTTGATGGTCGATTGGATAGCAAACCCTTGAACCTCCCGAACAAGAACATGCTGAACCTGGGAGGTTTGGGCGCACAGGGTCTTTTGTGCTCGCACTTCTTTTAAGGCAAAGGCTTGCGTTATATTCAGAATAGAGGCACTCTTTACACCTTGATTTTTTTACTAGTCCTAATCAATAGTAATTTCTGTGGCGCATTCATAATGGCGTTGCTTGTTGTTGTTCATCTCGATGTATGGTTCTGGTATTTGGTAACCTGAATTTGATCATAAGGGTTCTCTTCTTGTTTTCCCTTATGATCAAATTCAGGTTACCAAATACCGGAGCCATTCACTCGAGTAAGTACTTAGAAGAAGCAACTTGGAAATATCTTGCTTCTTGGCCCTTCTTTCATTCCCGAGTAAGAGCACAACTTACTTTTACTTTCATCCGCGTGGGAGTTGTGAGAGTAAATAAATAAACTACACCATGCCAAAAATAACCTCAACACGACCACGAGGTAAGGAAACCTCCTCCAGAAGGAAGCTCTAATCCTTTAGTTCTGGTGGTGGAGTGATGGATCTATGGGCCACTGCCGTGTTGTCCAATGTTATGGGGTACCATTTGGTCGGCAGCGTGGGTGGAGCTGATATGCCAGTCTGCATCACTGTGCTGAACAGGTTCTGTCGTGATTGCTTTTTTTACAATCGTGATGTGCATTACTGTGCTGAACAGGTGTTTTGCGTTGGATTGGATACTTTTGGATTGGGTAGTGTTCTTTTCTGTTCTACCTCTATCTTTTTAGTCCACATTCATACCACACAGCACTAGCACTAAAGTTTTTGTTGTCTACTAGTTGTGTAGTCACCACACAGTACTAGTGTCTGTTGGTCTAGCCATAAAGTTTCTGTACTTATATTTGTTGTTGTTATCATCTTGTCACACAGTTTTTACAACAGTATCATACTATTGTTCTTTCATCATCTGATGTGTCACATCAACGGTAACATCTACTCATCAACCTACAGTTACTCCGGATGGGCTTTAGTTGCTGAGGGATTCCTTCTCGACAGTCCGATCCTCACCGTCGTCGGGTCCCTGATTATGAAAGGGTGTTATTTCAAAAGGAAAAGGGCTCCAGGATGTAGTATGTGAAGCAGCTGGATGTATCTGAACAAGTATGGTACATCAACACGTTGCACTACTTATCTGAACTAGGATCGATTTCGATGTTTCTTAAAAGGCAGCAACGTGTTATTAACCACGAATCGACCTTGACCTAGCAAAGAAAAAGATCTCTCTCTCCTCTTCTAATCATCTCGGTTTTTCAGGTGGTATCCTGACGAAGATCATGTGCGACGCGATGAACCGTGACATCATGAACGTGCTCTTTGGCGGTATGAACGTTGCCGCGCCAGCTGCGAAAGTTACGAATTTTGGAGGTGGTCACGGGTTGATGAATTTCCATAATCCAATTATCAGTCCGGTTAGCTTTTCCCTCATAGCCTATTTGTTGTATCCCAACAAAGAATCAATCATGATATTGAGTCCAATACAGTGCAATATACTTAATACTACAGTAGCCTAGTTCTTGCATTAGTAGCAGAAGCAGTTCTTGTAGTAGAATTTGAAAGTCAAGAAGTTTTCAACCACTTAAAATACTACACGCTTTTATCCTCAAGGTATTCCAAAATACTTAGAGCTGTCTATGCATGGGCATATACAACACAGGTATGGTGTATTTTTACCCGCGGATACTATTTTTTTCTAAGAACCGAGAAGAAGCACCGAAGGAGCACGTGGAAACGAGCGTGGACGCTACCGTTACAGCACTCACAAGCGCCTCCAAAGTCCTCATCATTCCAGGATACGGTATTTTTAAATGAACTAGAGATAATGAATTAGGGCTGCATTCCATAGTTGCTCTAATATCCATCTAGTAGTCATGGCATTCCAGCACCTCTGCATGTTCTTCATCCAGTATTCCTTTTGCGGCAGCAGAATTTTCATGTTGTCTTTTTACTTTTGCTAAGTACTTGAAGTTGGTGAAGCGGCTTCGATCTACTTACTACTTGACTTTTGATAATTCCTCCCGCTTAGGTATGGCCGTGTCCCGTGCCCAGACTGCAGTCGCAGATCTCGCGAACACCCTATTGGACAATTAAGGCTTTCACGGATGCAGAATCCAGCTTGAGAACAAAGTTAGTCTTAGTTACTTGTAGAGTTTCGTCTAAGTCCCTGGCGTCGCAGTGGAGTTCGGTATTCATCCAGTCGCAGGACGCATGCCTGGCCAAATGAATGTGTTGTTGGCCGAAGCCGGGGTCTCGTACGATCACGTCCTGGAGATGGATGAAGTCAACCCAGATATTGCCGATGTTGATTACGACTCGAAGCAAGTAGTAAGAAGCAAGTAGTAACTACCCAGCTGAAAGGGGTACTGCTATTGGGCTAGAAATTCAGTGTTGTTTTACTGCAGAACATTTAGTAGTTGTAAAGAAAAAGATTAAGACCACACCGCTGATTTTTGTGGAGTAGGTATCTACTTAAATGTTCTATGTAGTTGTCTTGAACTGATAGTACAACCTGTGAAGTACTTCCTATGTATGAAGATTACCACGAACAACAAGAAGAGACTTCCGAGTTCTTGAACAAAATACCTCTTGTTCTGAATGGTCTGGTCAATCATATTAAGCTTGTTTGTGAGATCAAGTAAGATAACTTTTTAGAAAAGGTATGTTCCTTCGTATCTCCTCTAACCACTTGTCTGCCTCATCGTCGGTGCCAACGACATTACGAACAGTGCCGCTCAAGAGATTGAAGGCTGCTCAATTTGGGGTATGCCGGTAATTGAGGTGTGGAAGAGCAAGAAAACCGTCTACCTCAAGCGAACCATGGGTGGCGGATACGCAGATCTGGAAAATTATGTCATGACTTAGTTAATATTTGAATAGATTTTAAGGTAAATGAGGAGGAACGCAGTTTCATTTTCCCTGTGATGACCTTCTGTTAGTAGATGAGGAAGTTTTCTCCCTATATTTCATTGATAACACAAGCATGCTTTCATTATATTGATAAGAGAACATCTTGCAGCTCTTCTCTGTGGTTGGTCTGCAACCACTTCTTCTCCCTCTCCACATACCTAAAATAAGAATAAGTAATACTATTTTCTTAGAGCAGGAGTGAGAATACTTGCAGTAGGACTACCCCACCAAGCAACTACATACTTGCCTAGGACTACCCCACCAAGCAACAAATTAGAATACCTGCAGTAAAAATAGAAGGGATTTAAAATCTTCAATACTTAGAGAACGAGTGCTGAGAGAACGAGTGCTGAGAGAGCTAGCTGTGGTCTCTTTTGGTCAACGTGCTCAACAAGGTCAAGATTAGAAATTTGGGAAACAACTAATGATACATACATTCAATACTTACAGTTCTTCTAATCTTTTCCGGTGTTCTTCAAGGATAACACCGAAATGCTGTTAGGGGATGCGAAGGGCACCTGCGAATCACTGGCCAGCAAAGTGAAAGAGGTGTATGCTGCGTAGGCACGCTGCGTAAACTAGTAAATAGTTTCTTTCTCTCTAGTACTTTTTTGTCCTGATGAGAAGAGAGACGATACGTAGCAGCTTTTTTTCCATAAGAAACTAACTATTGAATAGTTTAAGTTTGTTAGTTTCTTGCTACATCTTAAGTTTTATTAGGTTATTAACCTATTGCTGAGAAGTAGTTCGGGGACACCACGACGGGTAAAAGGCGTAGAAGCTGCACCAAGTTACTTAAGCAGTACTTCTACACCAAGATTAAGCAGTGCTACAACAAGCTGTAACAAGTACGCAATAAGTGAAGAATTTATGGACCACTGGTCGTGGTTGTGGTTCGTGGATGAAAGAAGATATACTCTCTTGATTCATCGGAATCAGGGAAGACCAAGATCCTAGTCATCTTAGCTTCCAGCAGTGACGCCATTATAAATTCAAAAGAATTTCTGTTTCATTTTTTCTAGACGTGATGTATGTAGTCCAGTCGCGCAGCAGTTGAAAACGTTATGCTTTTCCTCAGAGGATATCAACAAATCCTATTATGATGAGGAGGTGAGAAATATTACATTCTTTGATTGTGTAAGTATGAGAACACTAGTACACTCATCTTCGTGTAAGTAGAATGAGAACATCACTAGTACTACATTCTTCGTGGTGTAAAAAGAATGACAGCACCAGTACAACGGATATTAGAGACAGGCAGAGTCAGACATCACAGTCAAAACTAGAATCAGACAGATAGAAAGAGTCACGCCAGGTCGTTGTCACATGGTTGCTACTCTACTAGCTAGCAGCATGTTGATGACAGTCACATTCCTGGCACATCTGACAAGAAATTTGTGAGACGCATGACCATGACATATGGCGTTCACATCGCGATAGCATCACATGACGTTTGTTTTAACTCATTTTTATGGGTACAAGTACAACTAGCAGAAGTAGCACTTGGAGATCAATAGTAGAAATGGCTGTTCTGCTACAGAGTGTCACGACTTTCAGCGTATCCATGTTTCGGCAACTTGAAAGATGTTAGCACAACGATCCCAGATCCTTGCTCACGAGTGAGAGCGCTACTGTCTTGTTTCTAGTACCAAATGATCCTCCTTGTACTAGGTATATACAACAACTACACTTCTGGGTATATACAACTACACTTTTCTACTAGTTCGAACTTCTGGGTACAAGAACAAGAAGAACTAGCACTCGTTGCATTCTTGATCATGAGTGAGATCCTAGATCGATCAGTGAAGATCCTAAAAGAATTATGAAGATCATACAACGATGGAGATCCTACAACGATGCTAGAGCAATGATCCTCCCACCAGGAAGATCTTACGTGGACGAGTGAGTAGATCCTAAGTAAATGCTCGTGTAGAAGGGATCCGAGACACGTAATTGTAACTCAGTGAAGAATCATTCAAGACTTATTATACACATAGAGTAAACTTCTACGACACAACTATTGAAACGAAGTACTACAACTAGTACTACATGTACTTTTTAACCTCCGCTCGAGAACTACAATGTTGTCATGAAATACCAACTTACAACAGAGCCACGAAATCAACCACGATACAACTCGCTTTTTCGCTTTTAAAGAGAACGTAAGACTAACTAGCTATCACTTGTTTTTCAGGACTTAGGTGCTATTATCTAAACTTAAAAACTTGATCTAGTTACTCGCTATCATTTGCACTTGAAGACTTAACTGCTACCATTAGTTGCTAGCCTTAAAAGACTTAAAAATTGCTATCATTTAAAGACTTGTCAGTTGCTACTATAGCTTCTTTTCAAGACTTTGTTTTGACCTTCCACCTACTTTTCCTCAAACAACTGCTACTATAGCTTCTTTTCAAGACTTTGTTTTGACCTTCCATCTACTTTTCTCAAAGTCTTCATCTTCAACTGCTACTATAGCTTCTTTTCAAGACTTTGTTTTGACCTTCCACCTACTTTTCCTCAAAGTCTTCATCTTCAACTGCTACTATAGCTTCTTTTCAAGACTTTGCTTTGACCTTCCATCTACTTTTCCTCAAGTCATCTTCAGAAACAAGAAAAGCGATCTGCTATTCATCGTTTTCTTTCTCTTGACTATTTTTCTTCAAAAGTTGATCGATACACTCAAAATATTGAATTTCGATCTTTACTTCATATTAGAGGAAAACTGCAAACAAGCTGAGTTTTATCATCGTTTTGGAACCAACAACATCGTTTTTGAACAACAATTGTGCTGCTATTTCCTACGCCATTAGAAAGGATTTTTCATCCGTACCATCACTATCACAGGAAAGCTAGCTATAGCTGAAACTTTTTAAGTATCTCAGTACTAAGTAACTAAGTAAGTATTGTTTATGTACTAAGTAACTACGTATTTAGAAGTAGAAAGAAGTAACCACGTCCTCGTTTTGAAGAAGAACACGAAAAGACTTCAAAAGAGAAAATGGTGCTGCGTTCGTGCTTGTGGAAGGCATCTTCTGCCACTCTCGCTCTAACAGCGCTCTGTCAAGGTACTTTTTCGATTTTTCGATTCAGAATGATTTGTCGCTTGAGGTACTTACGTATAATTGATTGTTCTTCATCACTTATGAGCATTGAGCATAATAGTAATGATAATAATATGAGCATTGAGCACAGTGCTATGGTTTCTTTCTTCCGCTCCCATTCTTCTACTCTCACCCATCATGACTATCTATTCACCTGCTGCTAGGTGTTTTCGGTGCCGGCGCTGGTGCCCGTGTTGGCCCCACGGGCATGGATGTTGAAGGCTTGATTTTACTGCTGAAAAAAGCGTCCAGCAAAGGGAAGAGTGAACGGGACCCTCGAAATGCCCGAAGGTCCTTCGCTATAAAGTGGGGAAAGAAATATGGTCTCGAGAAACTGCTTGGAACAAAATGGTTAGGCCCTGAAGGGGAAACCCAGTTCTGTTTTTCAGTCTTGGAAAAGGTTCGCGAAAAAGAACATAAGTTCTTAACCTTGAGACGCAAAGCATTATCGCTGTACAACGTGGACGTCACCGGTTCAGTGGGTGGTGATGCTTTTGCGCCTTCCATCGACAAGTACAAACTCGGTGATAAAGATGGTCCGCATCAGTGCTACGCCAGAGTGCACAGGGTGGCACTGGAAAAACTTGCTCCTCTACAGTTGGAAGAAAAGCTTAGCCGTGACGCGGAGAAGTTACGGGAAGCTGCTGCCTCACAGGCGAGTGGCGCTAGGGCTTCCCGAGAGGTGTTCAAAAAAGATAATCTCGAGCTTTTGACAGCAGACGACATCGTCTCAGCAGCTGGATATTCGGGTATCACCCAGCATACGGATTTGTGGCGCGTGACAGGTCTCAAGCTTCTCATCGATGCTGTCGAGAGACAGACCGTTACGTTGCAACACAAGATTATCCGGATTAGATTCGAGGGAGACCTCGAGAATGCTCAGATTCCGAAGTTGGAACAGGAAATAACTGAAGCCGAAGATCAGGTTCGCAAAGAGCTGCAAGAGTGGGCAGAATACCTACAAGCTCTTGTTCAACTGCAAGTGGGCCACGGCGATGTAACTGAGGCCAGCAACAAAGTTGTTGCGTATGGTAGTTTGCAAAAGGAGGAATTTGTTGCTGCAACAATCAGGCGCGCCAAGCTTGAACAGGAGTTTAGCAAACACCAGTGCCTTCAAGATCTGCGGGGCTATCACGATAAGGCGCTTGAGCAGGAACAGACTGTCAGGAACCTCTTCGATTTGCTGGAAACGCGTTACCCTAAACAAGTTGCTGGCGATAACGCGGCGTTGCTCTTGCGTCGCTCTTTTGACGAGACTGCTAATGCGCTGCACCCCTTTCCTCCCCTCGCGCAGGCGTCTTCGCACAGATCAGTCGATGAAGACGAGGAGCGATTGTCTTGCTTCCGCTCGACGGAGAACTTGTGGAATCTGCACAAGCGTTTGTGTGAAGTCGAGAAGGTGCTGGTGGATCTGGTAGGCAAAAAAAAAGTAGAGAAGTCTCACTCTTTGCGATTACTAGGTCTTGGTGCCGACGAAGTGGAACAGCCGGATTATCGGAAGGTGCTGCAGCTTGCGAACGCGTTCACGGCAGAAAAATCGAAGATTCGTGCTTTGATGTGGAATCTGGATGATGCGTATTTTCCTGAAACGGTGCCCACTTCTCTTTCAGATGAAGAAGAAAATGCGATCTGCGTCGATGTTCTGAACAAAGCTTGGGAAGAAGAGGACAAGTTGCAAGAACGCAAATCCACACACTTTGCCACGACGGGTCAATTTGTATCGCCTGGTCTGTCGGGGCGCTTTGCTGAAGCACAGAAGAGACGGCAGCAAGATCGGGAGGATTACAGAGCGCAGGGGGCGCTAGAGAACTTGCAGACATGTCAGCAGGTTCTCTATGACTTGACGCTGAACAGTCTTGCCCCTTTACAACTGGAAGAAGAGGGTCGCAGGGGCGCGAAAAAGGCGCGTGGAAATGTAAAGATCGGGACCGCCATGCCTGCTGATGATGTGATGAATAAGGCGAAAGATAATGCGTTGGCCGCACAGGACATCGTCAAGGCAGCGGGATATCCTCGATTTTCTTCGGAGTACTGGCTGGCTATTCATCTGGAGATTCTCCACGAGGCTGTTCAAAGACAAACTTTGTTTCTGGAACAGCAGAGAATCCAGAACCGGATCAGCGGAGAGATGCGCGTAGAAGAAGAAAATGCTGCCCTCCGACAACAAGAAGAAGCTGCAGATCTGCTTTTTGAGCAGGTGAACAACATCGCAAGCCATGCGCGCGTTAAAGTCTTTGGGATGGTCCAGCAAAGCGACAAAGCTGATAAGAACCGGAGCCAGCTACACCTACACCAACAATTGCTGCTTGTTTTGGCGGGCGACAAATTCGTTGCTGCAACCATTAAGCGTGCAGAGCTCGAAATGAATTTGACTAAAGATCAGTGCCAGAGCCATCTTGGCAAGGGTCTAGTTCATCTCCTAAATGATCAGAAGATGCGTGCTCAGGAGGAGGATGTGAAAGGCCAATACAACTTGTTGCAATCTCATTACAAGGTTGACATCAACGACCAGAACCTGGGTCATGCTGCGTTTAAGAGTATCGTTCAGGATCGTGACAGATTTCGTGTCCGTGTCCAGAAGTATCTCGAAAATAGAAATACAGATTTAGAATCGGACGAACAGCAGCTATTGACGTGCTTCGACCTAACGCGGCAATTGTGGGAAAAGTCCGAAAAGTACAGCTCAGAGTTGTCACGCATAGAGGCCACTCTGCGGGCACACGCACAGGAGGTACCTGCACGAGCACAGACGAAGAAAGTACCTCAGGAGGCTGCAGGCGTCGCTCTTGCTTGGCAAAGAGTACGGGAGAAGCTTGCGCAGGCGGCAAGCAGGTTGGCAGAGATTCAGCAGCGCCAAGACAACGTGCGCGATACGTTGGAGAAGATTCTCAAAAGGACGGAAGAGCGCGGCTTCGAAGAAGAGGCGAGCAGCGCGCTGGCGGAGATTGAGCGCCTCCAAGGCGAGATGGACGGCGCGTTAACGGAGATTCTAAACACCGAACAAGAGGCGGTCGCCCTGTTGCCCGAAGTTTGTCTTGAAGTGACTGGGTGCCACACGAAAGAGGAACTCCGCACGCTGGTGGAACTGATTAAGCACCTCCAAGACCAGCTGGGACAAAGGCGCGTGAATATTGACAACCTTCGAAAAAAAGTGAGCCACGACATCAAGTTGGCGCAGAAGCTTCAAGTTAATCAAGCCGCCATCAACGCGCCCGTTGCAAACTCGAACTCCCGTCGTGCCATTCCTGAGGGAATTGGAAAGTCGAACTCCCGTCGTGTTCTGGAGATTCCTGAGGGAAATGGAGGATTGATGAAGCCAGTCATCAAGGTTGATCCGACCACAACTGACCCAGTAAAGCGTCAGAACCTTCCTCCCCAACAACAACAAGGGGAGACTGGAAATGAAGACGAGCCTCAAAATCAGGGTGGAGGAACCGGAGGTGTAGACCCGGCACCCCAAAATACGAAGGGCACTTGGACTAATGGGGGCATTGCATTGGTGGTTTCTCTGTCTGTGCTAGGCGCTGCCGCGGTAGCTGGCGGTTCATTCCTGGTGTACAGACATTGCACCAACAAGGCCTCAACCGCAGAACGGGCCCCGGTAGAGGTGTAAGGAACCGATGACGGGCGTTGATATGAAGAACAGGATCTTTGGGAGATCAAGCTGGGACGTCAAGCTGTCAGAAAGGTGTCAGGGAATCGAAGAGAGGACACTCAAGAGGTCTGGGACAACAAAACTCAAAATAAGCGAGTAACAGACGAGAATAACCGAGATACTGATCATGAGAAGAGAGAGTTGTAGCCTTGACGTTAAGCTACGACCCTTATTTCAGTCAGTAACCGGCTATTTCAGTTTATCGAATATTTGACTGTTGCAACTGCTGGAAGGCACAGCCGTCATTCAGTCTGGACTCTCCCTCGATCTCGACGTTTTTCATTCTGCAATTTTTAATTAGATTTGTTCCTATTTTCCACACCTATCGCTGTCCCATACCATAGAAGTAAGGACTTACAGGTAATTTCTATTTCGTTTACTTTGTCTAAGTATCGCCAGCAGCCTACGCCCACTAGGTAAGACGAGAAGTAGTGTAGAGGCCCTACATAACAACTTTTGTTATCGGGATTAGAATTCATTTCTTAACATTGAGTATGGATTCGCACTATCTTCATCACGTGATTTCTTAAAATGGCAAGGGTAAGCTCAAAAGGGGTGGAGGAAGCACGATTAGAACAAAAATGTTGTGACTGGAGTAAACACGGTAATCATTTTCATCTCTCTATTATCTAAGAACCTATTTGACTTGGTTATCTACAGTTCGAAATGAGTTGCATGATGATGACTATCTATTCTGAACATTCGTACCTTCCTACTTCTTTTTATCTTCGATACACTGAAGCTAAGCAAGGGTGAGGGTATCATAAATAAGTAATTTTTACTCTACTTTTTTGGCTTTTTGGCATTACCACGTATATCTTAAGTTATTCGAAGTTTTTTAACTTCGCGATTGATGAACAGAAGACATGAGGGTAAGGTCTTAGCCAGGGTATCTATTGTGATAAGAACAAGATGATATGTTGGGATTCGATTTTTCATCAATTATTTGATTACCACGTAGAACAAGGAATTGGCAAGATTGAAATTGTTGAGGCGCTCAAATAAATATTGAAAAGACTGAATTATTGGACCATGAGTAGAATCAGTTCATCATATTTTGATGAAGGTTTTTTCATGTTGTTTTTTAAACTGATCTTCGGATGACAGGGTATTATCTCTTCATCAACCTTAGTGCTAGGGGAAGCCACTAGGTGTATGCAAGAAAGAAAAGCACAGAGTATATGAAAGGCTAAAAGACCACTTTTCGTTTCGTTTTTTATCAATGAGTAACAATCTTGAGCACAGGCTATTGCATTTAGCACTAACAGGTAGGTTATATCGTTGTAAAAAATGAACAGATGAAGAAAAGATTTTCATGAAATCTGGCAGGAGATCGGAGAAGGTCATTTAAGACATCCTAAGAAGAGTATGACATCAAAGGACATCAAAGACGTAACATGAGGTATCATGACATGACATGAATGTCTGAGAAGATGACAAACAAAAGGTTTCAGGGAGTATGGACTTCAGACCAGGTCCATGAACCTGGCATTGTGCATGATAATCCTGGCAGGAGATCGGAGAAGGTCATTTAAGACATCCTAAGAAGAGTATGACATCAAAGGACATCAAAGACGTAACATGAGGTATCATGACATGACATGAATGTCTGAGAAGATGACAAACAAAAGGTTTCAGGGAGTATGGACTTCAGACCAGGTCCATGAACCTGGCATTGTGCATGATAATCCTGGCAGGAGATCGGAGAAGGTCATTTAAGACATGCTAAAACGCAAGCCGGAGGTGGAAAACAACGACTGACCTCGCGTGAGCGGGCATACTCAGTGAGGCACGGCGAGCAGTGACACGGTCATGTCCGCTGGACTCGGGCTACCGCGCATCGCCGCTTGATTGATTGCTAGGTAGTAGAAGAAGAGCCTGGATGTTCGGCAGGATGTTGATTGTTTTTTCTTTTGGCATTGATTGATCTCTTGTACAACTAGCTTTGTGCTTGCTTGTGCACGAGCAGTCAGATCGATCGCCCCGTGGTCGTCCAAGTGAGGAGCCTTATCAAGTCACGGCTCTTCTTGAGATTCACCCGAGCACTAGCTCAAGCTCGACTCTATTATTTGTACTAATAAATAAGCAAGAAGAAGTTCTGAAACTTGTTAGACTCATAATCTTCATCTTGATGTTCTGACAGAGAGAGAGAGAGAGAGGGAGCATGACACTGAGAGAGGCATGGATGAGTCAATCTTCTTGTATTTTTAACCTCCACCCTGACTGTTGTTCGACGTCGCGGCAATCGTGTTCATTCAGAGACTAGTTTTTTTTTATTTCAGGTCTCTTGTAGTTACTGAGTATGAGAGGACTCCGAGAGACTTTAAATCTAGAATCCAAATTTCGAAAAATTGGTCATTAGTTACATTTATATACTCCTTTGCCTCTCCCTGCACCCACAGTGTTGTTCAAAAAAACGTACTTTTAGTTCTTGTAGACACACTTGATGCTTACCCTCCCCGCGAACTTTTTTTGTATGCAGCTAAACTCGAAGCGAACAAGATGCAAAGTTTGATTTTTTGTGGGTGAGTCACTCACGCCAAACTTCTCGTTCGCTTTAATACTACTACAACTATTACACATACTTACACTCTTAATTTAGAGGACTTTTTCATCATTCGCCTTGCTTTCGTTTTGATCGTACTCGTACTTCTGGTGAGTATCACCATTAATCTCGTGCTTGTTCCTGCTCGTCGTGTCTAGCATATCCAGAATTTGGCATGTGAATCACTGCTGAAATAATCTTCTAGAAGATGGAATAATAAAGTAGAAAATGTCTTTACCATCCTGTTGAAAACTCCACAGGAGGAGACACGATCTTCAAGTCTCGCTCCGAGTAATTCCTCGAACACACTTCGTGTCGTTTATTTCTCTACTATCTCGTCCTTTCGAGTAGAGAACAACGGCATCAAGAAATGATAAACATCATAAGAAGAACGGGAATTTTTTCTTCACGAGGTATAGAGGGAAGTTTGTTCTCGTTCTGAAGTAGAGGTATAGGAAGATGAAAAGATGGCAGGTCGTATCTTGGTCCAAGAGCTTTGTGGTCGCGATTGGCTAGGTGCTTTGGCCAAATCACGCGTTGTGCGAGCATTTGCTGAGGATGATGGATCTGGAGGTGCTCATGGGGATTCTTCATCGGGAGGGAAGCTCATCTGGTCATCGTCATCGTCTAGTATTAAGGCTCCACCTATTTCATTTCCACAAGAGGTTCCTTTTCTTAGTTACCTTTTCCGAGAAAATGAACCTCCCAAGAAATGAAATATTTTGCGCTCTAACTATATTGAGAAAATAAACAACAACAGGGATTCAACATCTTCTGCATCTTCTGGCACAACAACAAGGACAACTAGTGGAGGAACGTCTACGTCAGATCCAAGAACAAGAAGGACGTCCATAATTGGAGGAGGTCTAGGCTTGTTCAAAAGTGGACCACGAGGTAATAACGGAAATGATGAACACCAAGAGCAGCTACGGGGTTTTCATGGAGGAACTAAAATGTCTGCAAAAAGCTCGCCAGGAGGTGATGGGAGAACTAACATGTGTGTTCTCCTCCAGGATGATCCCGATCCACGAATGTCTGTACTCCACGAAGCCCAAGCAGTAACAAGGGAGTCTTGGACTACGTCACTGTTGTTTCCATTTAGAAGAAGACGGACAGAAGTGACTAGCAGGAAGGAAGAAGACGACAAAAGTGGACTAGCAAAAAGTGGACTTGTTGCCAAAGACTCAGGGTCAAATGGTAATCCCCAAGAAGGTTTCTTGGATGAAGCACGGATAGAAGACGACGAGGAGTCCCTACCACCAGCAGTTGCAATAGGTGGAAACATTAATATGGCATTGGGTTTTGATATTGAAAAAGTTAGAGTTTTAGAAGCACAAGCACTGTCTTTTGCATCTTCTGACGCAGAAGACGCGCGAGAATTTTAGAAGCACAAGCACTGTTGCATCTTCTGATGCAGAAGACGCACGAGAATTTTAGAAGCACAAGCACTGTTGCATCTTCTGATGCAGAAGACGCACGAGAATTTTAGAAGCACAAGCACTGTTGCATCTTCTGATGCAGAAGACGCACGAGAATTTTAGAAGCACAAGCACTGTTGCATCTTCTGATGCAGAAGACGCACGAGAATTTTAGAAGCACAAGCACTGTTGCATCTTCTGATGCAGAAGACGCACGAGAATTTTAGAAGCACAAGCACTGTTGCATCTTCTGATGCAGAAGACGCACGAGAATTTTAGAAGCACAAGCACTGTTGCATCTTCTGATGCAGAAGACGCACGAGAATTTTAGAAGCACAAGCACTGTTGCATCTTCTGATGCAGAAGACGCACGAGAATTTTAGAAGCACAAGCACTGTTGCATCTTCTGATGCAGAAGACGCACGAGAATTTTAGAAGCACAAGCACTGTTGCATCTTCTGATGCAGAAGACGCACGAGAATTTTAGAAGCACAAGCACTGTTGCATCTTCTGATGCAGAAGACGCACGAGAATTTTAGAAGCACAAGCACTGTTGCATCTTCTGATGCAGAAGACGCACGAGAATTTTAGAAGCACAAGCACTGTTGCATCTTCTGATGCAGAAGACGCACGAGAATTTTAGAAGCACAAGCACTGTTGCATCTTCTGATGCAGAAGACGCACGAGAATTTTAGAAGCACAAGCACTGTTGCATCTTCTGATGCAGAAGACGCACGAGAATTTTAGAAGCACAAGCACTGTTGCATCTTCTGATGCAGAAGACGCACGAGAATTTTAGAAGCACAAGCACTGTTGCATCTTCTGATGCAGAAGACGCACGAGAATTTTAGAAGCACAAGCACTGTTGCATCTTCTGATGCAGAAGACGCACGAGAATTTTAGAAGCACAAGCACTGTTGCATCTTCTGATGCAGAAGACGCACGAGAATTTTAGAAGCACAAGCACTGTTGCATCTTCTGATGCAGAAGACGCACGAGAATTTTAGAAGCACAAGCACTGTTGCATCTTCTGATGCAGAAGACGCGCGAGAATTTTAGAAGCACAAGCACTGTTGCATCTTCTGATGCAGAAGACGCGCGAGAATTTTAGAAGCACAAGCACTGTTGCATCTTCTGATGCAGAAGACGCACGAGAATTTTAGAAGCACTCTCTTTTGCATCTTCTGATGCAGAAGACGCACGATTTTCAACTTCAACGGCTTTCTACTTGTAGTTACTACTTGTAGAAGATATTTTTTTTTAAAACTTGCTGGAGAAGGACGTTATCAGTTTATCATTCTACATCTGGGTTACAACTTCATACTTTATATTTAAACACCATCTTCAAGGTGTCTTTTTTATCCCTCTTCTAATCCTCACCTCGCATTCACCCTCGCTCGACTGGTTCGCATTGTTGCTACCGTGGTCCGAGCATTGGTTGAGGAATTTGTGAAATTAGTCTCTTTTCTCTACCGGTTCGCCAAGAATGTTAAGGCTTGCCCTCGTCATGGTCCATCTTCAGAGAAGTCATCATAGGAGAAAGACTTTTCAAGGGGAAAAGGTATACTTACAGGATGCTTCCGAGGATGGATCAACATTACTAGGGTGAACGCTAAGACTGCGAGCTTCGAAACCATGCAATTTTGCAAGCGGTTCGACACCTACTACAGCAACGTCTATCTGCAACACCGAAAGAGAACACAGACGAAAATGTGCCACTTCGTCGCAGTGTCTGTGGCAGCATGGATACTAGTGTGGGCAATTCTGGGTGGGAATATTTCTCCGTGGTACAAAGCGATTTTGTACGCGGGAGGGATCAGGTAGGCCTGTGATTTTCTATCTTCTTGATTACGCTACAGAAGCTTAATGGGAGGGATCAGGTTGTTCCTTACGAACGCTGTACGAACGTGGTCGGCGTATTTTTTAGAGAATTCCAACATCTCTCACTTCTCCCACAGCAAATAATTCCTTCTAACAGGTGGCTGCTAACATGGACTTCAATCCTCTTGTGGGAAGTAAAACCGTATCTGCGAGACCAGATTCAAAGTGCAAACTTAGTTTTCTTGGCGGACATCCGTCTCTTCGCGGAGATCTGTCTGTCGTATCACGACGTATGGCCTCACTTTGGAGACATAGAGGAACAAAGAGATGACTAGGTGCTTCCCTCAGGAGGTGGACAAAAGGTAACGATTCCACAAGAACAGCTGTCAGAACCTTCCTCAACAGACAGATGTAACTAGTGTTTAGACGACAGATCCAAGAATGGCGACAGATGAATCAGAACAGGGGGCAAAAGAGCTGTAACTAAACCAGAACATAGAAACTCTTGTTTTATAGTCACTACAAATACGGAAGTACTAGAAACACTACAAGCTACTTACATGTCAGCATATTAGGTTTAGGAGGCGGTGGAGATCGTGATATGCTTAATACTGAAGATGCACAAGAAGGTGAAGGCGCGTCGAGAATAACAAAAAGACACGAATAGATGTAACAGAGAACAACATAGAGATTTGAAGCTATGATCTAATCCTAGTTTGGTGTTGAACAATTACGAGGCGAAATAAATGAAATAGATAAACAAGGAGCGTATCCTTTTGTCCTATGTGTTTGACAAAAAAAATGTATATTGATTTATTGTGATGTTGCTGATATATTCTCGTCTACATCGAAGTACTAGTAATTTTTGCATAGAGTAAAGACTAAGGAATTTACCTTCAACGCGAAGAGACACAAATTATGTACAACCATGCAGTCAGGTTAATAGAGTAATCATGTTGATAAGGAGAAGAGTCTGACTGTGAGCATGGATCAAGGAGGTAAAGAAAATAGTTGACTGTTGCTGAGGACTAAATTTTTGACCGTGATGAATATCTGGTGCTAGCGTGGGTGGATATATTTTCTTGATAGGTTCTGCTGCGAGGGTCCCTGAAGAACGAATTATCAAATATGCATCGTGATATTATAGAAGTAGTTCCGAAATCTGAAATCTGAGTTCTTAGGATAGAACTTTCCTGAAAAATGATGTTCATGTAAGTAGTTGTTGAAAAACAGTTTTGAAGTTTTGGATTTGATCGAAGCGAAGTATCTACTATGATAAATCGATGGTTTTGGATTTGATCGACTTGAACTGCTCTAGTATCTATGATAAGCGACCTTGTGCCAGCATTAGTCCATTACTACACGTACACATGATGATGAAGAAATGAAATTTGAATCTCGAGAAAGTCTACAAGATGAACAAGACGTCGCTATATCGAAAGCAAAGCCAAGGTGTTTCCACCAACAGAAAAACGTGTCCAACCCGTCTTGACCAGTTTACTTATGCTGCGACGATGATGCTGCCCTGCACCACGTGTTGGATCAAGTAGTACCTACTTACCTGGACTTGGGTCGACTGAAAATTTTCCTCACCACGAAAGAATCTACACCTTGTGCATACAGCATTGGGGAGAAGATTTCTTACTACCTTAAATACGTCGGGAGCTTAGTTATATGCAAATTCAAGTTGTCAAAAGCTTTGAATAACTACAACATAAATCAAGCAACAATTATATGAGAAAAATAGAGAACAACATTATGATGACGTCAAGACAACGCTTTGAGTCTGCTGGTGGCCGGGGCCTACGCGTGCCTCGTTGCTTGCTTCCAGTGCTTTTCCCCGGGTGTTTCGTCCATGCTGCAATCTTACCATCAGGAGCTGCAGCAAGGGAAATTGATGCTACGGTGGATGCAACATCGAAGGACAGGAATACAATTACACCTTCGTCTACAAAGAGGGACAGGAGTACAGCTACACCTTCGTCTACAAAGAGGGACGCTTGCTTCCAGTGCTTTTCACCGGAGGACAGGAGTACAGCTACACCTTCGTCTGCAAAAAAAGTTGAAAAAACAATAGGCCTCTTACGACTTGGACGAAAGGAAAGTTCGAAAGATTCTCTGAGTGGTCGTGGAAGCGAAGGGAGCATCGCTACAACAACAGAGGGGTCTGGATCAGACGTAGCAGATACAACTGGACATGGCATAACAGAAAGCTTAGTAGTTCGATTTTTCCACGACCAGAGTGATCTTCCAGCAGCAGGAGTTGTACTGGGTGATGAACAAGAACCAGGAGTGGGAGTGGGTGAGCAAGAACCAGGAGGAGTAGGTGAACGCGGATTGCCTGAAACGCTGATTGAAGGTGAAAAGGGATTGCCTGAAGGTCTGATTGAACGCTTGAGTATAGCAGCAGAGCCAGCAAATGTCGATGATCTTCATGCTCGTCGAGATGCTGTAGATCCAGCTCCAGAAGACAAGAAAGTAGCTGGAGGCGAAATAAATGTCTCACAGCGGGGATCATCGGGCAGAAGAAGAACGAAGACCAGTAGTCCGTCTTCCTCCTCTTCAGCGGCCACAGGAGTTCAGGATTCCGAGGCTATTAAGGATAATGGCATTGAGCGTGAGCGTATAGTTAAGGTTAGGTTAAAGGAGCTTTTTTACCGTTTGTTATGGCTCTCCTAAGGGGGACAGCCATAACAAGCGGGACAAACGCGCACCAAAAACCTACCTCGAAAATATAGACTGACAGCAAGAAAGACATTGAAATCTTCCACGACATTGAAAACCGGTGATACTGTAGGTGTAGGTTAGTAAGAAAGTGGTTGACCACTTAGAAGGACGTCGAAAGGGCGTAGTCTTTTCTAAGAGCAACGTCGACGTTGAGATGGATGAAGAGGAAACAGAAGCACCTGATGCTAGTTCGCGGATGCCAAGTGCCGGTTCCGCATTATCAGGGAAAAGCCGCTTGCTTTCTCTGGAAGCAACAGTATCTTACGGCTACTCGGCTCAGTGTAGATATGAGAGTGCAGAGGAAATGCTCATATGATGCTCCTTCTCCTAGTAGGTCAATGATGTTGAATCTAGTACATTTGCAAGTAGCATTGCCACGACTTCTACGTACCAATGCGACCATGAGGAACACGGAAGGTCTTCTACAGTACTACGTAAGATGCCACCATGAGGAACGTACCAATCATGCCACGACTTCTTCTACAGAGAGTCGATTATTGAGACTGATCAGGAGCTCGTCCTCCCTCTAACTACATGGACACGCACAAGCAGCTGGCCACGTCCGGAGAGGACAACCGCAAAATGCCACCATGAGGAACACGGAAGTTGCGGAGACAAGACTCGAGCAAGACGCCAGCGTAAGGACTAGTGCCAGTAGTGTCACTGAGCCTAGTGTCACTGAGCCTGATACTCGTTGTCTCCCCATGGGTATGCGGACGCCTAGCAAAAGCCGGAACTTTCTGCTATTTGAACAAAATAAGCTGCCTTTATTTTAAGCTAGACTAGCGGGTAGAACTCGTCAGGGAAATCTTAGGCAGCTCGCCGAATAGATTCAAACCCTCAAGTGTTATCGTTGATGATGTGACCTGAGCGTGAACCTCTCTCAGTCTGAGCAAAGCGATGTTGACATCGTCGAATGTATGATCGTCGAAAGTATGCAGTTATGATTTCAGTCTTGCAGGGAGGTCTTTCTGAGTATCTCTTTTCGTTTCTTTCCTACATTAAATGTGAAGAAACCGACACCGAGATGAATCTGTCAACTTAATTACTAGAACAAAGCGTCAACTTACTAGAATATAGCGTCAACTTACTAGAATAAAGCGTCAACTTACTAGCATTTAAAGCGTCAACTTGTTACTACTACTACTAGAATATAGCTGCTGCAAACATTTGTCGAAATCTTACGATCATGATCTACTTGAAGCTAATAAATATACTTGATGTTACTAATTCTTGTTGTTCTTCCACCGTCGATACTCATACAACCTCTCTAGATCTAAGATAAATATCTCAATAAACGACCACTCTCGAGGACGCACGACGATCGCCTCGCAGGTATTTAATTCTCTCTGATTTGCATCAACCAGAACCAAGCATGTGATGTCTCTGTCTGTTCAATCAAGAATACCTCCTTTGAAGGCTTCTCCCAGAACCTTCTCTCTGCATTATTTGCGATCTACTTAGATTTACTGCATGAATGAATGTTGTAAAAAATAACCGAGGACATTTCATCTTCTATTCTAGTGAGGCGGTAGGGTCACTAGAATAGCCTCATAATGTTGAAGTATTCTAGTGATAAGAATAATAGCCTCATAATGTTGAAGCTTTTTCCGGTGAATCAACATTGTTCGGCTTACTGCGAGAGCGAACTCGAGTTGCGTGGCATAGGAAGCTGAAGAATTGCAGTGTTCTTCTTTGTGTTTGAGAAGTATTGCCCGGAAGTGTGATGTGTCGCTCTCGTTAGCACTGCCGCACAAGGAAGAAACACGCAACAAGTATCTTGAATTTAGATGTTGGAAAAACGGGTGCACGAGAGACAACCCCAATCATAAGACACTACTCTCAGATTACAAGATAAAAAGATGTTTTTCCTTCCAAGTTGTAGTCTTGCATCTTGTTCTCGACGCTGTGCTCGCTTTGGTGCGGAAGCCTCAGCTGCGAGCAGCCGACCCGGGTCTTCCGCCAGTACGTCCATAGTGTCGACAAATAATGCGCGAGCACAAATACCTTCGTGTGCTGGGTCTCGGAGGTTTTCTACGAGTGCAGTAACTTGTGGGCCACCTCCCTGTGATTATTCTCGTACGTTTTCTACGTCGACCTCCTCTGAACCCGTTCCTCATCCTCCACCAGATTCTGGTAGCAGATCTTCCACGTCACCAGCTAACGCCATGTGCTCGCAGTCTCCGATGTTGCACCTCGCATCTCCGATGTTGGGTCGAGGAGGCGGTCTGTTGAAGTTTTCCGCACCCCTGTTTTACCCGCGAAGGAGTCACGAGTTTGTCCGCATGAAGAAACGAATGCAGGGAGCTAAATGTTATGAGACTACTCTTGAACTTTTTTTTTCAGCAACGAGGACAGTCTAATCCCAGCAACAAGGTACAAAAAGACTGAACTAACGAGGACATGTCATTACTAGCACGACTGAACTACCTCAAATCCATTAGACAATATGGATAACGAGGGCACATGGCATGGCATCCCAGCAACGAGGACATGTCATTACTAGCACGAGCAAAAAGAGTTGAGTTCGTGCGAGCTCTCGAGGCAAAATGCAAGAACAAGAAGTAGTAGCGTTGTAGTCTACTTCTATACCCCTGGAGTGCTGGGTACATTCATTCATTTTTCATTATTCCCTCGTCTTAATATCCCCAATTGCCAATTTTCAATAGTTGGGTCATCTAGTTCTAGAGTAAAAATTTCCTCTAGCAAATGATTGAGATCCCACCAATGTTGCTGGGATCGATTAGAATTACTCTGAATCAACGCTGGTGGGCACGAGCCTCTAATCGGAGCAACGTTGGTGGGCACGAGCCAATAATGAAAAGCTAATCCGAGAAAAGACCAAGGACCCATTAAAAAAGGAACAGTTCTTGGAATTCAGCAAAGCGAACTCATGGCCCCGTCACCTGCGAGATAATCGCATGCCGGCAAAAATCGATTTGGCTTTTTTTATGAAAAATTGATTTGGCATTTTCGATCATGATGTAGTTGCTTGGTGTAGTAAGTTGAGTTTGAGAAGCTGTTTGGGATATGCCTTGTTTTGACCAGATGAATTTGGTTTATTGAGAACCCTAGAACCAAAATCATCTCTCAGAATAACTAACACTCAAAAGTACGACCACAACCATTGTTTCCACGCTTCATCACCCACATGAACATCGAGCAAGGAGACTTGGTACAGGTTTTATACGGCAGAGATGCAGGCAAGCAAGGTGTTGTTCGCAGAGTTTTGCGGAAGAAGAATTGTCTCCTAGTTCACGGAATGAACATGAAGAAAACCTTTAGAGTGGACACGAAGGTAGGGGAAACCCTGGTGACGACGGAAATGCCTATTCATGTGACCAATGTTGCACTTATGAATGTTCGAAAAAAATAGAGAACTCTATAATTCATTAAGAGACCAAATCTTCCTCTGGCAGAGGACCCCATCTCACACTCACTTCTAACTGCCCAGTCGACCCAATCCTAAAGAAACCGACCAGAGTGAAGAAGCGGTACACGATGCATGGCGAGTGCGTTAGGATTTCGAAGGTTAGTGGATGTGCCATGCCAGATCCAGTCTTCGTCCAACGGGAGGAAAGAGAAGAACTCTTTAATTATGGGACACGTTTCTATACAAGTAGACTCGTAAGCTTAGTTTCTAAAGACTTCGCTGCTACATTCTTTGCGTGAGATCCATCGTGAAGACCATCTATGACGCCCTTATGGCAGTCTGCACTGAACTTTGTGCGAGATTAATTGTATTGTATAAGTATGGATAAGGAAATGGTTTCAGGGGCGGGAGCAGGTAGGTGTTAAATCCTGTGAAGATTGATCCTGATAGAACTAGAAGGGAATAACAACCTCCTTACCCCAACATGTTTGCTGGACACTTCCACACCACCTCTTCTTCTAACTCAAGAAGTGGCAGTTCCAGAAAAGCCTGAAAAAAAGTATGCGTGGCGTGGCGAACCAACTGGTTGATAAGAGGCACTACCAAATGCTGGCAAAGGGAGTGGCAGTCTGACGGATGCTAGCGTAGGGAGTCGTGGGAGTTTGAGGTCGTGTGGAATTAGTTTCTACTTCTGCTTCGTCGGGACATCATGTTGATGATGCTTATTGAATTCTTCACAAGAGGTGGAATTTTCATACACACGAACCTGATCTCACTTCTCACTCGTCTTAATAATCGCTTGTGACTTCTTACTTGTCTTAACGTAGAGAAAGTCGCAGGATGTTGAAGAGATAGCACGCGAGAAGCTGTTGCTTTAAAGCCATTGAAAGCGCAACTGTGTTCATCACATGAAGACTGTTGTGAGTAATGAAGAGGGGATACATCGGAGTTCTTGAGCGAGAGCAAAATTGTATCACTGTCCCTAGGATCTTCATACGACATCTTCACTCCTTAAAAATACCTTTTTATGATCTGTTGAAATACTAGAAGAAGGACATGATCACGGGAGTCCCAATCATGAGAGGTAAAAGTATGGCACGACAACTAGTACACCTCTGTTGTCTACGGCTATTTCAAATATTTTCCTTTTCCAGTGGTCTCTTGGTCCTTATCGTTGCTGCTGCTCCCTTCCAGCACAAAGTGCCAAATGCTGGCGGCTACCCCCAAATTCCGACGCTGCTCACAGGGGCAAAAGCAGGTGAACCGCCGTTCATACCTGCTGGGTTTCAACAACACAATGGTGTCAATAAAGGTAGCAACTTTCTGAAGGCAGGTCCCGGTGAATATCGTGGCGGTCATCTTCCACGTCATGATCAAGGGCATATTAATATGGGTGGACAACAAGAAGGTCCACCCTTAAGCGCTAGAGCCGCGTCTTCGCCGATAGGAGCTTCACCAAGGCAACATGGTTTGGTTTCCCCCGCAGGGCTCATTTTCTCTCCACGAAACAACAACAGTACCAACAACTTTGCTGTTTCTTCGCCTTCTACGTCTTCCTCCGGAACTGCAAGAAGTCTCTTTAATAGCCTCTTGAACTGCTGTCAACAGCACAATGGAGTTCTTGGAGATGTCGAAGAGGAATGCGGAGCAAATGGCGTTGATGGAGGTGGCGCTTCATCTGGAGGTTATACTGTTCCGGTTTCTGCTCCTCCTGCTCCTGCCGTGGCGGATCCGACGGATATGGCTATTGTAACTGCTTTTGTTTTCAATTTCATTGAAGCGCAGCTCCTGTTTACCTACGACGTCCTCATGTTGATAGGTGAAAGCCGAATTCATACTACTTAGCTCTCAAGCGCCCATGAGATCTCCTCATCTTCATCTTCATGCTCTAAACATGCAGTTCTGCCAGCGAAGAGTTACAACGTCTACGGCGAAGACGTTTCACGTGGCGTATCTACGGCCTATCAGCAAGGAGCGACATATCTAGAATTACGATCTGGTCATCATATGATCTAGAAGTATGATATGCATTGTTGTGGGGGAGCATCATCGTACTTACGTGGAGTCTCTCAAACAGAGGCCGTGTGACCAACACTTCGAATTTCCAAACGTGCTAAGCCTAAGACGATCATCCCTTTCGCTCCTCACACACCTCTCCCACTTACCTTCACACACCTTTTGACCTTCGACGAAGGATGCCTCTAATAACCAGTCTCCAAGCTGCTAAGACGTATAAGCGTCTAGTCGTCCATCCAGCTACGAGTAATTTACAGGGAGTCTCCGACATCATCTTTTTTGATGTGCCGAAGAGCCAGACGGTTTTGGCATTTAAACGTGCTCTAGTTAAGGCTACTTACAAGAAGAAATCCATCTTCCTCAGCTTCTTGGTCCCGCTTTTCAAGGGAGATAACGGCGCCCAAGGAAGACGAATCCCAACATCAAGATGGACCCCTCGACCCAATGCACCACAATTAAAGACTGGAACACCACCTCGTGCTAGGTAAATGAATGAATGAAAAAGTAGTTCTAATCTGGTAACGAAACTCTGGCCTACGACTTCCAAGGCCGACGACTGGCAGTCTCTGCATCTGTTGCATGAAGGCCGCGAACTGTTGGATAACCATCAGTTGGGTGCCTACACGACCCACAAGAAAGACGGCATGAAGTTAAGAAAGTACTTGTACTACACATCAGGAGTCTTCTACTAGCATGGGTATCTACTACAACTTGTGTGTTACAAGAAAATTTAACATCAGACTAGATCGGCATAATCATCTGTCTTGCCTATGTCATGGGTTTTGATGTTGTGATGCTTCAAATTTTCATCGTACAACTGCTATAATTACATACAAGTTGTGTGTCGGTGTCGGTGGCAGTGTGTCACTCTTGAGTCTTGTTCACAGGCTACTTTACCATGTTCTTTAATTCTGTCGGACTGTCAAAATTTAGAATTTTCAAGTTTTTTTGGATAGTAACTGATGGACGTGGTCGAGCTGGTCTTCAGGTATTGTTGTACATGTTGTAGGAGGTGTAGTATTCTTCATTTCCAGCACTGTTCTCTCCGCTTCACAGCTTATTCTTGCGGACTGTCAACATTTAGAAATCTCCAAATCCAAAAGTGAGAGTGTACTACCACTCTCACTCTCTTGTTACTTTCGAATACTTGAACGACCTCCAGAATTATATGCTGCACATGATCTTCAAGCTAGGAGGTGTTTGTCCTTCGACCTAGATGAAGATCTACCTGCTCTAACGTCACTGTATCTCCTGTACAAGCCAGGAAGTGGTAAACTTGTGGCGACGAAGTCGCCAAGCGGTGGAGTGTTATACATACGACACAGCCTATACGAGGGATGGACGCAAATATGATCACGGAGTGACGCAGAAGTCAGAGGACTATCTCACATTTCAGTAGTAGTATAATTCATTGCACTTCTAAAACATAGAAGAAATGCAGTAGGTCTTCTAAGTTGTAACTTTACTAGATTCATCGTACGTGTACGTTATCGTCTTAACTCTTTATTTTGCTACCCTGTTCAGCTCCTGACTGGAGGACAGAAATACGTACAGAAGATAGAGTCGCTTATGGTTAGGCGTAGTTGCGAGCTAAATGGAAGATAGCAGAACTACGTAGTCTCGACCTATTGCGCCTGGTGTGACTAGAAGAACCGTTGCAATCTCTCATTGTAGACCCTTCATCCCATGTGGCAACCAATTATAGGATAAAAAAGATGAGCAACTCCATACTTTTGAATTTTTGTGAAGCTCGTATTAACGCTAGGAGTGGGTTGTTTAAGTTTACAAAACAGACCAGGGCGAGTAGTTTCGACGGTTGTGCTAGAGCTACATAAGTGTTTGATAGAAGTTGCTAATTGTTTGAAAGCGAGGCAGCATCTAGTCCTAACGAAAAAAAAAATAGGCCGGAGGATCGGGGTGAGAAACAGGGGGACTCGACTTGCTTGATTTATTGGGCTGCTTCAGGATTTCGCAGTACCCCGGAAATTGCATCTCTTGTTTCTTCTAGGGGCAAAAACATTCTACTTAATAGGGCTAAAGACATACCAGGTAAAAAAACATCATACTAAAGTCATCGAGAAGTTGTCTGCGAAAACAAAAACAAGATAGGTGAATCAGGATGGTACGTTTGTCGTTAGGAGTCTAGTTTGTAGTCAGCCGAATGCATAGGATAAAACCCTATCGCTGAATGGTTCCGGTATTTGGTAACCTGAATTTGCTCATAAGGATTTTCTTCTTGTTTTCCCCTTATGATCCAAATCAGGCTACCGAGTACCAGAACAAGGCGGTCGCATTGGGAGGATGAAGCGTGGGTAAGGGTAGCAGGACCTACAACTACCTGCTCTTCTCATGACCGTTGGATCCAAGTAGCATCGTGTCGTGAGCATCTTCTACCACGACAATCGGTCCATCCTTTATCCGCTGGTCACTCTGAAGCTGAGGAAGGATTTCAGATCGGTGCAGATGTACAAGGTTTGTGTCTGTAAGTAGGGACTATCGTGTCGAACATTCTGCAGTACAAATTCATTCTGTCAAGAAGAGAGATCGGTCATCTTCTGCCGCCGCGACGGAGCACTGATAGTACAAGCAAGGAGTGAAGAAATGGAGAGATGTGAGCGAACGCGCCCCACAACATCTGTACAGAATAGTAGATGATCTGTAGTGGTGTCCCATAGATCGAAGCCTACTACCCGCCGAACAACTCCTACAAGTTGAAGTTTTGCTCCTGCGTAGAAGTAAATGGTAGATTCATCGACCCTATTTGTAAAGCGAACTCGAGCATCCATAGACAGGAGCTCTTTAACGCTCGTCATCATCATCATCATCATACCCCTCCTCCTACCCATACATCTTGATCTTAGAACACGAATTATCCACGCATAATCAATCATCTTCCAAGAACGTAACTCACTTACGCGGCACGTATCATCAAAATGCTCGAGTCAATTCGCGAGGACGACTCGCGTGAGGAGAAGGAAGATGCAGCTCATCTACTTGTCGGCACAGTCTCCACTGCTTGTGCAAGCAAGGAGTCGACGGTCGCATCGTCTGGTGCATCTACTTCTGCTGCTTGTGGTGCAGCTTCAGGTTCAGCGGCAGCTGAGGACTCAGAACATCAAGGTCCCTCAAGTTTATCAAGTGCAAACTCTGCTACTACAAGAAGTTCAACTTCTCCTGGTAGTTGTACTGCTGCTCGTTCCCAGCAAGTAGAGGCTGCGGATGAAGAACAAAAACGACGCGCTGTTGAGTGCTATGGATCATTTTTTCCTGATGGTGGGCAGGTGGCGCAGAAGACACGAACTCGCAAGACGAAGACGGTAAAAGTCATAGACCGTAGAGAGAATGATCTCGCAGAAGATGGCACAACAGAAACTAGTTCTTCAGCGGGGGCCAACGTAGTTTTCGATTTGGCCTCATTCGCGGGTGCAGGCGGACATCAAGACTGTACTAGGACGAAAGCAAAAGGACAAGTTCCTGTAGAGAAGGACAACAACTCCAAGTCTTCGTCCTCATCTTCTTCGAGAAGTACAAAACAAAAGAAACAGGAGAACAAGGAGAAATACAACATCAAGGAGAAAGATAGCACAACTTCTACAACGAAAGAGGGTAAAAACAAGGAAACAAGGCTGCGAAAGTTATATCGTTGTCAACACTGTCAGAGGAGCTATCGCAGTAGCAGCAAGGTGCCAAAAAAATGTTTACGTGAACATTATGTCGCTCTGCGATCAAGAACAAGCTCTGGATCTACTGAAGATCATGTGGACGAGATAGAGCCTGATATTGGAGACCACATTTTCACGTCTCGGATGCGTCTCGACGTCATAAACAATCCAAGCGACTTGATACAAGCTTCTTCGTTGGGACACATTCGGGATGGTACTTTCCTACCAGCATTGCCAGAACGGCATGGCGTGTATATCGGATTCGGAAAAGTGGTCTCCTTTTCCTATGATTCAGACTCATGGTACCAGAACAGTTCGCAGGTCGCTCTCCAGGCACTGGCACTGGACGAATTCCAGTCCTCAAATCGCGAGATTTATTTGAAGTTAAGCTGATGGACTAAGAAGAATTATATAAATTCAGAAACTAAGCAGAAATACTAGAGCTACAGAATTTCTTCATTTTTTAATCATGCATAGAATTTGAAGTAAGTACCTTGCTTCAGTTTCATTCAAAATTATAATAGAAATGCACCCATATTTCTTGATGAGCAAGAATGGAAAAGTTCAGCATGATCACGACTAAGGAACGAGTTTTTTGGTTTCTCTTCGAAATCGAATCTTCTAATCTCCTACAGCGGAGGCGCCTATTCTGCGTTGTTTGCACGTTGCTTGTTGGGAAAGCGTGGATTTCAATTGCCGACATTTACTTGCTGGCACGTTTCGGAATATGTGATGAAGGAGTCAAAGATACTTACAAGAACTGCTGGAGCTCCACGCAGAAGTAAAGAACCTCAAGCTGATGGTGCTCATGTTACATCTTTGGCAACTGCAGCAGCAGGCTCAAGAACGGGTCGGAGTACAACCGGCGAAGATAGTACTGAAGATCTTCTTGCCGCCCATGATGATGCTGTTGCCTCCACCGCTCTCCCATGGTCTTACTACAGCACTTTCCTTCTACAGGATCCTGTCTTCCCTTTAGGATTTTTGATCCCAGCTTTGCAGAACGCCCTATGTCGTAACAATGACGAGGCAGATGCCTCTTCCGAGTGGGCGTCTTGTCAGTGTCGAGATCAGGAACGTCACTGCTCGTCGGGATCCAGGAGCTCAAGAAGATACAACAAGGAGGCACGACTTCTTAAAAGTGGTGAAGCGGAAGCCGCTGTGCTCGGGAATAAGGGAAAAACAATAGAGAGCAGATCGTGGACCTGTTCCAAGGGACATGAATTTTGTGCAGATTTTATGGCTACAGTTTGTCTTGTTCCCTATGTTGAAGATTTTGAACCCACAACAACAACAACAAATCCCCCGCTAAGAATTGCCTGCGACGACATTTTCTGGTGCGCGGGGTGTCTTTCACGCAGTACTTGTTGGGGAGTGACGGTGAGACCCCGACTGGTGCTCGACTTGTGTGTCCGCATCCACTGTGCTATGAGGTTGTTGAGATAACTCCAACAATCGCATGTAGCTGAAGTGACTTCAAAAACCGTCGTATGTTGATTCGCTTTCGCATGCGCTGCTCGCGTTGCATAGGGCGATTGTCGTATTCTCAATTACTACTGCCAGCTAACTACTTGCTTGACATTGCTTTTGTCGTAGTCATTCATGATTAGGACACACATACTCGCTCTTCATGCATCGTGAGGACAGAGCTCTATCTTCTATCATTCATACATCATGGGACGCAATTCCACTGTTCATTCATTCATCTTGTTTCGGACATGGTTCAATCTTCTTTCACGTTTACGACATGAGACGATAGAAAAATCCGACCAACACAAAAATTGTAGTTACTTACTCTTACTCTTAGTACACAAACACGAGAAACGCAACTATCGGATAGGCACAAAACGCGAAGCATGCACATTCATTCATACCACGATCTGCTTCATGCTCAAAGCATCTTGATGTAAATGATACACCTTCTAGTCAAAGCATCTTGATGTAAAAAATACACCTTCTAGTCGATACGGACGATCGGTCGTTTGTAATATTTTCGATTTTACTGGTCTCCTTGCCATCAACACGTGCACTTTCCCTTTCGGTCGTCTTTATGATCGAGAGGTTCGGTTTTATAGTCTTTGTCGCTTCTATTTTCGGTCTTGGTGTTGGAAAGGACAAAAAGCGTTTCGATGTCTGTGAAAAGGAAAAGAGTGGTGGTCACAAAGTTGAGATTCGTGCTGAGAAATCGGAAGGCGGACAGCTAAGTCTTAGAGTTCTTAGGTAGACACCCTCACCCACCAGCTCACTCAGTCACTTCTAAAATAGATAGAGGAAATAGAAACTACTCTCACACTTGCACAGGAGACTCACTCTCTGCTGTCTCTCCCAAGACGCAACCTCACTCTCTTTCTCTCCCAAAACACAACCTCACTCTCTTTCGCTCCCAAAACACAACCTCACTCTCTTTCTCTCCCAAGACTCACTCTCTCTCTGAAATAGAAAAGAAAATGGTGAAAACCGCGGTTGCACCGGAAAGTCGTGATATGGATAGGTGGGAACCGATAGTCCTCACATTCGACTACGAATGGCATAAATGCGGTCCGTGTGCGGAGCCTTGCATTTTTCCTTACGGATAATGATCATCTCAGAAAACGGCGTTTACGTTTATTTGTCTACCATGTTGAAAATCTGATAGAGCTTTGATATTGATTTCCACTCTCCTGTGGCTCTTGTAGTTCTTCCTACCTCTACTTGTTTTGGTGCAACATCGTTGATGTCTTTGTCACAAATCCCACTGCTGTTGTTGCTACTCACCATATCGAAATAAACGTTCCGGTCCTAGATAAGCCGAGCGCGCAGGCTTTTGAAGCGTGGTGTGCTGCTTTTCGCCTGGCTCCCGAAGGGGGCACATGGCAATCAGGGGGCACACTAAGCCCTAAGCTCCTCCTCCTCTAATCCCACTGTTGTTGCTGCTACTTCTGTAGTCCTTGCGGCAAATGCTACGCACCGATGACCCCCTGTATGAGTCAGCGGGATAAAGGCATCCGAGCACACAATCGCGTACACGAAGCTTATGCTAGGGACGGCGTTTATGGGAAAGGCGCGATCTGCGTTAGCTTCGTGTGGGAAGAGACCGAGAAGGGATTGAAAATGGTACTCATGATGTCGAGGTATTTTTTCTCCATCTCAAGTACTGAAAAGCCTGTCCTCATCTTTTCACAATCTCAATTTTTCGCTTTCGGCTTAGCAGATGCTGTGACAGAAATCGTGCTAAGCACAACATTCTTTTTCTTTCCTAGTACCATTCTAATTTTCTTATTGCAATGGCATATAAATTTCCACGCTCTGCTTCACCTCCACGACCGCTTCTTTTCCTTCTCATCCTAAACCCAGATCGAGATCTTCCGCAACGTTGACGCCGCTGAGGCCTATTACACGCACTTCATGTCGGATAAGGTTTTTGTCTTGAGTCTGCTGGCGAACTTGCCGTTTAGACAAAAAGCGGGACCGACTGCCGCTTGCTCAGACGGCAACGTCAAGGCCTACGTCACAGTCCCCTCAGGCGGAATGGACCAATTTTTCGAAATCGGGAAGCAGACTTCACAGTATTGAAAATGTTAAACTGGAACCTTCTTCCTTCTACGACATCAATTAGTCCGTCCGTCAAGGGCCCTACAACTGCCTGACAGATAACGTACAAGCATTCATGAATTATAGAAGTCATTCGTTATCTATCCTCATTCACCAAACCTGCACAAAGGTACAACCACCTAAAGGATGGCAAGTGTCCAATTGAAAAGTGGGAGACGGCGCCTTCGAAGGAGGAGCTAGAAGAGCAGTTTGGCAAGTTTCATTTCGGGTTCATCACCGATTCAACGCTGGCGGAAACTGATACAGGTGCCAAGCCTGGTGATGCACCGCCACAGCAGACGATGAAGTGAGAACGAGGAAGGTCGTGGCCTGCAGGTGAGATGAACAATTGTAATATGAGATACTAGAAGACGGTGTTGGTGAACTGTGACAAGTATGTTGTAATAGTAATTTAGAGACAGTTTACTTAGAGTAAAGAGTATTCCGTCAACGAGAATACGAACAATTACGATTGGTACCTGGACATAGGCGCCAGAGGTATAATAAGATGGCCGATACCTCCTTTCAGGGCAGACCCGCCTGGGTGTCATTGTCGTCTGCTTCGGTATAATCGCACTGGTGCTTCTGCTTGTTGTTTTTTTCAGTTCTTTTTCAGTTCTTGTTGAATGGCTTAGACTAACCGAACTACGCTCATTCCTAGAACCTCGTCTTTAAACAAAAGTTGATTGAACACTTCACACGACGTCAACAGTCTTTGGAGTAAATGACCTTCATGACAATTGCTGTACATGAAGGTGCCGAGATCTTCGACGGTTTCAGTATCAGTTAGCACTACAACATGTTACGACGCGGCGTCGTCGTGCTTGTGAACCCGTCGATCGAGTCGCATTCGTAAATCCTTTTGTCTCGATCAGCATAGCGTTGGTCGAGTGAAGGAAAAGAACCAATCTTGCCAACCGAACTAGATTGTCGTAAGGGACTAGAAGCAGATCGGGAATGAAGGACCAAAAAAGATGAAAAGTACGTCGACAAGTTGTAAGACAAAAGTCTAAGTACTTGACTTTCCATTTATTAAGTATGTAGTGCACGAAAAAAGGCTTTCTCGTATCAATTATCATGTCAGTGGTCTATCGAAAACTAAGTAACACTAAGAACTTTTGAGTCTAGACACAAGAAGTATTAAGGTCTTCAACACTAAAAAAGATGTTCAAATCGTTCCAAGCTTCCGACGCCCTGCTTGAGCAGATGGCAGCGCGCGTTGGGAAGCAAGGGACGCATAAGCTAGAAAAAGAAAAATTCGAACCTAAGCCAACGAAGCCACTTCTTGGTGTACCCTACAACAACTCCCTCACCAGCAATGTCCGTCTAGAAAGCACATTCTCAGGTGGAGCATTGCTGCAAGGAGGAGCAGGTGCGGGGAGAGGGGTATTATCAGTTGAAGATGTTGTTATTTGGTTGTGATCTCATGGAAGTCGTGGAAATTGCTCATCTCACCGATGAAGTAAAGTAGTTTTTCGGAATTCTGGGTGTAGTTGTTGTACAAGGAGAAGAAGCAAAGAAGTCGATTCACTCAGTCGAAAACTACTGTTTTGTCCCGCCTCCATTAGGCTGTTAGTTGTACTGAATGGGACACCATGATGATGAACTGCTTCCGTCCTCCTTATTTTATCCATCTCTATGTCTAGAGTCTCAATTTACTTGGTTGAAATACCAATTCACCACTGCTTCTACAGAACGAGCGTTCCCTGTCGTCCGATTCCGCACTGGGTCGTGTTGGAGAGCAGATAATGGGAGGCTCCCAATTTCGAGTAGCATCCTCTCAGCAGGTGGAAGCCAAGCAGAAACCTTTCGCTGTCGTGAAGCCTAGTCAGGCGTCTAATTTCATAAGCCAGAGGACGGAAGAGGACGTGAAAAGAAATACAGAAGCCGTCTTCAGTACTGCCGATATGGGAGTAGACGCTTTTCTGAAGGAGCAAGAAGAAAAGCGGAAGCAAGTATGGTCGGTTACGGCAGCAGCTGAAGCAGCGACGAAAAAATCCAATCAAGAACGGGAGGCAAAAGAAAGAGCAAAAGAGCAAGAGCGCGCGAATGTAATTGCGAGCGCTACTAGCACAGTAGGCGGATCTAGTAGCTTTCTGAGCATGAGCGGAGTCTCAATGTCGCATGGAATGAGTAGCCTAGGGTCCTCAGGGAGTGCGGCAACAGCGGCAGGTGGTGGATCTGGCTCAATGACATTAGAGCAATATGCGTCGGCGTCAAGAGCAGCTTCTTACATTAAGAGTTCTTGGAGTTTCAATCTCCTTGTTGTCATTGTTGTTATTTCTGAGGCAGCTGTTGTCTCAATGTAGAAATATCTTTCTACTTTCGAGAAAATGGAATACAATCATTGCCTACAACCTAGCAATGAATAGCAAACAGGCAGTCCTTCATCTTCTAAGTCCGACACTCTAGCAGCCAGTCTCGGAGTTGCGTCCGAGCACCCAGTGCCTTCAGCAGTCAACACTTCTATAACATCTTCTAGTACAACAAGCACTACCACTATCATGTCTAGGACAACGAGACCCAACATGTCTACAAGCTCTGTAGACCCGACGTCCGTCAGCATTGGTCTTAGGGGTGTAGAGCATGTGGCTAGCGTCAAAGAAGACGAGGCCTTGAGGGAAAAAGAGGCTCTCCTCCGCAGAGAGCGGAGTCTGTATTCCCATGCACCTGGCAGTAATTGCTCGACTAGCGGACCGATATCGTCGATAGTGCGAGAACACAGGAAACATCGCCGCTTGCAGGAGAACAGCGTCAATTTGTCCGCTAGTTTGACCTTGCCACGAGAAGCAGTGACTACGAATCGCTCAAAGAGTAAGATGCCGGATGTTTTTGCCAGACTAAGCGTGAATCCGTTGCTTGCGGGGAGTACGCATTCTTCGCCGGTTAGGCGAAGGGGAAACCTGACTCAGCAGAGTTTCAACAACTCAACCTCTTTCTATCCCAACACCACTTCCGGGACCACAGCAACGAACAGTTTGATGATGTCTAGTAGTTTGTCTTCGACATCTCAAGCTCCAGTTGGGTTAGGTGCTGGTGCGGCAGGGACGAACATGAACGACCCATCGGCAAGAATGCCACCAGGGATGAAAATTCAAGTCACAGAAAAGGGTTTCGAGTATGTCCCTGTAGATGGAGCAGAGGGGTCGGATAATCTTATGAAGACGAATACTTTTTTTCGTGTCCTCGATAGCTTGCAACAACATACCTTCCGAACCCTCGTTACATTTTTATAAGCATAAATTTTCATGATTAGCAACTCGTCTCCATCTTCATTCTCTAACATCCCCGCCACCGGAACGAAACAAAGAGCCCACAGTGTGCCACCTCTGCATCTGGGTAATGCGTATTTGGACAGCGTACAAACCCCACGCGCCAGTTTTTGGCAAGATGACGGTCCCGGAAATTTGAACGCTGTGGACTTTCACCAGAGTCGTAAAGGGCCACGGACGCCGCCACTGGATGACGGAACAACTGGTGGAATGATTAAGACTTGCCGTAATTCCTCCTAAGAGGCATCTTCCCTGACACGTTCTCAAGGGGGAAATGCGTCAAAGATGACTTCCAAGATGAATTGGTGTAAGTAAGCTCTAAGATGAAGAACAGAGATACTACTTCTGGCCCTGGCGCTACAGCAGGAACATCTTCGACTTCAACTTCATCTACTTCTGGTGGAACCGCTGCTGCAAGTATCCTCCTTCCCTCGGGCGAAGAAGTGGAAGAGTCTCGCTTCTTCAACCCGGAAAAAAATTTGCGAGAGCATGTGGAAGGAACAACGTCCTCTACTGGTGGAGGGCCTATAGGCCAATATGACTCCCGTGGAGTGTTAATCCGGAACACGACACAAGGCAGACAACAACAGGCGGAAGAGCTGAAGGAAGAGGCGCGGCGAGCAGAAGCAGAACAGGACCGCTCTTTTGGCTTCCTGGGTGCGGACACGTTGAACCAACCTAATCTTGATAGCAGAGCAACCAACGACTACGGTGCTAGCTTTTCCGCACTAGTGGATGGCGTGCATAAGGTGAACAAAGACAATTAAGGGTAGGTTTTAGGTGTTTCTGTTACCGCTTGTTATGGCTCTCCACCTAAGCAGGAGGAAAAGCATATTAACAGATGGGGGGTAGAAACACCAAAACCCTACCTCTAAGACAACTTAAATGAGCCAGCCAGTGAAGACTATGGTGGTGGTTGGGTTGCAAACGGTAATGCGAGACCGCCAATGCCAGAAGAAGGGAAAACGATGACGCAGTTTCTCTCTACCATCGACAAAGATCTGTTCAAAGTAGGCGATACGCCAAGGGGTGACGACTCGATAGAAAACTCAGATCAAGAACAAATGCAGAGTGCTTCTAGTAGTACTACAGGAGCGAACAACAAGAAAGCAGGAGGAGCCAGTACCACATCAGCAGCAGGATTTGATATGCTAGCAGGAACTTCATTTGCGAAGATGCCAACTAGTACGAAGCAAGAAGATAACCATAACTCTCCTGCACAGGCTGAAATAGCCGCGAGTAGTACTATGTCCATGCCCAGCACGTTTGCTCCCGCAGCGACCCTGGCAGCACTACCGACACCCGGTGCTGCAAATATGAATAAGCAGAGTAGACGGTCTAGTCTCGCTTCGACGTGGCAAGCGTTACCCTCAGTACCAGAAGAAGCCGATACGCATGCTGGGGGATCAGTAGGCTTAAAGGTGCAAAAACAACTAGCACACGGAGCAACCATGACTGGAGCTGGTGGAACGTCAATGAGAACATCAGGCCATGCACAAGGTGCTGCGTCTTCCTCTTCGTCAAACACAATGAATTACAACAACCAAACAACCGGAGGTGGTGGTGGTGCAACATCAAATCTCCTCTCATCTTCAAACAACTCGACGTCAAATATGCCACTACACCAGCAACAACATTCGCAGCACTCACAGTCGCAAGGTAGTGCCACACCATCAGTGAGAATGAGTGCAGCGGATCAAGCGATCTTTTTGAGACAACCTGTCCCACCATTTAGAGCGAACTCGTTGCCGGCCTATGTGAAACGCAATAAGCCGCTGGGAACACGGAGGCCGCGTTTGAAGGAAGCAGTCTACTTGGGAACGAATACACTTTCTCTATGATGGGAACTACAGCTGCATCAATTGTACGTAAATAGAAGAGTCCTCGTGTAGAATAATTCATAACTTGAATGATATATTTTTATAATTTGACCTTCACGACACCTACAATCTAACAAGAATTTCATCATTCCTCATATTTTTAACTTCTACCGCGGTCTCTCTCATCAATGTTGTATTGAACACTGGTTCTGGTTTCTTGTCTTCTAAGAACCCTCGACGACTCTAGAAGCTCAACTGGTGCTGCTGCTTCTGCGCTACACCTAGGTGGAAATGGCGGAGGAGGAGCTTCTGGCGAAGCGAGCGTCAATGAGCAAGAGTATGAGCAACAGAGAAGACGACTAGCAAGCAAAATGGAGATGGTTGGATTCTTCCAGGTACAGAGAAATGATGGAAATGGTGTTTTACTATTCTTGATCCACACCATAGATGGCCACCAACATCACTACCTCCCATCACTCGTCTAACATGAATTGGACCCGCTATCACTCTAGAGTGAATATGACAGCACAGGAGCTTTCATCCACTATTTCTCTCTCTCCCAGGGCTGCCAAGACAACTTTGCTAGTATGACGTCGCGACAAAACGGCACATTGAGACGAAAGCTGGCTAGTTCCTCTTCCAAGATTGGGGAGCATATGCGAGAATTTGGGACTGAACGTGATCGACAGATGGCCACGTGGTCTCAACAAGCACAAGTTACGGCTACCGAGAAGCTTAAGTTTTTCTTTTTGTTTGTAGCAAAAGAATATGTAAGAGGATGAGATAGAAGAACGATCATGAGTATCGGTGGAATGAGTAATGGGCTGGCGAGATAATCAGGATCTTTCTTTTTACACTACGCACTTAGTGAAGTGATGATAGTTAGAGGTGCAGCTCTTGGCCTTGGTCTAGAAGGAATGATCTCTCTACCTCTTGTCAGGCATATCAATCATCAATCAATCACCTTAGAATGTGGTCCGATACAAGATGTTGATGGAGAAGAGATCTCCTCTACTTGATTCTAATCCAAATCCCGGGAACATTCCTCGCCGACTAAAACAGATCTCCCACTTCGTCGAGGGTGCCAACGCTGGAAGCGGAGGAGTACTAGGAGCTGGAGGTGGGGGAATTAGCGTCGAACTTTGATGAAGCAAATTATAACTTTGACGTCACCGATCAGAAAAACGCAAAAATGAAATAAGCTATCACCACCACATTTTTGTTCATATTTTGAGAATACAAGTTGAAGAATGCAGCTAGGGTGGAAACGATAATATTAACACAGTTGTGATGTTGCCTAATATGATGTTGTCAACTGCCGGAACAGAAAGCTTTTATTTCATTCATTTTTTCATCACGTTCAAGTTCAACATCACGTAAAAATACTATGAAGAGCAGAAACTACAACAATTTCTATCTGAGAACTCAATAAATATCGTGCTAGCAGTAGCATCAAGCTAATGAACAGTATATTCACGTATAGAATTAGACATTGAAGATTCCCGAGAACTAGATTTTCAGCTCTAAACATTTAATGAACTTTTTAATCGCATAGAAATGCACAAAGTCCTCTTGTGGAAATCGAAATAAAATCCAAGTCAATCAATCGAATCTACCGCGACACCGGCACGCAAAAATTTGTCACAATCGTATCAATCTGAGTGGTCATTGAAAATTTCTACATCGTAGTACAAATGGAAGAACTTTTTTGTCTCTAAGTCTTATAAGTAGTCATTTATGCTGTTGATGAAATACAAATTCGTCGTTTGAAACTCGAAAAATCATGGTATAGTGAGTCCTCGGCACTGACTCCTATCAGCGACAGATGTTGAAGAATCTGATACCCAGAGTAGGTATGATCCTGCTGGACCGGATGGAAAGATGGCAATGAGTGAGAAATGTTGTTCTATTATAATCACGCTGATCGAGCAGGAGGTTTGGGGCACCCAAATCCAGGCTTTTCAGTGATTTCTATGAACAATACGTTTGATGACAGTTGTAGATCCCATATTGTGAAACAGACATCGGAGATCTTCAATACAGCCACCTTTTCGAACATCAAACGGAATCCATCAAAGAGGACGAGAACAAGATCTACTGAGCATGTGCATTAGGACCAAAACGAATATCAATCTTCATGCAAGATCTGCTTGTTTCATTCGAAGCTCTCTTTCGGTGGCACAAAGGTTCAAAACGGCTGTTAGCAGATGAACAAGATGCACCGTGGGAGATGGGGAAAATTCTGATGTTTTGTCCAAGAATTCATTCTGTTGATGTTTTGTTCAAGTTTCAACATGCGGAGCAGGCGCTCTTGCTCTGATCTTCACTTGTTATAGTTCATTAATTCTATTGCAAGCTGTAGCTTACATGCAAGATTACGTACACATTGCAAGCTGTATTATTTCACATAGATATTATTATGTTCCCCGTTCATCATGAACATGATTGTTGGAAGACTCAGGACGGTTTTGAGATATAAGTTTTATTCCACCGTACAGCATCATCGAGATCTGACGGAAGCAGAGTTCCACACCGGGAGGACGAACCTCGCAACCACCTTTGTCGTTACCACGGATGATCAATCATAGTTAGTTCCATAATCACCTCCTAATATCTCCTCACTTGTTCTTCACCAGTATACAACGTGTCACCAGCAGCTTATGAATGTTTGATCTTCTTCCCCTTTGAAATATTATAGATTTTGAGAAGTTCTTAGTCGATGAGTTCACCACGTCTATAGCATAATAGAAACTTCCTCTAGAATTGTGACATATTATCTGTTCTATAACGACATATTCGATTTTTTACACAAGAACGAATCAACATCAAAAATGACGCAAGCTTTACCAGAGCTTCACGCTTCTGGTTTTACGGACAGTTTGATTGCCCTCAATGGCGTCTACACCCTGCAAGCGGACCAGAACCATAACAAGTGCCACTACAAAAAAGAAACCACCGAGATCGAGGGATGCGATACTAGTTGTACTATAAATTAATAATATCATAGGAATTATGGGTATGGGATAGATACAACGTTTTATGTGCACTACTTCTTAAACGGTGATGGAAGTGGCCTTTTAGTCCTCTTATTTACAGTCCTCTGAGTTTATTATGCAATGGCTATACCGACTAGAAATATTACCCTTGGCGAGTAGATTACTCCGTGCGATAGAGTGTAACTTTATGCTGATGTTGACGTGTTCAAATAGATGAACTATGCAAACTTCTTCGCAACCTGGGAACTTCTACTTCCGCTCCGTCGCAACTTGTACTTCCAATGTCCTTTAGGTATCTATTTCTGGGACGAGCGTGATGGGGAGCAGCTTTCTGGGTGGTGGGTCGCGCCAATTGTTGGAGGTGAGCAGGTGTGGTCCTTTAACCCCTCGAAGAGCACTGTCCCCCCGTCCGCAGGATGGAGAGTTCCCTGGCACGAGAATGCTCCCAATGCCGCGATCAAAATGATCATGAAGCCGGCAACTTCCAAGCGCCCAGCCGACGCAAGCGCGGCAGGTGGAACCGCAGCCAAACAGCAAAAGACGGGAGAAGCTGGCGCAGCGGCGACTGCTAATCTTATGAAAAAGAAATGTTTGGATTGCTCGGGTCACAACGGAACCAGGCAGTTACTTGTAGCTGCTACGTGCAGTTACTTGCACTTACTAAGTGCGTGACTTGAATGAATGAATATAATTACTAGTCCTACTAGAACGCAGTTCTTTCCTACTAGAAGTTCTTGTAGCCGCGGGGGCACTTTTGTTGAAAATATCTATATTGCCTTCGCATTTTGAAGAACAATAAACAGAATTAGAATCTTTCTCATGGCACCACCTGGATCCTCAGCAACCCTCCATCCCTAGTACTCTTCTAATTTGTCCATCGACGCCAATGTGCATCCGTCTGTGCTGCTCCGACAGACCAAGACTTTGCAGAATTTGGATAGCCAAGTGGGTAATATCGAGAAGGCAGTGGAGCGATGCTTAGATGCGGAGTTAGGCACTGCCGAGTTGCAACGTGCTATGCAAGTCGCAAAGAACTCTATCATTTCTACTAATAAATTCGTGGATGCACAGGAAAAACAGTCGTTCCAGAATGAGCAAGCTGCCAAGCTACAACCGATTAGAGACCGCATCAAGCAAGCAGAAGAAAAATTGGCGACCAGAGAAAGTAAGCTGTTCTTTGAACTGAGTTTCGTGCGATTAGAAGCATCTTTGTACTATTTACTTAATTGTTTACGAGGTAAGCAATATGAGATACGTTGAAGTAAGTGGATAATGATGATGTGGCTGGTGTACTCAGAAATAAGAGGCAGATCATCAGTAATATTTTTATGTTCTTGACCCTACAAAATTCGTCCACAGCATCATGGACAGTGTTGACTTCCACAACACCTTCACCTCAACCGACACTCGTACTCCCACTCGTGAACAACCAAATACCTACAGAGGAAGTCGAGGCGGAAGTTGCTAAGAAACTCGGAGACTTGGAGAAGGATCTGCCGGAAAAGTGCAAGGAAATGCTTTCCGAGTTGGAATCGCACGTTGAAACAACGAAGGACGAGTCTGTCCTGCTCACTTGCGAGTTGGGAGAGCACTCATCACCGGAAGACATCGTCGAAATCGATGTCAAGGTCCAGGAAACAAGCACCAAGGCCGTCGCAGCACAGCAACAGATTAAGGATTATCTGGGTACTACTCTATTACAACACGATTGTTAATGATCTTGGTGATGATGGATCTAGTCGTTGGGGTGGTTCCTATAAACATTCTAGCGAAGGGACGAGGATGGTTCTCATATCAAGTAAGGACGCTTTTAATTTTAAACTTAAAAGGGACAACAAGGTTGTATCAACTAGTACAAAACTTCGTCTCCTCCCCACAAAACCAAATACCACCCAACACAAAACCCAACACAAAATGACACAGCCTCATGCCAAGCCATGTTTCGAATGATGCCGGATGAAAAACTGGGCGCTTTGCGACAGATCGTGGACAAAACCCAGAAAGATGCTGAACTCCACATGAAGGATCTTGCGGAAGTAAAGCGACAGATCGATACGCCGATCAAGAAGGCTAGGTATTGCTATTTTTGATGGATTCTAGTATCTTCAAGTAGCAACTCACCATGACCATATCTTCAAGTAGCAACTCACCATGACCATATCTTCAAGTAGCTTCTTCAGTGACCATATCTTCATGAGCATGTGCAGTCATAATTGAAGAAGCCAGTTCGAAGATAGCTGTAATTATACAAAATTTCAGATCGGCAATCCTCCAAAAGAAAATGCAAGAAGAAGAAGAACGTAAGCGGCAAGAGAAGATGCGTTTAGCTGAACGCACTAAGGTGAAGAGCCATCGTGCCAGCGAAATTGGCATGTACAGCGACTACTTGGTCAAGGTACTTGGAAGATATTTTTTTTACATTTTGCTGGACAAGGACGATATCAGTCTATCATTTTACATCTGGGTCACAACCTATTACTTTATATTTACATGATCTTTTCTAGATAAATGGGGCTTTCTCTTTTATAGCTGCTTATTGTGAATTTTGGTTTCAAACAAACAAACACAGCAACTCGCATCCGAGACCGAGCTTACTTCCCGATCGATTGAGAAGACGCAAAGCATGGTCTTGGGTCTGCACGATGTTCTCCAGGCCGATTTGGATCACAAGGATACGAAGGAGTCGGGTGCACTCAAAGGCGTCCTCAATAAAGCCCTGCAGCGTGTGAAGAAGGGACTGCTGTCACTGCATTTGAAGTTATGTGAAATGCAAGTAGAAGAATGCTTTATCTGTATTTGGGATCAGTACTATGTCTTTCATAGGTGTTATTCTCATTTTTGTCCGTGTTTTTCTCCTTGTTCCTCTAATCTCTGCCAAGGAGGTCCGGGAAAAGAGCCAAGAAGAAGATGACAAGTTCGCGGTCTTTTTATCCAACGAAATCAGCGCTCGTATGACGGAACAAAAACAGACTCCCGAAGACCTTTTTAAGGAGGTTGCTGGTAGCGACGACGTTGAACTTGTTGGATACGAAAAAGTCGTGTCCTGGTTCGTGGATGTGCTTCTGGCTGGTACTGATTTTTTTGTGGATGTGCTTCCGACATTCTTCAGTATTTATTGGACTAATATAGTCGCAATCATGAACAACATGATGTCGAAATCTTGCTCGTCAAAATCTTGCTTCTCGTCCTATCCAACCTCCCACCTTCTCTCCAAGAAGATTTTTCCACCCTCTCCAGGCGGCGGCGCCGAGAACGTTTCCCTCCTGAAAAAGTACCTTCCCGGTGCTTGGCGCAAGGCCGTTACCTGCAAGGCTCGTGGCCTTCTCGCCACTGAAAATAAGCCCGAGCCCGGTTGGACCGAGGAAAAGAAGAAAGAGGAAATGGCTAAAATCCTCAATCATGAGGTCGACGAGGACGACGCCCTGAAGGAGTCCATCAGCTCCAATGAGTGGAGCCTCTTCATCATCGCAGCTCACTACATCTGCGTCTCAAACTGCTTCGTCACGAACGCTAAAGACACAGTCGCAGTCACGAAAGATACCAGTAAGGAGCAATTGAAGGGCCAATTGGATCCGGACGACGTTGTCCGCGTACTGGATGGTCCGGAATCGGTCACCTATCAGCCGACGGGACAGGTAACAATATTTTCATTTTCTATTTTTTCATCGTCGAGCAGCACTGGTGCACTAGTTGTATACGGAGGTTGATTCTTCTTGATGATCTCAGAAAAATGTCAACAATCATTCAACTTTGTTCACTCTCTACCAACAAATATCAGGCTCCATACGAAGTGATGCGCGTTGAGATCGAGCGTCCACGTGACGGTCTCCGAGGTTGGGTCAATATGCGTGAGCCTAAGAATTCCTTCGATAATTTGAGCAAATACAGCAATGGCTACGA